CACATCTCGAACGTGCGTGGATGGAAGGTTCCAAGCGTGCCTAGATCTCGAAGCTTCCCAAAAATAGCCAATATTTGGTTGTTTCCAACATCGTCTACATTAAGAAGGGTTCTCATTTTGATGCGTCCAGGGTGTTTTTTATGGGAACAGGTGTCCCCTAAGATTGTGCATCCCCACCATGGATCCTGATCATCCTCCCGAAAGCTTCGAAAGGCTCTCTGGGTCGGCAGTCTGTTGTTGATCTCCAAAAAAATCGGCTTGATGCACAGGTCTCTTTTCCCAAAGGAAAAGCTGTTTTCACGGTCCGTGCAGGTGGGACATCCAAAATGAGGATGCCCTCAAAATGCAAGAGAAACTGTCAATATCGACCCTTGGTTCACGTCTTGGCACCTGGCTGCAACCAATTGATGTGCTTCTGCAGGCGCATGCTGAGCAGCGCAGAGATATGATGCCTGACGTGCGTGGGCGTCTCTGACAAGGCTTGCCGGGTTTCGGCTTTTGACTTTTTCCTGGTTCGATTCAAACTCGAGGGCCAACCTTAAAACAATTAACACAGGCCTTCTTCTTTAAGGGGCGGGTTCTCTTTCTTTTCAGGCAAAAAGAAACACATGGCAAACCCTCGTCTCTCATTGCTTGAACCCGGCCAAGACAACATCAAAACGAGCTGTCTGTATTGACATAAGCATGATGCTCCAAAAGGAAATGCAAACAGTGATAGCAGCCCAGAGGAACGCAACTCTTTGTTGGACAGAAATCCGTGCACCAAGCACGCTCAGAGATCATAGTTTCCCTTGTGGAATGCTTCGAAGGTGCTTTGAAGGTAGTCTAAAAGTTGGTGACAAGTCACTCCTGACTCATAGCTCGGATCAGCGGAAATCAACCAGAGCCCACAGACGTGAAAAGCTCCCCAGGAGCAGCGGACGTGGAGCCCGCAGGACTTGCAGTCTGTGGATTGAGTTCCCGAGACTGGCCCGGCCGTTCTGTGCTTCCGTGATGGCCTGCGGTGTTTTTGCTTGGCTGAACAGCCTTGGTCTCAGGCTCACACACACACACACCGTGCACGCACGCGTGCACGTACGCATGGGAGGTGTCACAGCTGGCCACTGCTCGCCTGACAAGTTATAGGGCTAAGTGCGAACCCGGCCTGCGGAGGAACTCGGCGGCCAGTTTTTGCTGAGCCTTCCTGCCCGATTGGCAGACAAGCCCAAGCTACCGATTCTGTCACTGCGGGGTGCATTGTGTCCGAGGGGCAATGCTTGATCCTTCCAAAAGGGGAGATGCAAGGACCCAACTTTCAGCCAAGTTGCCTCGACGTGTCGCAAAAGCATAGCCCCTTGCGTGGACAGCATCATTGGGAAACTTGAAACTTCGTTGGCCCCCCACCGGAAGGACAATTCGTGTTTAAAGAACGCTGAGCCCTGACAGCACCCCCTTCAATCCCCTCTCCTCTCCAACCAACAATAGACTACCTGGGGTGCCTTAATCCATACCATCTCAACATGACCCCTGGAGACCATTCATTTCCGTTTTGTTGGAGACAAAGGCGCCAGTGCCGTTCTTCCATCGCTGAATCGCGCATATGAACCCCTGCTTTATGGGTCATCTTTTCATCAACTTGGCGCACCCATATATATGGAACCAGCATCATATGACCCAACCAACATCAATATCTCTCAAAAATCATGCCTTCCAAGGACCGACTCGGCCCGCGACTCGGCCCACGGAGGGTCCTTTCTCTTCTGCGCGCGTTCAACTGGAAGATCAGGTTGGCGAGGGACCAATATCTTCGCGTCAAGAGCCCGACCTGACGCGACAGAAGCGCCTCTGGGAAGCCCTTTGCCAAGATGCTCGGTGCTCCAAAGACGTGGAAACTCGGTTGCCAGTAGGGGAAAAAAGACGAAAGCAAATCAAAGAAGCTGCTTCCCTTGTGTGAAAGGGTTCATAAGTAAGATGTACCCTGTTTCTCACTAACATGATACCCGACAAAGGGTGCTTTTTGAGGAAGTCGACCTTCCAGACACCTGCTGCAGGTACTATCATAGGTGTCCTTTTAGGGCAAATAGATGGGCTTCCCTGGTAGATGATTAAACCAGGTAAGCCAGGAATCGAAACCAATCGATTTTTCTGCCAAATTAAACAGGAACTAGTGGCAGGACGGGGTTTACCCCACGAGAACGTAGCTCCCTGCCACACCTTGCCAGCGCCACGGAAGCAGCACCTCGGTAGCAGCACCGTCACCGTCGAATTCCGGAGGTAAAAATCACCCCGTGGTCGGTCAAGGAAAACCAACAGGAAACTGCCCGTTTTTGGGGGCTCCCATATTTGGAGACGAGCCCAAATACAGGGGAATACGAATTTGAGTACATCGCCCCGTAGCTTCCCAGCTGTTTTGGGTTGTTTTAGCCGGAAATCAGAACCCAAGAAATCGGAGACTTACCCTTTCGGCACATTGACTTGCGGGAGTCTCTGGCTTCATTCCGACTCAGCGCTGCGCAGGCAGGCGAAGAAGGTGCGCAGAATGGCGACGAGATGAAGAAAGAAGGTCAAGGCCTCAGAACACCAAGGGCTTGGCGGAAACATTGTCAGGCATGCCGGCCACGGTTCAAACGCTGTTTTAGGTGTTGGTGGGGTGCTCGAAAAGGATGTTGGCCAACCAACTTAAACGTTTCCTGACACCATGTGACTGGGTGGTGAATTATAACGACCTCACACGACCTCACCCCAAATGGTGGTTTCTGTGGGGAATAGGCCCCAAACCACCTTATTGGATAGGGGCCTCAAACCGATGCCCGCCAATGTGCAAAACCAATAGGCCGATAGGGGACCACCAAACAACCGATGCCTGATAAATTATCTGTTGCTCACCCAGGGCAGTTTGTATGGTTCTATCAAGGTCTTGAGGATATGCTGGAATGCCGGGCCCACCTGAGAAACTGCATAGAGTTTGGTTTCCACACAACACCTTACTGTTTCAGACTATGTTGGGTCTTTTCCCAAGCACTCAGGACCGAGGGCCGGTCTGCCAAAGAAAGCAGCAAGACAGCATCTCGATAGCAGTCCTGACAAGTCTGCCGTCCCAGCGGCGTGCAGTCAAAGTAGCAATGCCACAAAGGCTTCATCTCCAAACAACTAGGAAGATTAGGCAAGTGAGTGTCAACATAGCTTCTGCCGGCCTGGTTTCATTGGCAATCCGGGGCTGGCGGAAACCATCTGAGATCGCATTGGTTCTTTTCTAAGGGATTCCCTTTGTTAGCCTCTCCGAATGCTGGTGCATGACCCGTCGCTTTGCCCCCCCCCATTTATTTCCTTAGTACCCATGGTAAAAATGGAAAGGCCCCTTCATCCGCTTTATCAGTGTTCCTAACACGGGAGAAGGGTACAGAATTGGTCTCCGAAAGCACGCCCAAACAAAACTTTTCTACCCAGGTTTGGTCATCTTTTAGAGCAACTCTTGATGGGGGTACTCCCCTTCCACACATCCCCATTAGGAGGGTCATGAGGCAAAGGCACAATCCGTTGGCGAATGATGCGTTCTCTGCCGTGGCATTTTCCCACGGTTCTTGGCTTGAGTGTGCTTGGTAGTGCAAAATCCGTTGGACCTGCTTCTGGATGTTGTCTTCAAGGAAAATCGGGATGACACTGTTTCAAAAGGGACCCCTGCGGAAGGACTCCTGGAGCCAAATCTGCACCTTCAGCAGTTGCGCATTGAAGCTCTGGGACATCCTGAGCGGGAACCAATGCTCGCTTCTGTCCATGGGAGATGCGCCATATATCGCCATATGGGACTGCTTTTCCGAGGCCCTTCTTGGAACACGCGACATAATGGGTACGGGTCAAAAAAAAATACCACCAGGAATTGGACCGCAAATTTTGGTCCATGGTTCCACTTCCCAGCGACCCATTTGGGGGTTACCCATTTTTTGACCCACAGCCCACATATCTTTTCCCCCTGCACACCCCTGAGCAACGGGTCCCAGCCGAGGCCCCGGCGACTCGGACTCGGAGTCGTTCCTGAGAGAAAGCCAGGGCAAAAAGACTCGGATGGGCCGTCGTCTTGGACCACCCACAGGAGAAGGAGCTGTTTCCATTTGTTTTGTTTGTTTTTTTGGACCACCCAGAAGGCCCCATGAGTTTTGGTGTGTTTTTTTTGACCACCCAAACCAACAATTGGATAGACTACAACAAGGGTCACTGGACCTACGCAAGTCGATCCAAACAAAACATTTGACGGACCCGTGTCGAACCTGGCCTCTCTTGTCCGACTCGGCCATTGGACAAGACCGCCCTGCCTAAGCGTAGCCTCCCCTGCCCTACACAAGTATGCACGCTGACGGTATCCTCTCCATGTTTTGCCTATTAGTTCCGACCTACTGATTGTTTCACCTTCCCAAGGATTGTAGCGCTTGCAGGTATCACGAATACGGCGCCTCTAACACATGCTTGATAGAAAACGAGACCGAGGTCACATGATGTCTAACAACGAAGAGCTCCACAGCTCCTTTCCTCACCTTGTAATCCACTTTGAGTCAGCACCAGCAGCAGCAGCAGCAGCACCAGTCGGCAAACTTGCAAGGCAAGGAAGGCAAACCGTTTGCCTGCCTCAAGCAGTTGGGGCAGCGGATAGGGGACATGGCCAAGTCTGCAGTATCAAGAGCATGACTTGTCTACGAAATCGGGTCCTGCTTCCAAAGGTGACAGAGCGCAACGAACTTGTTGGACCTTTGTGGTCCTTCAACCGCCCAATCACAGGGGGGGGGGGGGTGGGCGGGTCTTTCCTATTCATGAAGGTTCTGAAACCTTCTGTGGACATCAGAAATACATGGGATTCGTGTCCACCAGCCAGCTGGAACCTGTGGAACATCTATAGTCGCCTATAGTGTCTACACTTGGAAGCAAGCTCAAAAGCACCCATGCTGAGGGGGAGAAACCAAAGTGAAAGCCGGATCGACACCTTTAAGCCTTGTAGTTGGGCTATGGTGGGTGTCATAATTAGTTTTTTTTGGTGTTTTTTTAAGACTAACACTCGCGGCAAAGCTGGGTTTTGACTATCTATTCAACCCATGTGTCAACTCGTGAAGGTTTCACCCGCTCCCTGGGTCTCCGGCTGGACACCGTTGCCGTGACTCCCGCCTGATCGCGTCGATACGTTCGTCACAGGTCCCAGCCCAATGGCCCTGGTAATGGGAACCCTTTGCGGCTCGTTTTTCGTGGGGCACCCGCCAAAACCTGAGATTTGAATGTCAGACACTGGGCGAATCATGGAAGTAAGCTTAGTTGCCAAGCTTCTGTCATGCGAAAAGTTGAATGCTAGAAAGCTTGGGCTATATTTCACGCAGTTCGGGTACCATGCGTGTTTCGGATGTTGCCAGCCACAAGCAGCCATAGTTAAGGCATCAATCCGAAAAGGAGTCCCTTGGCATAAACACAACCCAATGCAACATATTTGTTTGAGTGAAACAAATAAGTCGCCAACCTGCCATAAGAAAATGGACACCCCATCATGGGTAGTTCTTGCGTGACGATGCAACTTGCCCGACATTCCCACAGGAACTATCACACACCCGTGCTGCCCAGTCTGCAAAACCGATGGGGAACCCTCAAAAAAGCCAAAAACCATCGGTGATACTGCTACTCGGTTCACAGGTGTGTCTCGGAAAATCTTGGAGTTGGGGCGCCACAACCTGCAGGGCCAGAGAGAAACCAATGGATTGGCCTCCTGTGGCTCCAAGCTAAAGGGGTCTCACGTCGCACATGCGCGAGAAAGCCTACTCTGATCTTCCAATGCGTTGAGCATGGTCCTCATGTCGCCAAGGACATCCAGTGCCAACCGCAAACGCGACATCTCAAGATCACGTCGGACAAAAGCCCGACGGCCCCACGGCAGAGCTGTTTGTTGGATTACTTTATCAAGAGTCAGAGCATGACTACGAATAAGGTTGCGGCAACAGACCACCTGGATGTGCACGAGGTTCACATGCATCTCCGAGCAGACTTGGGAATGATGCTTAATTGGCGAAGCTTTGGTGGACATCATTTGCATTGGAAGTCATGTCCACCAATCATTTTGAAAAGGGGTTTGCAACCACTGACATTCACACCCATGCGTTTTTGCGGGTTGCTTGCTTACCCCCAATGGAAAACAGGCTTGTGATCAGGCACGACCCAAATCAGACCCAAACAGCACCCAGGGTGGTCCACAGAACACTACAGGACATCACCTCTGCGCTGCGATGCGTCGCCTCTTTGGTCAGACTTCGCAGGGCCTCAGCAAAGCCACGGCGCGACTCGCGGGCAAAGCTTGAAGCAGTGATCACAAGCAGCAAAAGCGAACCAAGGAACTGATTCCAGGGACCAGTCCCATCTACTTAGCCCAAATAACACCTAGGGTTCCTCCCGATTGTACTTGCCTGTTGGTCAAACAGAAAGCTCTTAGTTAGCTTAGCTTGTTGTTTTTACTTTCAAATTCACAAGGGAAGAGCAAAGCTTGCTATGACCGACCCATTTGGGCACGGGTCGAAACCAGTCGGACCTGTTGGAGGTGGGTCTCTCCACAATCGAATTGGGGGTTGGGGATCAGTTCATTGGTTCCATTTCGCGCTTTGGCCTGCCCCGTAATTGTGCAATTTGGTAGAACCAAGCTGAAAAACCAGTGCCCCTCTATGTTCAACCAACTTGACCTCAGAGGGACAGAATCATGATGAGAACAAAGTGGGGGACCCGGATGTAAATCCATCCCTGAACCGTTGGATTGCCGTGATGATGCCCACATGGATCTAGCCACCTGAAACTTGAAACAGAGCCCTTGGGGCCCAAGGCCAACTCAATCCCTTCACGAGGTCCCCAACAGCATGGTGGCCTAAGGTGGACTTTCATCTCATCCTCGGATACTGGCGGGGGGGGGGGGGGGGTCTTTTTTGAGATGCCCTTTTGGGGTTTGGTTTAAAAGGAAGCCAAATCCATTCATGAGGATTCCGCCCTTTTTCCAACCCATACCCATCAACGCGGAGGCCAAGAGAGTCCCTTGCAGAACCAAACCAAACCAAACGACCAACACTTCGACTCCTCCAACCTGAAGCCAACCCTAGACCCACGCAACATGAGTCACTTGCTCAAAACCCGGGTCTTAAAATGGTCGTAATCCCAGAGCCATGCTTCAAGAAGTAAGAAGGCGGATATCCGCAGCTATTTATGGTTGGGATTGTCCCTTACCAACCTTCATTTTCCCGGGTTTTGATTGTGGCTCACATGGGTCTTCCAGGAACTGTTGAGTGGGAGGGTATCCAAATGTGCCTATCACAAAGGCGGGGGCTTCAACATCCCCTCCGATTTCCACACCCTTTCGACGATTCGAGTCACAACATATACTGGTCGACAGGCAAACCTGGATACCCAACGCATAAGTTGTCCAGAAATCATAACACCACCTTGTTGGTTGGTTTTTGAAGGGAAGCCGCAGGGACACCAGCCACTTCAAGCTGGTCATCCAAGTTTGGACATCCGCAGCACCCACCGTCATTTGGTGTTGCCCGTCTTGGGCTCATTAAGGGGTCTTTTAATTGCAGGGTGCTAAAAACAGCCTGAAAAGTTCCATTGCCATCCATTCTGCCTCGGAATCGTTTGCGAGAACTTAACAACTCTGGGCGATCTGTGACCAAGGTCTCATTCGCAAGAATGTCTCATCCCGAAGGTTGCCTCACACCTTCCGGACGCCGGCCACATTGGAACCCCTCCCCTTTAGCAAATTTCTTCGGACGTCGAGGCGTCAAGTCGAGTCGATGCCAAAGGGCGATGCTCCCGGTATCGCTGCTGCGGCTGACTGGCCTCGGGGCGGAGAGGGGGGGGAAGCTGGAAGCTCCAATGGCGGGGTGACACTTTTGGCAAGGGCGCTTTTGGCCGCACATTCGAATTTGCGGGATATATTGGATCCGGTGTATTTGTTGTTCTGCACCTTTGATGAATCTCCCTCTGTTCCTTGCAGTGTCGTGTGTCTTCCTTGCTGAGTGGACTTGAATACTTCCCGGTCCCCAGAGCTTTGGGGCTTGGCGGCTTAAAGCCGCCCTGACCACCCTCCAGTCGCACAAAAACAAACACGCCGGTTGCCCCCCCCACCAAACGAAAAGGACAAATGGTGCCACTGAACTGAGGAGTTGTGTTTTGGGAGATTTGGAAAAACGGAAGACCCTTTTGGGTCCTGACTGCCTTATCAAATGGGTTTCAAAATGACAAAACAGTTGCAAACGGGCACCTATGTTTGGTCCGTGCAAACACTGACCCGGTTCGAGCAAAATGCAAAGAGACCAAACAAGAATCCGGCACCGCTTGTGCCAAAACATAAATGATGACTGAATACGTCCCACATTCGCTGTGTCTTTCGGCCGCATCAAGCTCTTGGCGTCAAAGTCGCCCATCGCAGCTACCGCCGGGGCGACTTAAAGCATGCAGTCTGCCGAAGCTGTGCGATGTCTTCAACCGACCTAAGGAAAGGTGCCGCGCGAGTCAGCACCGATTAAAATGTTGTTTCTTAACCATAAAAAGGAGTGCACGCATTATCCGAAACATTCCTAAACCAAGCGTGATGGTTCCACTGGATTCTCGGGTGCATTTGCACCGGGAAGCAACGCCATCTCCAGGTCTGAATCCTTCATGCTGCATCCCAACGGAACCGGAGCGACGGCTTTGAACTCTCCGGACTTCGGAGTGATCCGATGTGGACCTTCACGTGCTAGGGCATGTGGCCGTGGGTCAACATCCAAACCGTACCCCCGGTGAACATCCCAATCCCCACTAAAATAGACTAAAATGGGTGGTGCACCTACCCATTGGTGTTGACCCACGGCCATTTGATTGAAAGGAACTCACGTGATGCTGTCAGTGGCTGCCCCCCAACCTCCTCGAATGGATTGCCCAGTATTATGTCCCAACGCCTCCATTGTTCCTCCAACACCTCGCCAAAAAGGCCCCTCGGCAAAACGAAACATCCGCTGGCCTAAAGGGAAAAGTGTGCGTGTGTATGTGTGTGTGTGTATGCCATGGTTTGAGGGTTAAGTGGTGCACATGGGCCATGCTGTTTCTGATTCTGTTTGGTTAGTGTTTACCGCTTTGCAGCGATGCATTCTGATTTGTCCGTGCTTTTGGCCCCGACGCCCCCTAAGATTGCAAGTAACTATTGAATCAAACAACTCCTTTGACTTCAGCGGAGGAAAGGGTCTGGTTGCTAAAAAGAGAAATAAAGGCCTGGTCAGCACATCCTTCACCTGGGGTTTGCAGGCATGGGTCAATGCCCAATGACCCAACCTGCCATTTCAACCGCAAAAGGTGAAATGGAGCTCCAAAAACGATCGGTTTGCTGGAACGAAGGGGTCCCCGGCTGGGTCCGCCAGGTGCCGGAGGATCACCACGATGTCCTCCCCCGTGCCCGGCCTCGGCTTGGTTTGAGCCGGGTTGGGACCGATGGCCGCAGAAAGCCGAGCGACCAACAGCTGAGATTGACCAGGGGCGCTCCAAACTCCCTGGCGTGTTTTTTGGTTGTCATTGGTTAGTATGGGGAAAACAAAGGAAAGCAAAGTCCAGCTTCTATCCTTGCTTGGTCATCTTTTGGACATGGTTCGAAGCAACCCTTTTAGGAATGGCTGGTCAATCAAAAGCGTTGTTCAAGGTTGTTACTCTTGAGGCTAAACGCTCTTAAAAGGTCCCCCTTTAGAACAACTAAAATAAAGGTACTCAACAAGACACTACCACATACCATTCAAGGACAAAGTACTCGAACACGTCAACCCCATTCAAGCGCTAGGACTACCTGTTCCTACATCAAGAAACCAAACCTAGGCTCAATCCTTGGGCCGCTTTGCGTTTGACACCCTTGGAGTGACAACTCAAAACCTGAAGGTAGGACATAAAGGTGCCCGAAATCATGGGGATTGGCTTGGAACGCCGGCTATCGAGTCACACTCAAATCCCGCCCGCTGATTACATTTTCTACTTTTTGGGCAACCAAGTGGACCAGTCTTGAACACTGGAAGGCTGAAGCGAACCTAAAGGCAAGCCGGCTGCTGCTCTTGCTGAGAAAATAATGATACGCATGCTATAGCAAACTGGACTGTGGCAACCCTTTCTTTCGTCTGGTGTGACACCAGGTGGGTCGGGGCTTGAAGTACCGGGATTCATCATCTTAAGCCATTTCCCTCATCTCAGATGCCCAGCGGCCATGGGAAAAAGGGCACCTTTTTTATTGAGTTTAAAGGGTGACCCTTACCCAAAAAGAGTAAAACAGGGCGCCACTGGGCAACAGAGTCGAAATGCAATATCACCAAAACTACCACCTGGTGACACCAGGTGCTTGCAAAACCCCTTTTCGCCCTTCCAGATCAGAGTTGCATTTGCAACACAACTGTTGTTTGCCCTTCCAAGAAGCCCAAAGATCGACCCTAACCGAGACTATAGCAGAGGGGGCCTCAAACGGGCCGGTTGTATCTGAAACAGGAAACCACGCCCTGCAAATGGGCGGCATCGGAGCACAAGGAAAAAGATGCGCCATGCCACGCTGCACCTCATCCGTTTGCTCAAGCCCTCTGGAAAAATAAAAGATAGTTCCAGTAGTCATAGATTCCCTTTAAAACCAACAGGGGCAAATACAAGCTTAAAAATAATACTTTAAAAAACGGAAGACCTTGGAACTTGGGACATCGTCTCCAAAAATCCCATGACATAAACTCCCCTCGCGCCTGGCGCTGGGCCGCATCGCCTGGGCGAAAGGGCGAGGGGGTCTTGCAGAAAGGGCGGGGTTTCCAGGTCCACACGGCAAGCGGGTAAGTAGCCTGTGATGATATCATGATTAGAGTTAGGCCCAGCTATAGAATGTATATTTTATGGTTTGCGTCACTTTGAGTCACTGGTAAACTGTAAAATGTATCCTAAGTCTAGCGCAGATATTGCGGGTGGTGATACTGTGGGTGGTCCGGTTGCGAAATTCATTTCGCACCACCTCAGAAAACATAGCAAACCATAACGTTTGTGCCTATTTGCAGGGGAAGCATCACCCCAGGGTTTTTGAGGTGGTGCAGGAGTTCGTCCATCCACAGTATTGCGGGACCGACAATATGTTCTCCTCTGTTTGGTGGTTTAAACACCAGCTGTTGAGAACCAAATCCGCATTTCCTGGGTGATTCCATCTTTAGCGGCGCGCAGGTCTCGTTCCTTCGCATTGGAAGCTAAGGGTGATCCAGGGGCCTGCATGTTCTGCAAAGCCCTGCCAGAGTTTCAATTCTGCCAGAGCCTTGGCAAACGTCTCGCTGCTTAGCTTCTTGGAGTCTTCCATCACAGGCCAAAGCCCAGGCCCTCCGCCCCAAAACAATAAAATAATAATAAAACAAAATCAAAATAAATAAATAAATAAATAAACAACATCATAATTATGATAATTATATTATATAGGGCGCTGATGCAATTGTTGGGTGCATGCCACCCACCTATTCTTGACGCGTGAATCTGCGGGACTTGTATCAGCAAGCGAGGGCAAGCATCCCGGTGCAAGTTCTGTGGGCAATGCGACCTCACAACGGGGATTTGCACCTGAAAACATGAAGCTCCCTTTCTTTCGGACCTTTCAGCTTGGTTGATCCAAACTGAAGCCGGGGCGTTTAGCAAGCCCCGGCTTCAGATCAACCCAACTTGTGCTGAACAAAGCTGCGCAAAGTGGACGCCTCCAAAACGGGGTTGGTGCATCACCCTTGTCCAGCACTCAGATCGGGATGAGTCAAAGATGTATAGGCATCCGAGAGTGTGTTTAACAAGCAGAGGCAAACTAGCAGCTTTGGTCCATGGTGCTTATTTTGAGACAACCCGTAAAGGAAGGTCCAAGCTAGGCAACCTTCGAAACAGGTGATGTTGCATGTCTTATTGGTATCCTTGCACGAGCGTCACAAACATGATCCATACTTGGGCATTTTGACTCATTGCCAGTGAGCACTGATCTCATTTGCTGAGGGCATCATTCACTGCCATTTGCTTAAGCCCCTGGAAAAAAAATGTCTCTGAGGGCGCGGAACCATCGTTCAACAAACACCGCTGCTATGAGCCCTGTCCGCATCCACTGGCGCACACTTCAAGCACTGCCGCCTTATACTTGAAACACTTCGCGCTTTGTCGGCATAGGTGTCCTTTTAGGGCAAGTAGATGGGTTTCCCTGGTAGATGATTAAACCACCAGGTAAACCAGGGAAACCCATCGATTTTTCCACCAGACCAACCAAAAAGGACACCTATGTTTGTCGATTTTTGGTTTGGCATGCCGTGGTTCTTGAGACTCGACAGGTACCGCAAGCCTCTGCTACGGTTTCAACGAAATATTGCAGGTGGCTTCGCATTTTAAAATAAAAAGTCGGGGTAAAAATGTGGGTATCTCTCGTTCCCCTAGCAAAGACGGATGTTGGGGATCCATCATATTAATATATTGCGTTGCATTTGAGACCCCCGCCTCTCAGACCTTGGTCGCGGATGCCGTGGGCACAAGCAATTCAGATGGCCAACACTTCTTTGAACCGAGCAAGGATTCACTGTGCGACTCATTTGACCACGGAGATTGCTGTGGAGCAGAGGTCATTTTGGAGGCAGAGTTGTTCAAAGCACTGGGCAAACGATATCTGGCAAAATGTTGTGTGCCATGGCTTGAGCACAAGCTGCGAGGAAACTGGCGAAGCTCCCAATGCAACTGCACGCAGAAAGCACTGCGGCGCACCTGGTCATGTCATATGAGCTTCTAAAAGCAATTGACTGTTCGTTGACATGGCAGGTAGTAGACCGTCCTCAAGGCCAGGGTTTTGGGGCGCTCACATGGCTGCTTCGCTCAGAGAAAGTGACACTTCTTGATCAAATGGCCGGCCGGGGCAGCATCAAGCCGCACGCCACCTGCTCGGATCCCAGCGATTTTGAAATTGCCTCGTGACTCGCGCTGCCAAATGAATCATACTCGAAACCTAGTACTACAGTGTTGTCCCAGCAGGCATGGAAGCGGTCCATCTCTGGTTGGGGCTGACTGCCTCACCCTGCTCAACAGGTTTTGTGTCAACAGGTCTTCTGTGCCAAAGGTGGGCACCCTGTTTGGGATGTTGTGGGAAGCCAACGGGTCTTGCAGCTTTGAAAACCCACGCGACCACCTTCGCGGCTCAGCACTTCGCTCGCTTCGCTCACTGGCTCGTGCGGTTGTGGTACTGCTCGGCCATGGTCTTGGTAGAACATGCGGGAAGCCAAGGGAAGCTGATTTTCTTGTTGGTGCGATAGGCAGGGAATGAGGAAATGACCCAAGAAACAATCCCTTGTGTTTTCCTTCAAGGGAATCCCTGGGTTCATGCATTCCCTCATTCACTACTGAGCACCAAGGTTTCTAGCGTTCCTCTTTTAGAATTCTCGGATGAGATCGGGCCGAAGAAAACCACTCGACGCAGAATCCGAAGCCTTTGCTCGGCATGGAGACACTAGCGGCGCACCCTGTGCACTGAAACCGACGAAAGTCGATGAATCTGGGGTCACCAAAGTGACACTCTCAAAAACTTCTTTGGACATGGTGAAAAGGAAATCCACCTTCAACAAAAGTTAGTTTTGGGAAACCCTCCCAAAACATGTTCACTTTCAGTGGACCCAGTCAACTCAAGTCCGGGTACAGCTCATGCTGGTTTGCCCCAGACTTCTCCCTTTGGGCTTCCCTTTTGGCTTCCCAAGGGGGGTCCGGTGCTTTAAGCCATGCCCTGGCGCACCTTCTTCATGCCCAGCCAGCGCTGGTACCTGGCACGAGCGACAGGCGAGCCTCGCTCGCTCCGAAGACCCTAGAAAGGGTTCCCGTGGGCGCAGGGAGATGTCCTACATCCTAGCCTGCTAAGGGAATTGTATGCCTATGCTACCACTCTTTGCGTCATGCAACGACTGGAGGGCAAACATCACCTTGTTGCGATGGCTATCGCGAAGGGACGAAGGGGAAAAGGCGCCCAAGCCGATGTTCGGCAGCGCGTTTTGATCGTTTGGCTCCAGGAAATTCAGGGCTCGGGATCTCAATTTCAGGTGGGCCCTGATCAGCTCTGGTCAAGTCGAAAACATCCAGCGGAGTTTGTCTCCCAATATGGGCCCTCAACTGGTTGCTGGACACACACACACACACACACACACACACATCCCCACACTACTGATGCTCACCCCAAAAATCCCAACTAAGGTTCATGCCCACATCATGTGTAGTCGCACTCAGCTCTCGAGTCAAGACATCCAATGGAGCACTGGTTGTACAGCCATCCAGTCGTGCCCACCATGACCAGCGACAGGAAGGCCAGCAGCGACCTATGTGTCAGGACAGCGGCCTCACCCTACTTAGAACCAGTGTTTCCAAGGGTACCTTTCCCATTCTTTCCAGGGATCCTTCTTTCTAGAAAACCTCCGGAAACCCAGGGAAAACGGCTGGTTATTGAAAAGAACGATGGTTGAAAAGAATGGGGAATCAGCCCCTAGAGTGTTAGTCACCCATGCTCAAGAGAGTCACCTCGAATAGTTCGAATCCCATTGGGACACCCGTTACAGCCAAGCATGACCCACAAGCGATCAAGAAAAACTTGCAAACGCCGCTACGAGAAGCATCTTTCGATCTTGTTTTGTAGGCCAGGGAGGGACTCAGAACGGGACACCATGTAGCAAATGGGCCGCTTCATCAGCCGAAAGCCGCCACTGGATCCAGTAGAACACAACCAGGGTGGGAGGGTTCGAACTCACAGGCTGGGTTGGTCCCCATTCGGGCACCAGATAGTGGTTGGAGGCTTTTGACATGTACTGCAGGGAATCCGTATGGTGGATGCCAAGTCGATATTGCAAGGGGACCAGCGGGGTTGCGTGGTTTGTGAGTACTCGAAACGTTCACGGAATCCGCCATGGCCTATGCCGGTTTCAGTTTCAATGCGTCTTAAGAATAGCTGTTTCTCCACTTGTCCCTGGACAAATGCCCCAGGGCGCGGGTGCAACGTGGTCCCCTCCCTTGATCAATCACAAAGATCCACATGTGCTGGAGGAATTGTGGTGATGCAACAAAAAAGGGACCCCAAACAAAGAACCCATCCAAATTTCCTGAGTGCCCAAATGGACGAATGTCAACACTAGGCAAGCCCTCTAAATGCTTGATTCCATACTGACTTACTTTGAACCCGGTCTTCAAAAAAGAAAAGGTCCATAGATTCGACAAGGAAACTAGACACAGCTTACTGTTAGTTGTTCCGAAGGGCGGTTGCCTTAAAGTTACCTCAGGCAACTGGAACCATGAATCACTGGATCCCGAAAAAGCAAATGGAGTCCAGCCTGCTCCCTCAAGGTCTGCACCAAGCCACCCACAGATTTTCTTACGTCTTGAAAGCGCCCCAAACGGAGACTTGGATGCCCGACACAGGCCATGTCTTCGTTGAACCCAGCGAAAATGTCACCCCTGACCTACGACCTACCCTCACGGGCCATGGGAGCTGACAGGCCTATGTTATTCAGATGCCTGCCCCCACTGCAAGTGGGCTTCGCCGGGAAAGGTGAGACGGCACGCTGGAAGGTCTCAGCCGAGCCACAGCTCATAGTCCTCCCACGACTCCGCCTCCTCGACTTCATCCTCACGGATGTGTTTTTTGTTTGTATTTACTTAGGTGTTTTCTTTTTTTTCTCATGGGTCACTGGAGAAACACACCCCGATCAATCCCTGAGCTTTGCTCATCCGGGGTCAACATTGCCTTTTTGTCGGGTCGAAAAGGGCACCGCGCGAGCCCACAATGTCTGTCCCGAGCTGGAAAAAACAACGAAGCCCATCTGGGGGAGCCCTAGTTTTGAGACAAACCAAGATCAGCTTTACCGCCTTCAGGGAAAAGGAATCACTTGCCCCAATACGAATCGCATTGATTTGCTTATGAACACAAAAAAACAAATAACATGTGTTGAACCAAAAGATACGGAGACATCCGTGGTTGTTCTCAACAAGTCCAGGATAAAGCACACGTGTATCTACATATGTATATATATATAATTGTAATGAGAAGAAAAACATACATATATATATATATATGTATGTGTACATATATATATATATGTATTCCACGGAAACAAGCAAGCAAGCAAGCAAGCAAGCAAGCAAGCAAGCAAGCAAGCAAGCAAGCAAGCAAGCAAGCAAGCAAGCAAGCAAGCAAGCAAGCAAGCCAAAACTAAATTCAAAGCACGGCAAAGGAAGGCAAAGAAACAAACACGAAAAACAACATAGAGCAAAACTAAGGAGCAAAGCAAGGCAAAGAACGGCAAAGAATGGCAAAGAAACACGCACACGGCAAACCAAACCAAACCAAGCGAAGAACAAACAAACAAACAAACAAACAAACAAACAAACAAACAAACAAACAAACCAAACAACACAACACAACACAACACAACACAACACAACACAACACAACAGGGTACACACAGCACCCACTCTGGTTTGTACTCGCCTTTCAGTTGCAGGCCATCACACATCACCATGTTGCCACCACTCTTCGGGCTTTGAGACGCTTTGAGCGTGTCTAGCCCCGGGCTCTCCTTTTAACAGGGCTGCGGTCCACGCGAGAATTCCCGGTCCAAGCAGTGGATTCCATAAATACTGAAAGTGAGCCCACCACGTTTCAACCCAAATCCCTGGCGATGTGCGGCAAAATGCATGGTTTGGTAGTTCCCTTGCGCCCAACAACTTGCAAGATTGAGTTGGCATCTGCCATACCAAACTGTTCGGCAGAATGCCGACTCGCAACTCGAAGCAAGACTCGCGACTTGATGTCTCCTCGGCTAGGTCAGCTTTGTAATCTGCCTTGACGCTCTGAATCTCGGCATTGTACGCATAATCCTTGAATCGAACGGGCAACGGGCATCGGCAGAAGTCCCAGAGCACAAAAGGCGCCCTGACTTGGCACACACTAATTTGCCACAAGACCGCGAGGCTAAACCTAGACAGTCACGGGACTCTGGGTGATTGGTTTCTTTGTTTGATTCCCCTTTCCCCTCTCAAAGAGGGTCCTCCATTTTCAAAACACCTCGCAATGGATCCATACCACAGAGACCTGAGGCTAGCCATGGCCGAATTTTCGGAGGGACGAGTTGGGTTCTTGAAGCAGTAGATGAGTTACAAAGTAAAGGATATCACTTTTTAAACATGCAATATGTAGATGTACTTCTTCCATAGCAGGAACAATCACAAACCATCACAACATATTAACATGCAACAATTGCAAAGAACACAAGTTGAAAGTTGCTGTGCTACTCAAGAAACCCGAGACAAAACCTTTCGGAGAGCCTAAATTCCGTGTGCACAAGTGCAGCCAAGTGTCCAAAGCGCCCGTTGCAGCCTGACCTGCCCAGAAAGGTCATTGAATACGAGCCAGGACCAAGACACATGGGACAACAGTTTGTGTCCGCAAATGATCCTATCCGCCTACCAGACTGAAGGGAAGTGGTCCGTCTGTACTTTCGCCAAAGTGATACGGTTGACGACCGCCTAAATGTTGAATAAAAAATCAGACTTGCTTTTTTTCCCGCGAAGCAAGTGCAAAGCTAAACATGCTGTTGTTGCGCGATTCTGGCAGTTTTCAATGTAGTGTTCAATGAGTGTTTAAGGTAGTAGTGCTCAATGAGTGCACATTGTAGCGTTCGATGTGGTGTTGCCGCTCTCATCGCAAACGCCTTGCACGCAAGGGTTACTTCAAAACAACAGTTCAGTCGGTTGCACCGCCTCTCCCAACTCCTTTTTGCCTATGAGTGTGTACATGACGCATACTATATTTGTATGTAGATGTGTGTTTGTGCATGCAAATGCGCGTGTGTACATAGTCATACATGTGTGTGTACATGTGCATAAGTGTGTACGTATGTGTATAAATATATATATATACATACATATTACATGCGTGTCTGTGGTTGTTGTGTGGTTGTAAGTGTATGTGTAAAGCATGTATGTGTTCATGCACGCACGCAAGCACGAACGTACATACCTATGTACGTATGTATGAACGTAAATGTGTATGAATGTGAAGATGCATGTGTGACTGCATGTGTGACTGCATGTAGGTATGTATGTACGTGTGTACGTATGTACGTACTTATGTATGTATGTATGTATGTATGTATGTATGTATGTATGTATGTATGTATGTATGTATGTATGTATGTATGTATGTATGTATGTATGTATGTATGTATGTATGTATGTATGTATGTATGTATGTATGTATGTATGTATGTATGTATGTATGTATGTATGTATGTATGTATGTATGTATGTATGTATGTATGTATGTATGTATGTATGTATGTATGTATGTATGTATGTATGTATGTATGTATGTATGTATGTATACACACTTATCTATACATGAATGTATGTATGTATGTATGTACGTACGTAAGTACGTATTTATGTATATATGTATGTATGTACGTATCTACGTATGTATGTATGTATGTATGGATGCAGGTGTGTATGAACATGTATGTATGTATGTATGTATGCATGCGTGCATGTATGCATGTATGTATGTATGCATGTATGTGTGTGTGTATGCGTATATGTGTATGTGTGTATGTGTGTATGTGTGTGTGTATATTTGTGTATGTGTATGTGTGTATGTGTGTATGTGTGTATGTGTGTATGTGTCTATGTGTCTATGTGTGCATGTGTGCATGTGTGTATGTGTGTATGTGTGTCTGTGTGTCTGTGTGTCTGTGTTTGTGTATGTGTGTATGTGTGTGTGCGTATGTGTGTGTATGTGTGTATGTGTATGTATATGTATATGTATATGTGTATGTGTATGTATATATATATATACGTATGTGTGTGTATGTATGTATGTATGTATGTATGTATGTATGTATGTATGTATGTATGTATGTATGTATGTATGTATGTATGTATGTACGTGTGCATGTATGCATGTATGCATGTATTCATGTATGCATGTATGCATGTATGCATATGTATATGCATATGTTTATGCATATGTGTATGCATGTGTTCATGTATGCATGTATGCATATGTGTATGCATATGTGTATGCATATGTGTATGCATATGTGTATGCATATGTGTATGCATATGTGTATGCATATGTGTATGCATATGTGTATGCATATGTGTATGCATATGTGTATGCATGCGTCTATGCATGTGTGTATGTATGTATGTATGTAGGTAGGTAGGTAGGCAGGTAGGTATGTACGCACGTACGTACGTATGTATGTATATGATATGTAGGTATGCACGTAGGTATGCATCTATCTATCTATCTATCTATATATCTATCGATCTATCCATCTATCTGCATGTGTGCGTATGTATGTATGTATGTATGCATATACGTTTATGTATGTAAGGAAAGTAAGATAATGTGAATGTAATGTATTGCAGTGTATGTTATGCTATATTGTAGTGTGTGTGTGTGTGCAATGTGATGTAATGTGATGGAACGCAATGCAACGTAATGTAATGCAATGTAATATATGTACGTACCGTACATCCGCATGTATGAGTATTTTACACATACATTATAGAGTGACATAAACATCGGTAAAACCTCTTCAAAAGAGCGATGTTTCCAAACCAATAAAGGTGCACATATGAGTCGGTAACAATATTCCTAAAGTGCCCATGGGTAACTTTTCCATTTTCATGGGAAAGTCGTCTTTTTGGCGCTTTTCGCTGGTGGTCATCCCATGTAAAGGACCTTTTGATCAACCCCCCTATGCAGAACCGGGGTTTGTTGAGTTCGTGACAAGGGTGCCCTTTGCAAAGAGTGCTCTTTGCCCATGGTCATACGACCATTCTCCATTTCGATGGTAGCTATTGTCAAATGACACCCGTGACCAACCGATTGATAGTGCTCCATATGATATATCCATATATATATATATGTATATCCATAACTCAAGGAAAGGGGGCCAAATCCGCTTTATGCCATAAACCCATGAATTAGAGCCCGCTCTGATCGTTGTGAATCGGCGCAGCCCCAAACAGTGTCACATTTCGCCTTGAAGGTTTGGTTGTGCAAGTTGGGGATTTTGCCAGGAAGACGTGGGACATGTGACATGTGTGTGTGCGTGTGGGCACTGGTCAAATCCAATCAATGGCATAATGGGCCTTTTGGTACAACCATGTAGAACCCAAAGGTGTTTATTTAACAGGGTTTCGGGCTTAGGGCCTCAGACTTAATCCCGCGGGATCAGAAAGCTTCCTTTCAAGTCTGCAAAGCCCTTCTGAGGTTGGCATATAGGTGGGTCTTGAAATGAGGGAACCCAACATGGTGGGGTTTCCTTTTGGTTTCGCTTTACAGCCACCCCGCAAACAAGACCGCCCTCCATAGACGCTTCCTCTTGAATTCGGCTATTTTTTGGCAACTGCACCACAGACGTTCCCGTCCCAGATCTAACAGCTACCAAGACCTGAGGCGCAATGTGACCGGCGAATCACTCGGCGCCTGCTTTCTTGTCCAGCTCCTCCTATTTCGGCGCTGTACAGGCCAATCGAAGTCAAATTAAAATGGGTGGGGGGTGAAAATGTCACCTGCTCCCCCTCCCCGGGAGCCCCCTCCGCCCCTCCCCCCTCCCTCCACCCCCCTCCACTGCAAAAACAGCTGCACTCGTGTTTCCCGTGAACCCCTCCCTGTCCTTGTGGCCAAAGCTGGCCGGGTGCCGCACCTGCCGCAGCCCGAAAAACCAAAAAGCCCCCCCACCCCCAAAATGGGGGGGGAGGGGAGTCATGCGTACTCTGTGAGTGGAAACCCCTGGCTAGGTCCTCCAGTAGAGAGGTTTCAATAAGGGTACCCGATGTTTTTCTGTAGTCTATTTTAGTAGGGGATCCTCCAAAAAAGGGTAAAAGGGCACTACTGGGGGACCTAGCTGGGAATCGTTTTCCCACCACCTTTGTAGTACCAGCCGTTTTGCCGCGAATGCAGTAATTACCTCAGTACCCAACCTTTGAAATTTACGAAGTCATGCAGCGCGCTCCCTCGACCAGTTGGCCCGCGCACGTCCCTGCAGTCGTTGTATGCGTACTCTCCTTCTTCAAGCTACCTAGTTGCCTTTCTTCATTGAAACCTTTGATTCCGAATCCCGAAGTGACAAGTCCCGATGTAGAGTCATCATCACGGGTCTCCAGCCGTCTTGCAATGACTCACTATGTTTCGTCCGGAAGATCCCCAGCTTCTCCCAACGTCATCTCGGTCAGGGAAGCGTTTCGAAAAACCAGCGACCGCCCGAGTCAACACGAGGGCGGCCGTGGCTGGGGCATCCAGGAAGGAAAAAGCAGCGCTGGCCTGAGGCTTGGGCTCGCTGGCACCCCATGGTGAGGTACAAACGGTTGTCTCCAAAAGGGCCCAGGAGTGGGTTCCAGGATTCCGCCCACCAATCCCTGAAAGGTACTTTCGCCCAAGCAAATCCCTCATGAACCCCAAGCCTGCGGCTCTTTGCCTGGAGAGCCAAACCCTGACGAACAAACCAGCCCAGACCCAGCCAATGCCTTCTGAACCTGCCAAACCATCAGACCCCGGGTAGAAAAGCATTCAATGCATGTCCCGCTTCTGGACCCCACCTTAAAAGTCAAGGCCTTTCAAAGCGCCACATGACTCCGTTGAACTCCGTTGTCGGGTCCGCCAGGTGCCGTTGTTGATCACCAAAGGTGTCATTCGGGGACTCCAGGTGGGAGTGTGGATGGTTTTCCCCTCCCAAAGCCATCTGCTTCCACGCGGCCCTGCGCGGCTTTGCAAGCCACAGCTCTTGCGGAAGCTCGAGCCAGGAAGGTCTCCTGCAGTGCTGTTCTGCTTTTCCAGCGGGGAATGAGGGCAAAGGGCCCGAATTTCTGCGCGAATTGCTTGAAGTCACCAACCTAAAAGGGCAAAGCTAAGAAATGAGCCTTCATGAAGGTCACAACCTCCCCTGCGTGAGGCATAATTTGCCACTAGGGAGGAAACCAAAGGGCTTCATGAAAAACCATAGGGAGAAAACCATAGGGAGAAAACCATAAGGAGAAACCATAGGGAGAAAACCATAGGGAGAAAACCATAAGGAGAAACCATAGGGAGAAAACCATAGGAAAAAAACCAGTGGGAGAAAACCATAGGGAGAAAACCATAGGGAAAAGAATAGAAAGGACACCATAGGGAGAAAACGCCGTCTAGACGGCTCATGACCCATGCCAAATCTCGCTGGTCCTGCCGCTTGCACTCGGCCACAGGTGTCCGAGGTCTCCAGCGCCCGGCATGGCGGGGGGGGGGGGGGGGGCAGCTTTTCCCGCGCTGAGACGCTGAGAGGTGGATCTTTGGGCGCAACCTGACGCAACCCTGGCAAGGGAATTCCATGGCCGTTGCTTGAGATATTGAGGTCGTCGAATTGGATGTTCATGCAAGTGGCACAGGAAAGGTGTACCACAAAACAAGGCATCGACTTATTGATAGCGAACTTGTATGTGCCGCTCGTTTTCAACTGCCTTTGCTTCTTCACCAGCTGCTCATGATTCGAGTTGCTCAGGGGCTGTTGTCATCAAGCACTCAGGGGATCAACCTTAGCACGCTGCGGAGTGTCAGGCCACAGCCATACGCGTCCTTTTGGACAAATTAAATGGCACAGACTGAAACCAGTGGACCCCACCCCTTTTGACAAACTCAATCCACCAGAAGTCATCCGTGACAGCCACCTTTCTCCCTTGCGGCCCAATGCCACCTCCGCCCGTTTCGGACTCCGCGGACGGGAAGCCCGGCGCAAGCGCAAGCGCACGCGCTCTCTTCGGCCAGAGGCTCTCGGCGGATCCGTGCCCTCGGCGCCCGGGGAAGAGGATCCAGGGCCCAAGAAGCGAGAGCCGATCAAATCCTTTGACTTCCAATGTGACTTCCAACCTGGAGGTTCCAAAGTACAGGAAACCAACTGCCCGAACAGCATTGCGCAAGCTGGAGAATCCGTACACCTTCTTGGTCGGATATTTTTAAGGCTCTAAGGGGCCCAAACCTTCGGCGAGCACAAAATCACGCCATGGGAAAGTTGACCCAAATAGGGTGAGCGCGCGCATTGGTAGACAGCTGGACTCTGCCATGCCTTAAGAGCTCCAACGGATGTAAAAAAGCAGAAGGATGTGTCAAAATAGGCGACGCGAAACAGAAAGGCGGTTTCCTGTTGGTGTTTTCGTTAAAACTCACCCCAAATTAGATTTGTAGCCTCAAAATAAAACCTACACACACAAGTATGTCCCTGTCCGGAGTAGCGCGACAGAATGGGAGCAGCATCTCTGGTGGATGCGCTCGGTTCCTGTAGGCTCCACTGCTGTCCATGAGGCGCGAGCAGTGGAGACTTGCACGGGCGCCATCGCTCAACTGGCCATGCCCCCAGTGAACATCCGATTCAATCCAACCACTAAAATAGGAATTCTAAAATGGGTGGTGAATTCACCTACCAACCAAAATGGGATCCCATTGGTTTTGACCCACACTCAACTTGGGTGACCCTAGGGTCCTCTGATCAATGAAATGAAAAGAACAGCCGGACCTCTTGTTGACTTCCAGTCGCTTCGGAAGCGATTTGGGTGTCAAACGCTTGTCCTTTGCGTTTTGTTTCAGAGCCAACCGACACATACTAAAGCCAACCACGAAAGGTTCCAGCTTTGGGCACTTGCTTTGAATGCCCAGTGCCTCGGGAAATTGAGACGCCAAAGACCGAGCCCTGGAATTGACTTCAGAAACAGAGCCGCACGATCTCGAGGTTGAAAATGCCAAGAGGACTGACTGAGGTGTGGAAAACAAAGAGTTGTCGGTTTCAGAGCATCCGTGAGAAAGAGAAGGACCGATGGGCATTGCAGGCTCAAAGGGGTGATACCCCCCTGGCCTACCTTTAAACCAATCTCAATTCTGTCTACCCTCTCTTTGGATTAAACATGGCCAATGGTGGAGGTTCGCTTTGGACACTTTCCATGTGGAGGGTCCCACATTTTGAGACATCCATGTTTCGCTTTGTAGGCGATGTTCAGCGCCTTTTGCCTTTTTGGTTGGCTTTATTCAATTTTCTTCTTGGCGACCCGTCCAGGAGCTCCCAGTTTTTGCTCCGCTCCTGTTTCTCCCCTTCCACCGCAAACGTGTTCCGTGCTCCGTAAGCCCCAACTCATAAGCCATAAGCCCAGTGCGTCCTTCAGAGTTGCTCCAAAGACCACCCTCGGGGCGGGGGTGGGGCAAGGAGCGCGGCTCGGAGCACCCCGGCAGTGTTCGGCTCGTCCCAAAGAGCAAAAGCAGTCGTATTGGGAAACTGATGTTGTACAAACCACCCAAACCAAATCCAAACCCAAATCCAAACCCAAACCAAACCCAAACCAAACCCAAATCCAAACCCAAATCCAAACCCAAATCCAAACCCAAATCCAAACCCAAATCAAACCCCAAATCCAAACCCTTCAATACGGTACCCTGCTCGTGCATTCTCAACCACAATGAGAGCAACAAAGTGTACCCGGTACAACAGTGGTCCATGCAAAGGGGCCAAATGCACAATCACGTCGAACAAGATGAGTAGTTCTTCAGCCCCTGGTACCCTTGTACTCTCCAAACTGAGCGCTATGGTCAATGGCCCCTGCTGGCAGGGCTACACGGAAAGCTGCCGCTCTTTGAGCGGTGCAGCGTCACCAGATCCAAAGACGCCTCCTTCTGCACCTGCAAGTAGGACCAGGCCCAAACCGTCAAGCACACAAAGAAGCAAACCAAGAAACCAGCCAACAAACAATCAAGCAAACCAACCAACAAACCAACCAACACACGAACGAACACGTGAACCGCTACCATGTCAGTTGGTTTACAGGGAAACCAAAGGAAAACCACTACCCATTTCCGCGCTTAAAGACTCAGGGTCATAATTTGGTCATGGCTCCCTTGGTATACTGCTCTGAATCAGCATTTCATGAAGGGCTCCCTTGAAATATGGTTACCCACTCCCCTTTGAAAAGGAATGCTAAAGGAAACAACCTGGGTTCTCCCCTCCCCCCCCCAAGGGCACTACTGGAAAACCTCGACAAAGAACCATAATCACAAGCCCAGAACCCCCCCTTTGCGCAAGAAATGGGCGTGGCTCAAAATTAAATAGGAGGGGTTACGCAGGTTTTGGTCCATGTTTCCACTTACCAGGGTTCCATTTTGGTACCGGTTTTTTGAGCCACAGCCAAATCCCTCGCCACCATCGCCTGGCGAAGGAGCTCTTCATCCACCAGGTCGGAGCCTTGGCCCAGGAAGCTGGCCCGGAGCTTCTCGATTCCAGTCCTGGAGCTTCTCGAAACGCCAACCAAAATTCCAAGGTGCTTGGCCTCTTTGAGTGGAAAGTTGCGGGAGTGGTACTTGTGTTTTTTTTGGGGTTGTTTTGGTTTCTTCCTGAGTGACACATTTCTTGTTGGGTGGTGCCACAAATAGAAATTGGATCCCTGAAATGTCAAACACCGACACAGTTCCAGGTTACAAGCAACCATTGACACACACACACACAAACACCCATGAAGATGAAAGAAAGAAAGCCATGTTGGTCCCGTTGGTCAAAGGCAACGAAGCCGGAACAACGCCGACGTGCCTGCGCTCCCAACAGCTACCTGATCTGGGCTTTTCTCGCCGATGAATAGACGCAATTCAGGAGAAACCATGGCTTCTGAGGGAGTCCAGATCTTCCGAATTCATTCCAAGAAACAAGCGTTGAGTAGCGGTGCTGCAAAAAATACAAAAGCTGAACAATAGTTGGAAGCTTGGTTCCGTTGCGAACCCTCATGTACAACGGTATGAAGGGCATGGAGGGCATAAAGGGTATGGGCGGTGCGAAGGCTATGGAGCGAGTTGGGGGCATTCAGGATGCTTCTCATTTCCGTTTGTCACGCATCCTGCAGGGGCACATCAAAATAGTTGGTCCACCATCACTGGTTTCGGCTCCACCCATCGTGTGCCCCTTTTTAAGACAAGATCGGCATACCCCCTCAAGAAAAAATGCCGCAATTCCTGCATGGGGGGGGGGGGGGGCATCTATTGACCAAACAAGGCAACCTTGATTGGACAACCCCGCAGGCAATCGAATCTATGACTACGGATACTCTCTTTCCAATCATGGAAGTACACAAAGTTCCCCCAAAAGGAAAATCGTCTTCCGAACGCCTTCCGGCGCCTTCCGTAGGCGCCGAGGCTAAGCCAGCGGTTTTCAAGGCCAGTGCCGTATTGGTCAGAGGACAAGGAAGGACAAGCCAAACAAACAAACAAACAAACAAACACACACACACACACACACACACACACACACACACACACACACACACACACACACACACACACACACACACACACGCACACACACACACACGCACACACAAGCACACGCACACACAAGCACATTAAAATGAAGAAGAATAGAAAACACCTCTGCCGAGCCTCGCCACGTTCTAGCCCCCGACTTTCGATCAGCCTCTCACCATTTGGCAACCCCGGAAGTTGCAAGCTGGATCCAACAAAGCGAACCATCAACCCGCAGCGATCAAATCGCCTTGGTGTCCCTTGGTAGATTCCTCGCCGCTAGACACGCTTGATCGACCGATCGATGGTTCCAAGACCTGAAATTAAACTCGGATTTGCCGGTAAAGAACCTGCATGGCGTTCACTCGCTTGGCCCGCAGGATCCCCCGAATCGGTGAGCTCGCTAAGAAATTGGACAAACTGATCATCTCCACCCCCTCCCCCACCCCCTCCACCCCTCCGTCCTCCGCCCCCCTCCCCCCTCCGCCCCCCTCCGCCCCCTTCCCCTCCCCCGATTTCTTCATCTTCGGGGAGGCCAATGATTCTCCTGAACTACCCCCTCAGGGGGTGGGGGTGGGGGTGGGGGTGGGGGTCGGACAGCTCACTCAAAGCTAAGGCTCTCGTTGGACCCTGTGACCTCGAAGCCCAAATTCTCCACCACCTCCATCTCCCTGAGCAAGTCCTGCGGGTGAGGCATGCTTCGGTCAGAAGTGAATTATATATATATATATACACTGTGGGGCCACATGTATACATATATTGATTTATTTATATAATGTACACAAGGTGTCTTGAACTATATCCACATTTAAGGTCTCCACTCTTTGCGGGCAAGTTGAAATCGTTCGGTGGATGTCTAAATGAGCAAAGTCGCAAATGGTTTATATATCATACAACAAATTAAGGCAACGGAGTTTGAAGAATTGTTTCATCTATTCAGACTTCCTAAGAATGCGAACGATGTAAAGAAACCAATAACAGACCAAATCGCCCAAATGTATGGCGACTTAGTTTATTACAAATATATCGCCAACCCTCAACAAATATTGGGGGCAACTACTAAAAGGATGGCAAAACCTCCTAGTAGAGCAGCGGGAAGCGGTGAAAGTTAATAATAATAATAATAAGTATATTTAATGATAATAATAACAAAAAACATACTGAAAAGAAAGAAGCAGAAATTCAATGATAAATATGATGACGACAGTTTTTCAATACATAACCTAACGAAACCAAACCCACCACCACCAAGACAGCCACCGAAAATGATGAAAAAGGGCATACCAATTGACACAACAACCAACACAGATGCTATTGCTACAGAAACCAGAGAGACTCAAGAAAGGCTATATAAAGACAACGATTAAATACGACATTTGAGGTAAAAGAAAACCAAGACAATATGTTTAAAATAATGCTTAAAAGCTTTTGGCACAAGACGTACAAAAGAAATGAACCAACAAGAACACAGGCAACACAAACACTGAAAAACCAACGTGATGCAATGGTGTCAGCCTTTACTACAATGCTTGACAACAATAAACCGCCAGAACCACCACCAAAGAAACCACCCGACGAGGAGGACAGCGACGAAGAAGAAAAAAGGTTCAAACTGACAAAATTGATGGAGATGATGTTACACAACGGCGCTACAACAGCAGATATAATATTAAACTTATCGCACAGCACAATCGCAACAACTATTTATTGCAGATTTAGTCAATGAGATAATGGCAGGAAATGCACAAAGTAGCAGTAGTGGTAGCAATAGTAGCAGTACTAGTTCTAATGAAGTCATTAATATTCTTCCTGCTCCCCGCGAAAGTCCAGATGAAATACCAGCACCAACTGAAGATGAAGAAGAAGCAGAAGAAGAAGAAAAACAAAATGATAGTATTGAAAAACATTTAATCTAAATAATATTATGGAATGGGTGCTTTTCAAAGTAAAAAATAAGGAACATAATAGTCACATTAAGAATTTAAGTATAGATGAAAAAAAACAAAAACAAGAGCAGATATGTTAAGAATAAAACCTTTTCAACATGTGTGGCACGAATAGAAAAAATAGAAAAATAAAAATCTGACAAATTAATATGTAAACTCCCTGCTTTACATTTTTGCAATGCTTCGTTAATTTGAATTAATAACATTAAGCCATGGGCTTAATGCTATTAATTCTCAGGAAATTGAAATGCCTGTTCAAATCTGATATGAAACATTTTGTTAATGTCTTTGGCGTTCATATTCACATAGGTGCGTCGCTAACAGCTTGATGATATATATATATATAGAAATTGCTGTTTTTTAACAATGGCGCTATTTTCTTCAATGAAGCTCATTAGCTCACTGATGTGTTTTAAACCTAAATACATACAAAAAGCTCGCATTTACACGGATAATATTAGCAATACTGCTTATACTTTTGAAGAGAACAAATAGGATTGATGGCATCGTGCCTACCTCTTGTAAATAAACTGTGTAGTATTTTAGAATATCTTAAAAACTTGGGGTCATCACTAAAATCATCTATCACGATTAATATTGAATGTAACTTCTCTTTTTTTGGATTTCATATAGTTAATGATTTTCTTCTGTGTTTCAATTACATTTGCTAAATCAATTGGACTATAATTGTGTTCCTTTTCATCATCCACGTGTAATTCATCTCGGATATACTTTCTAACTTCTATGAATGTAGGGTCGTTCTGAACACTGGGTGAACATATAAGTATTCTTGCGAATGAACTTCTATAAACATTTAAGATACGGTATTGAATTAAAACTGTTTTGCCTCCCGTTGATGAAGCAACTATAATGCTTCTAAATGGTAATTTTGGCACGTGCTCATATCTAGATTGTTTGAATTCGTAATCGGCTATGTTTATTTGGTTGTATTATTGGAACATCCGACATAATTTAGTATTAAAGATATTTAGAAAATAATTCATAACTAATATCAAATGGAACATCGTTTTTATGATATGCTGGCGGTGAATATCATAACAATGGAACAGGCGTTCAATTGCTTCAATCAATAAGCATTGAAGATAGTTAGTTGTGAATTAGTTTTGAATTCCCGTCACCCAGTGAAGAAACAATGGCTGAACCCCCGAATATTCCAAATAATAAGATTAATAAAGTTTTGTTCTTATTATTCAATATGAATAGAAGTTATTCATGTTATATTGATGTTATTAATCAAGTAGAAGAAATAAAACAAGAAATAATAACTGATAATAATTCAAAAAAAAAGGAATACAATATATCACAAAAATGTAAATATGAATATAAATGCCAAGAAAGAAAAAGAGTAAATCACAGTCAATATCAGATGATGAAAGACCAATGCCGGAAATTGAAGAACGGAAAGAAACAACAGAAAGCGTTAAAACCATGTGTAAGTAAATAAATAAAATGTGATAAATGTAATTATATTATGAACTTTCAAAATGAATTAATAGTAGACAAGCAAGGTGGTATTAATATTAAATGTATTCCGTGTATGTGCTCAGTCAAGAAGAAAGACCAAGAAATGAGCGTATCAAGAAGAAAGACGGAGATATGACAATAGAAACTAACAAACATTTAGTAAATGTTAGTTTTAATAGAACGACAACATAATAAAATGATTTGCATTATTATTTATAATGCAAAATAGTATAAATAATATTGTAAATTGTATTGATGTATATACTTTGCGGTGCGATGACTTATGAAATATGAAAAATGATATTTTTACAAAATAACAAGTTTAGTTATAGTTTTCTCTATTAGTATATCATGGACAAAGATTTGAAAGTATTGTTTGATAAGTTGGATATGGTACTGATACAAAAAAAGAGCATATTAGAAATCCTAAATGCAATGGAAAAGAAACCAGCTTCAAAATTCATTGACAAAAACAGCACTGAATATGAAAATAAGAAACTGGTATATTTAAACAAACTCAATAACAAAGAGAGAAAAGAGCCGAAGCCCTCCACTATGGCATTTTATCAAATTGGCTATGATGAAGATACAGGGGCTTATTCATAAAGGGCTTCAAGGGTAAATACGCATCATACACTGACTGACCCAATAGAAGCAAAATGCACAAGATGCAACATAACCAAGAAGGTAGAAGAGTTCGGATATAAAAAAAAGGTAACAGCCTGTATCAAAACTGAACAGAATGTAGAAAGAAACGAAAGCAGAACAAAAAGGCAAAACAACAGAAACCAAGTTCTAAAACAGTTACAGCAAGACATTTCCACTTACACTGTAGACAAATCGTTGTATGACGATTTTATGATCAGCCAATATATAAAGAATGATACATTGTATATTGAAATTGCAAAAGCACCATCAGCAAAACAAGAAGAAGAAAAACAACAAAATCTCGCACTTGAAATGCACAAATTGAAACCTTTAATACCTTAATTTTACTATAATCACAACATGTAAGACTTCATATGTTGTTATTAGAATGATACACTTATTTCTATGAATATATGTCTCTGAAAAGCATTTAAAGAAATATTACCTTAACTTGCTAGATGATGAGTAACACAGAAAGTCATGTTAGGGGTACAGAAAGTGAATGCTATTATGAGTCTGAAATGATATCAAGCATATTAATCAATAAATTATGAGTGATAAGTGTAGAGATTGTTCTTTATCAAAATCAACAATTAAACAAGGGTTTTCAGATGGTGTTTCACATAATATTTGTGAATATATAACATGTGATAAATGTTCAACAGTAATCAATGCTATTCAAAATCATAATTCTAAGTGTGATTGTAGCACTGTTAATATTAGTAAAAATACACTTGATGAAGATTTGGAGATATTCGTATTTATTGAAATGAATAAATTATTGACTGTATAAGAGTTTGATAATTTATTATATACTGGTGATGATGATGGAAATGATAAAACCATTCTATGGTATTTCTTTGAATATTCAAAGATTAAAATATGAAGCATGGAATGAGAATGACTTTGACTTTTTACAATGCGAGTATAATTTAAGTGAGTTTGAATATAGAGTGAAAAGAGCAATTAGAACATTAAGCTGGTTTACAAACAAATAGGAAATACTATTTACAATGAGAAAACAAGCGACAAAATAATAAAAAGGATTAAACGGAATTGTATTGGTAATATCTATTTAGATTATGGTTTTGCTATAGTTACAACATAAGAATTTATATGTTGTAATTATAGTATACTTTTATTATATAAGCCGTGGTGGTGACTATCTACCTAAGCCTTGCCCATCCGCATATTGCCATCCATATTTACTGGGATTGTTGACATGATTTGAGTTGGCCCTTGTGTCTTAGGTGTTCCTTTGTCCATTGGTTAACCGCTTTTCATGGAGCGACAATTGATTGAAAATAGGGTTGTTTTGGTGGGCGTATTCACACTCTGCCAAAAAGTGTGGGGGAAACCCTATGACTGGATGGCAAAATGCGGACGGGAAAGGCCTAGTCTAACTGGCAGCCTCCCCATGATGTTCGATCAAGTGATGACTCAAATAGGGGTGCAATTAAATCTATGTACAGCCCCCCCCATGATGTTCGAAGAAGTGATGATTCAAATAGGGGTGCAATTAAATCTCTGTACAAACTCTCAAAAGTAGCGGGGGGGGGGGGGGGCGGCAGCCCCCCCCGTGATGTTCGAAAAAGTGATGATTCAATTAGGGATGAATGATTCAAGAGGTTGGCGGGTGTGGCGTCGCCTATGATGCTCGAAGAAGTGCATACATACAGACATACATAGACTAAACAATGTCGTATTTTACAGCATTTTCTCGCGAAATTGGATGCTCGAAAAAGTGATGATTCAAATAGGGGTGTAATGAAGTTTCTGCAAAAACCTAAAAAGTAGCGGGTGAGGTGGAAGGGGGGGCAGCCCCCCCCCCATGATGTTCGAAGAAGTGATGATTCAGGTCGGCAGCCCCCCCCAGTGATGTTCTAAAAACGTGATGATTCAAGTAGGGGTACGATAGAAAATAAAAAGCAGCGGGGGGGGGGGGGGGGTTGGGGGGGTGGCTTCTCTATGATGTTCGAAGAAGTGCATACATACAGACATACATACATGCAGACATACATAAACATAAATATAAAGAACACTTGCCAGAGAGGAACTGGTGATGCTGAGGATGCGGGGAGCCAACTGGGAATGCAGCGGATGCGAAAAGCCACCAAAAGCTGCACAAACCAACAAGAAGCCGAAAAGCCAAGAAGCCAAGAAGCCGAGAAGCCAAGAAGCCGAGAAGCCAAGAAGCCAAGAAGCCAAGAAGCCAAGAAGCCGAAAAGTCAAGAAGCCAAAAGCGGAAAAAAAATAAGAAAAAAACAATGAAAAACAATCCTAAAAAAAATACCCCTCCAAATAGAATTAAACCCCCCTCCCTCTGAATCACAGGGCCTCATTCGGACCCTGAAAGTGCAGACTTATACCCGCCGCAATCAAAGTCAACAAAACTCAACTGCTAGCTCCCACATGAACGTAGTCTGTGACCACACCACTGCGACTGCATGAAGGTGTCGTCAACTGTTAGCTGTTCGAAAGGGAAACTGAAGGCCAAAGAGGCTAGGTCCTCCAGTAGAGAGGTTAGAATAAGGGTACCCTTTTTTCTGTAGTCTATTGTAGTAGGGGAACCCTCCCCAAAAAAGGGTAAAGGGTCACTACTGCAGGACCTAGGAGTCCTAAAACAAGCAGAAAAGGCTTCGGCTATGCCTTGCAACGCTTTCCTGGAAGCTTGTGCAGACCTTGTTCGCTCCCTATGGCTCCTGTTGTCCCCCAACTTTAGAATGGATAGCAACCCCAAAGGCGTCGAGGGCCCCTAAAGGAGTACTTGCACCACATTACACCCCTGTATATTAACATGGAACCCCAAAAACCATCGATCTCTTCTTGGGGGTTTCATGTTATTGGCCACGGAAGTCTGGTTTTTCCAGGGTCCATTGGCTCTGACCCAGGCCTGAACCTGGTGGGTGATCTCCGACTGCCGGTGCTCGCGACGCTCCACGTTCTCCGCCAGGCTCGCGCGGTAGAACTCGATCATCAGCCTCGATTGGCAGATGTTCGCGATTCGCGGGAAACGACCCTTGTCTCACTTGCCCAAAGGACCCAGAAATAAAAGGTTAACCTTTTGGCACTCAAAGGTCAAAAGGTCGGCTTTGGGCAACTGAGTTGTTCTAGGGATGCCTGCCATTTCCATTCTTTCCAGGCATCCTTTTTTCTACAACCCAAAACAATGGGGGGAAACGAAGAGGAATCAACCCCTAGGCTTATGATAGGCGGTCACTTTCAGCGGAAATGCCTTTATCACAGAACCTGGCAAACCGGCAAACCCAGTTGCCGAACTCCCACCTTTGGATGTCCTACACGCGGACTTCACATGCTCTCGTTGCACTCCTCGAGCTCTAGGAATCCCCAAGTGAGGCGACTCCTATTCAACGGCTCCAGAGCGTCTGAGACGAAATCCCCTGCTGTTCCCGAAAAAGGAAGTGAAAACAAACATGCATTTATCGAGATTGACCAGGAAACGGGTCCCTTCATTTTGCCCGAAAAGTCGGGAGTCAAAGGGTAAACCCTGAGCAGCAACTACCTGCCTCGAAAAATGCGATCAAAAAAAGAAGGCAGGCCAACTAGAGATGGAAACCTCCCAAAAACCTGGCAAAACCTTTAGGTTGCTCCGGGGAATTCCTGAAGATATGCGGGTATGTGTTGAAAGATCGGGGCACCCCAAAGACCGTCCCACAGAAACGTAAACCCATGCCAACTTTTAGACCCCTCCACTTCCCAAACACCTCGGCAAAGACCCGCAGTGCAAGAGAACGAGCAGACTCGCAGACTCACAGACTCAGCGCATGAAAGCGGGAAGTTGGGACACAGATAGGGCTCTGTCCACTTTAAGCATCATGCCAAAAGGAAACTTGGTTTCACAAGGTGATGCTTAAAACCAAGAAAAAATGAAGACCCCCATAAAGCCCGGTTCAGCACAGATTCAAGGCTTGTGACCTTCGGCAACATACGGTAATTATCAGGCCTTGTTCGGTCTGGTGACCGCTCACTTGCAGCCCAACTTGGGTGGCTAAGACAACAGAAGCTCCTGTGGGATGATGTTCATTTGGGTACATTCATCACTTAGGTCGGGATTTGTGTCTGCCAACCGCTTGCCAGAGGGTTCTTCACTAAACCTCATAGCCATGTGACGTGAGGAACCCAGGCAGAGTTTCACTTATTGGTATGCTAGAACGCTGTGCCTCACCCGATTCCAGCTTTGTCATTCAAGCGATTCACTTCGAGATTCCACTGCCGATGCGCTTCTGATTGGAAAAGCCAAGTTCCGAGTGCGTCGATAATCAGAAGGCCAGGTGAGCATGGCTATACATACACATATCTATATATTGTCACATATATTGTATGCGTATATACTCCAAAGTTCTTTATAGGCCTCTTCAGGCAGTAGACCCCCTAACATGGCACTCGCAGGTATGGTCTTGCGCACTGCTCAGCGGGTAAGCCCCTCGGGTTTTGGCGTCTTCCTGGAACCTGAGCCCCGGACGCTGTGACGAGATTCACCACGACCAGGACTGCAATGCCGTAGTATGCCACGAAAACCAGCCCGAGCAACGGATGAGCCTTGCAGCGGTTCCCTTTTTTGGCAGACCTCCAAACGGATTCCTACCACATTGAAAAAAGGGTGAACCATAGATTTGTCACATAAGGCAGTCAAAAAAGGACCAACCAGCAAGCATGAGAGTTGCAAACAAAAAGCAAACTAACAAAACGACAAACAAAAAGGATCAACGCAAACCCTGAATCTTGTGGAGGCGCCAACTCGACCTCATCCCTGTATGAGCCAATGGGCTCAATTCCATCCGGGGACAGGACACCTCATGCAAAGCCTAGAACGTGTGGTTCCCTTGTGGCTTCTCTCCTCAACCGACCAAAAAGCTTGGTTTCCTTGAAACAATCCAAAAGGGGGTTCCCAAAAACGAGAACTCAGAACCACGCCCGGCGCGCCAGGGAGCTGTTTGCAGATTCTCTTTCACCATAGTCGTCCCATCTGCATTGAGGAGAATCTGGAGGAGCGACATGGCCGCTTTAGGAAACGTGACCTCAAGTCGCCGAACCAAAATCCCGCCGAGAGATGGTAAGGTACCCTCCTTTCCAATCATGGAAGTGCACAGGATTTTGGCAGACTACCAAGATGTAAAGAAACCACTCCTGTTCACTTCCATTCCATGCTTGCGAAAGAAGAAACGGTAGCAATGCCTGAGTCATCCCATCCACTGAGAGGCAGACAAAGCCTGGCGCCTGCTGGTTGCCCAAGATCTCCATTGCAGTGGCGGCAAATGTGTAGTGCATTACAGAGATCAATCCCATCATCTGCGTCATTGCCTAAGCGACAACTTGGAGACAATGAACACACCTTTAGCTTTTGCACATCCACTCGCTTTGCCTATCACCATAGGCAAACAACCCCGTCATGCCAATCCTGCACACCCATAGGTCAAAAGCTTAGCTTCAATGAGTACAAGACTTGTTCAAAGGAAAACATACTTCAGAGGCTCGTAAAGGAGGCCTCTCTTTCATTTGTGCTCCGTGTGTTCTCCTCTTCGGTGAGATGGGTCAACGGCAACCTCCGAGGCGCGGGAAGGATGGCCGCGAAGCACTGGCAGAAGCGACTGCTGCCGGAGGTCATCGCCAGGCGTAGGCTGCGCAGTGCCCCCAGCCCTGCCACAGCGTCGCCTCGGCCGAAAACGTTGGCCGCGAGCGAGCCCTGCGGGTGGGTCGATGTTCGAGGGGAGTCCCATCGACCTTCAAAGGGTCTAGGTCCAGTAGAGAGGTTAGAATAAGGGTACCCTTCTTCCTGTAGTCTATTTCGGTTGGGGCACCCTCCCCCAAAAAGACTAAAAGGGCACTACTGGGGGACCTAGGGGATCTTGGGAGTGGGTTTAAGAACAAATTCCATAGCTCCTTCAGGGTGAGGTGGCAATGACCCCTTGTGAGGTCTTTGCAATTTCCCCATATATGGGTCTGGGTCAAAATTAAACCACCAGGGGACCGCAGGTCTTAGTCCATGTTTCCATCTACCAGGCTTCCATTTTGGGCTCGTATTTTTGACCCTCAGCCATATAAATCGAATTCCAAATGCCACCAACTCCTTACTGTGCCTTGACTACAAGCTATTCTGCGAGGGCGCCATCCTCCCTTCAACATGCTTGCAGTACAACTCACCTATGAACAGCTGGTCAAAACGAAATCAGCGGGGGAGCCCTATACAAATGGTTTTAGCAAAATCGAAAAGCGGGGGGAGGGGGGGTTCTCTCCAAATACGCAACCCCCAGAAAAGAGAGAGAGAGAGAGAGAAAGAGAGAGAGAGAGAGAGAGAGAGAGAGCGAGAGATAAAAGGAAAAAAGAAATGAGAGAGAGAGAGAGGGACAAAGACAGAAAGAGAGAAAGAATGTGATTTCCATATTCCCTTTCCGTTTGGCTCCCTTTAAGAACCACCACCAAAAAGGTCACCTGCAAGAAAACAACAAATCCTCTTGATTTACCGAATTGCTGTAGCTTCCACGCCATGCCTCAAGCCAAGCCACGGAAACTCGCGAAGCTGCCTCGGACTGAAAAATCCGAGAGTTGGAAAAACTGCCGGAAAAGGGAAGCGGCCATAATCTACGGTACATTGCACCTGTTCGCCTACCCTCGAACGAACATCGAACCTGAAAGAAGAACCTTGCAAGAATGGTCGACTAGGCAACTTCCTTCAGGCTCCATGTTAGCGGGAAGGAAATTATCTGTTCTGCGAGGGGAAAAAAACAATTCCGCTTTGCTGTGAACGTTGCTCGCTGCACCCGAGAAACGCCGACAAGGTAAGCCTGACTTTGTTGACCCTCATTGACCCCTTAATGTGAATGCTCACCCTTTAGGGGTAATCGTGTTCGGCACCAAGGCGGGCCCACAGTGCAGGCATGATGGTAAAGATTACCGGTACCATGAACAAACCTGCGCTGGGACTTGTTGGAGCAGTTTGCATGGGCTATGGTTGCTTACTCATGCTTAATCATCCCACATGTTCCCTGGCCCCGGTCCAGCCTGTCTTGACATGTCAGAGCTGATCTATCATATTTTTGCGATCCTTTCGCGACTCCGTCGTCCCGCCCTTTTGTTTGCAACTTGCAGCCTGGAGCAATTTCGTCGTTGCATTAGTGTTTGCAAGCGCCGTGACCACACCGGCTGACTGCAGCTGTCAACATTCCAAATCATTCCCCTTTTTTTTCGCGGATCTTTCGCGAAACTTGCCCCAAAAAGGCCAAGCCAACGCTAAGGCATTTCCAGCTTGGGCGGGGAATCAAGGATGCAGGTAAAAGTCCTGCACACACCCGCAAGCACGCGTCCAAGAAGCCAATGCTAATCCTTTCGTGAACAAACAACAACCCCTTCACGAACTCCTTCGCAACATTTCGTGGTTATAAACCTGCCTTACAACATTATCGAGCTCCGCATTCCATTCTAAGTCCTGACAAAGTACACCCGAATGAGCATCTATATCTGTTGAGTCTGCTGAAAATAGTGTCAAGCCTTGATTTCAATCAGCCCCTTTTTTGATCACACGGCGCAACTAGAAGAAGGCATGTTGTGAGGAGTATGGTTCTTGTTGTTGATGAGAGATAAAGGACAATGGATGATTCGTGATGAATGATAAATTTTGACAAATGACTAATGAAAAATGATGAATAGTGACTAATGGATGATGAACAAAGGATTATGGATGATGGATGCTGATGATGATCATGATCATGAGGATGATGGTGAATATGTTGATGATGATGATGATGATGATGATGATGATGATGATGATGATGATGATGATGATGATGATGTTCATCATCATAATCATCATCATCATCATCACCATCATCATCATCATCATCATCATCATCATCATCATCATCATCATCATCATCATCATCATCATCATCATCATCATCATCATCATCATGAGCATGATGATCATGCTCATCATGATGATGGTGATGGTGATGATGCTGATGATGATGATGAGGAGGAGGATTCCAGGATGCTGATCATGATGACGATGAAGACGACGACGATAACGATGATGGTGCTGGTGCTGGTGCTGGTGTTGTTGCTGCTGGTGGTGATGGTGATGGTGATGGTGATGGCGATGGTGATTGATGTTGATTGTTGTGGGAAACACCGCCCTCTAGATGACAACCCTTCCGATAGACCAAGGACATGGAGGTGCATTCGATTCGGGCTTCCCAAGGCCAAAAGCTACCTTTGGTATCACTGTATCACCCTCAAGGAGCGATTCGGGCCTGCTAAGCACCGGCTATGTTCCCTTGTCACCATTCGGAAGTCAACTTGCAATCGAGCTCTCGCAATCGAGGTGCTCAGGAAATAGCTGCATAAGCCCAGGGCCGTCAATGCCGCTGCCTTGGTGCGGTGAGCGAAACCACTGGCCGATGGCTGCCGACGAGACGCAAACAGGAGGGAACCAAAGCCAAGCCCCGGCGAAAGGCTCGTACGGCTCTGAGAACCTTTCTGGGTGCTGACGGCTCTCTTGGGCAAATGGCTCATTAGAACTGTGAGTAAGACGAAAAAAGCAAGGAATCTGCGCTAATTTATGTCATTCACCGCAGAGAATTGCGCGATCGATTAAAAGGGGAACTTCATCCAGTGCAGGGGCCAGGTTTGGCTTCGAAAGTCACTACGACGACCTGACCCAAACAGATTAGCTCGAGCTAGCGGATCTAGTCACCCCTTTAGGTAACCAGGTGCAGCCAACAGGCAATCAACATTGAGGAAGAGCCATCCGCGCAGTTGGGGTGAGGGGAATCTCAAATCTCTGTCGCATACTGGGGATGGTTACAACAAATCCACTAAACGCACCGGTTGGGATGGATGAAACGAAGTCTAAATACTGGTTGATGAACCACTTACCAACTAGTGCCTGGCGCGGATTTGTAACCATCCGCAGTAGGATATGCTCTTGCAGCTCAGCGTTGAGCATGGGCAGCTCGTTTGAGGAGAAATCATGACACAGCCCTTGCGTCTGTCAGAACCCTTGTCTTGTTTGAGGGAGGAATCTTTTTTGGAAGCCGCGGCTTCAACCAATGGAAACCACCCAGACAAGCTTGAATTAATATTCTAAATCTAATCTAGAATACTGGGCTGCGAGGTTCCCACGTGCTTTTCACCTTTGCCGGGGCAAAGCTGGACAAGCATGTGCAGCGCGCATTCACCCCCTCTTCACATCTTTCAGATCACCGTAGAATTCATGTTCCAAAGACGGAGCCTTACAAAAAAAAAAGGGCGGTCGCCAAAAAGCGAGCAAGCCCGGCTTCAAGGGGCCAAACAGCGATTTTCAGCCCCAGCGCAAAAAAAAAAAAAACACCGCCCGGCGCGGATCGGTCTCGGATCGGACTGCCCAGCGGCCAGGATGATCTCCCCCCGCAGGATGGGGGTCTCAGAGGGCCCGAAGCGCCAGGCCTTGCGGATGCTGCCCAGGGCCAACACCTTCAAGGCGGAGAGCCCGTGCCGGGGCGGGGCGGGGCGTGGTCTGCTTGTCAGAAAGCCCCCGGTTGGTTTGTTTTTCTTTTGGTAAACCAAGAAAAGGAGTGTCAAACCACTGGGGACGGCACCCACCCATTTGGAGAAACTCGCATGGTGGACCCTCTGTTGTTTTGTTTGAAGGGCACCTGTTTTTGCAAAAAAAACCGCGTTCAGGGCGCCAATTTTGAGAAACCTCCGTGTGCCGGCCTTCCCTGGTTCAGGCCAAAGCCCCGAATCGGTGCGTTGAACCCACATTTGAGCCAGTCAAAACGCGTCATGGCAATGGATCCTTTAATAGGGACCCCATACGCTGGTTGTCTGAGGTCGTAAAGAGATCATGATAAACCCTGCCAACCCAAGTAAAGCGTGCTCTGACCATGGTACAATTATCTTCTTCAAACATCACACCACCAACGGACAACTACATCAACATTGGCAACCGATGGGTAATGTTTCAACCGACATATCGGGACGCCTGTTGCAAGCAGTAGTGTCTCGCATGCAGGAATGAAGTCACTTGCGCACTTGCTCCCTCTGTTTGATTGTTGCTGGAGTCCCACAAAATGGCGCTTGTCCTTGTGTTTCCTCTTCAAACTAAGGGGAAAGGGAAAAGGGTACCTTCGGCGCACACACGAACACAAACACAAACACAGAAACAGAAACAGAACCACAACCACAACCACAACCACAACCGCAAACGCAAACACAAACACAAACACAAACACAAACACAAACACACACACACACACACACACAAACTTGAGGGACACGAAAAGAATGGGCTACAGGCCAAGTGGCGAAGGGAAAGTCCCACAGCTAGGTGTCTCTAAAAAGGAAGGGCTTACCCCAAGTGACCGGGTTGGTTTCCCGTTGGTTTCGTGGCTACGTGCCAGGACCCCTCAAAAGGTTCCAACCCAAGGTGCCCTTTTGGACAAGATGCATAGCGCTAGAAAAGAGGCAGAGAGAAAAACTAGTTTGCTTCGCAACTTGCAGCCAAGCTGACCTACGGTCCCGATGTTTAGATCTCCGGATCCCAAGATGTTGCCTGAGTCACTAGAGAAACTCGCTGGACCGGGCCCGCGCGAATCGATTCTTCAGGCCTGCATGGCCGTCTGTAGCACAAAGCCCGCTTGCAAGAAATCCTTGGTGCTCGCTACGCTCGGGCCATGTGGAGCCCGGATTTTCTGGAAGTCCAAAAGGTGGGGTACGCTGGTGGGACCGCCTGTGGCGGCAGATTAGAAAGTCTGCGTCCAGAAAAGGACTTTGGCTGCAAGCAAGTCTGTATCCTCACATCCTCGTTTGACAAACAGACTTTCCAGCTGCCATGCTGGCTGCAGCCGAGTAAAGTATGGATATGTGGCGACAGGGTCCCTGGTTCTTTCCTTCTGGTTCTCTTTAAAGCGAACACCCAAAATTGGCTTGCTCAACATGGGAGAAGCCCAACGTGGTGGTGCGGGATCAATAGATTAGACTGGGCAGGGCACGAACACAAAACAATTCTTTCATTTGCCAATCGTGCCGCCAAATGAGTCAGCGTCAAAGTTACTTGTCTGCGTAACGTTTTTTCATATTGTTTCTCAGGTTTTTGGCTTTTGGGGTACATGTTTTTTGGACGTCAACTCAATGTGCATGACACACTCCTGCATAAAGCAAATGACGGTAAATTTGAGGCCGACTCAACCAATCATGCCACGGTGCCAGATCTTTGCCATTCTGAAACACACATGGCCAGCCCCTTAGGTTCTCTTTTTCCTTGCATGGTGAAAGAGGTCGTGACCGATCAAACCGCAGCTGCTCTCAACTTGGCGCTTGGATTGGTGGCTTGGGGTGATCTCCAATATACCAAATCCAAGAACCAGGGCTTGAGGACCCAATCCAAAGCACCGATCCAAATGAATCGCGGCAAAGGCTCATTGATTTGGATGTCCCAAGAGAGGGGTTGCCAGGTTTCCGCGTCCGCGAGGAAGATCGCCGCGTCGAGCCACATGGTCAGGCGGACCACGGTGCTGTATCCTAGGGCCCCCGAAAAAGACATCTCCCTCGGCTGAAGACCCCAACCAACCAAAAATCGGGTGTTTCCTCAGAATAGGGGGGGTCTCCCAAAAATGGTGGCTTTCCTTTTGGTGTCCTTTTAAAAACCAACCCAAATTGGGGGCCCACATATTGAGAAACACTTCTTTGAGTCTGATCCAAATTTGGTGCACCTTAGTATAAAAACGAGTGAAAAAAAAATCCCAGAAGCCGCTCAAACATCCCTTGGTTCACCGGAACCCACCCTTTACAAATGAAAACAACGGCCCAACTGGCCCAACTTGCCAACCTCCAGCACACGGACCAGCGACGCCCTATTCCATGGGTCCAATCCACCGAACTGGTTTCTCGAGCCCTTTCTGGTTGCTCAAGGACCTGTGACCTCCCGCAACAAAAGTTTGTTCTCCCTGAAAGCACGGGATCCCTGCCTTTGTCGCTTCTCTTAAGGAAAGCTTACACCCTTGACCCACCTGCGCCGTCTTAAACCCAGCCCACCCTAAACTTGCTGGTGCTAAGTAGATGAGGGAATGAAGCTAGGGATTAAAGGAAACCACCGGTCTGGTTTCTCTCGGGGTCATGAGCCATTTCTCATTCCCTGCCTCTCTCGCACCAGCAAGCAGGGCTGTGGGAAATGAGCACAAGGGCAAAAAACGAAACCCCTCAGAGGGAAAGAATTGGGGAGATTCCAACTTGTATCACAGATTCGTGGTTAGATAAACCCGAGTGATCAACCACCCCCCTCCGGCAAGCCAGTGGCCCGAAAACCCCTAGAAGTTTCTGCAATCTTCCGACCCACCCCGAAACTTGCCGTGGGCCCCCCCAAAAAAAGGAAGAAAAAAGTTGTTTTATCTACCCCTAAACTTGCCATGGGCAAATTCCATTTCTTTTTAATCTGCAGATCCCTCCGGTCGATCCCTCCGCTCGACCCACCCACAACCCCCGCGCCGTCCTCCCCCACTCCACCCGGCTGTGGGTCAAAATCCAAATCGTACCCCCAGTGAACATCAACCAATCCAACCACTAAAATAGGTTCCAAAACGGGTGGTGAATTCACCTACCACCCAAAATGGGATCCATCCCAAACCGGTTTCGACCACCACCGCCCCCCGCGCCATCACCCCTTTGCCCCCCCGCGGCGTCCACCGCCAACCGAGGCGGGGCCAACACCGAGGCGCGGAGGTCCGCCAGCAGCAGCTCCGCGCAGCGGCTCCACCAGGGCTGGTTCCCCGTGCCGGGCACGTCCCAGGCGGGCCGCCGGGGCTTGAAGGTGAGCTCCAGGACCTCCGATCGAATCGATTCGGGCGAGGAAGGAAACCCAGGGAGGAAACTTCTGGCCGGAAGAGGGCGGAGTTTTTTGTTTTGAAGGTTGGTTTGAGAAAGAAACCGAATGGGGATGGTTTTAGACCGGAAGATTGCGGAATAATAATAATAATGATGATAATTCAAAAAACAAGCACGGGGCCCCGTTTAAAAGAAACCGATGGGTTTTTTTCTTGACCGGAAGATCGCAGAAAGAGGTTCGTTTGGAATCCCATGGGGATTTGTGTGCGGAAGATTTGTTTACCGGACATAAAAACACGGGGCCCATGGTCTTACGTCCCTTTCGGTCAGGAAAAAATAGGGGATTTTGGGCGCCACCTTTGTCTTGACCATTGTCTGAACCAAAAAAACAAAAAGGGCCCATTGGCTGGTTTTTCTTTGAAGGGTTCACGCAGTCCATTGGTTTAACTTCCTTTTGGGTTCACCCTTGTCTTAACCATTGTCTTAACCAAAAAAAGGGGCCCATGGTCGTAAGTTCCTTTTGGTTTTTCGTAGCGTTCAGGGAGTTTGGGGGAGCAGGAAGATTGCAGTAATTCAAGGGGCCCATGGTCTTGCTGGTGCGAGAGATGCAGGGAATGAGAAATGGAATGACCCCGAGACAAACCATCCAAGTGGTGGTTTCCTTTGAGGGAACCCCTAGGTTCATTCCCTCATTCCCTACTGAGAACCATCAAGTTGTCTTAACCTTTTGGTTTTTCTTTGAAGGGTTCAGATAGTTTGGGGGAGCGCGGAATCTATCACGAAACGAGAATCGGATCTTGGAAATGGCACTGGGCCACTCAAATACGGAGATGGACCAAACATCCCTTGGGAGGGATCCGAGCGCATACTCTGGCAATTACTTGGTTGACATTGGGTTAGGGGAGCAAAAAAATAAGTTTTGGCAGTTAAGTGGGGATTTCCCACTAAACCACAGTAAGCAAAAGTGTAAAATGCTTCCCGACAACCACCATGATTACTGGAAGGAGGAGGGGGGTGTCCAATTCCTTTTAGTGGTTGGATTCAGACCAAATTTGGAGGGAACACCCCCTAATAATGGGACGGGTTTATTAATCCTGGGTCAACATTACTGGAAGGAGCCCACAATTCACAGAAGCACAAGGGCTGGGACCTCGTAAAGCTTTCTGGTGGAAGGGAACTCAAAGGAAACAAAACCGATTTGTTCTACCCTTGCGGCTTTCTGGCGAGGTGCACAGGGGGCTTCCCCAAAAGTCCCGGCAGCTTCTATGATTGTTGGAGAGAGGGTACTCTGAGAAGGAAACTCAAAGCCTCCAGACAGAAGGCTCCAACAATTTAACCAAAAAAAAACATCCGCCTGAAAGGAAACTTTCGTGTTCAACTGATTTTCCCAAAGATGATGCTCAAAACCACCAAGAGCACGGGTCCAACTCCCCTCCCGCATTGCCGTGGAAGCTGAAAGGTTTGGTGGCCATGTTCCTCTTGAAACGGCCCTTCGGTGAGCTCCATCCCTGGAAATTTAGAGAAGAACCACTCAAACACCCTCCTGGATCGGGAAACCACTGGTGTTCAGAAACCAACAGCTCCAAGATCTCAAGTTCGCGTCCCGTTGCCCGTCCCTTGCACCCGCGCGCTCCGAGGCCCCTCGGGCCCGCTGGGGGCCGGGCCGTGTGCAGGGACAAGAAGTCGATGGGGTCGATGTGGGGCTCCAGGCTCCAGGGATTGGCCGGGAAGGGCAGCGGGGACTCCTGCCAACCGCGGCGCTTCGAACCGCAGCGCGCACACTTTGCGGAAGACCGGGGCTGATGGACCAAAAATCCGGCGCCAGACTGTGGGTGTCACCCATCCCAACTGGTGCAGGACTTTGTCCACATGTCGGGACACACCCAAGTCCGGGGAGAAGAGGCTGCTTTTGGAAAGAAATGGGACCCAACTGCTGGATCTGTTTCGATATTCGTCTGCCGGAATGGATCTTGTCCAAGGGACTCAGCCCAGGCTGGCAACACTCTCTTGGTAGGTTGTGGCTCATTTGGGGCAGTTGTCAAGGGACACTTTGGGCTTTAAAAAGACCAAGAGGAATCCAGCCCTTTGGAGAGATGGTCCTTGTTTTACACACCCCAACTGCAAAAAGAAAGCAAATGCGGGGACAATCTGCGGCAACATTGCCCCTTTCGATGGGCTTGAGTTCTTCCAAGAACCAACCCCCCGCAAAGTGTTCCTCACAAACTGCCGCATGGCACTGCCAATCGACAGGGCCTGGGGAACCAAGAATCAAATGAGAAGGTTTCTCCCAAAACTGGACTTGGTTTGGGTTCGTGCCGATTTGAAGGAGCACGTAAACAGGACTCTGAAATATCCCGTGTGCTCCGATCCCTGACAAAAACAGGTAGTCGACACGTCATTCTATCCCAGCTTTTATCTAGATATACAATGTTCCTCAAAAAGGTGAAACAAAGGGCCATTAAAACAAATCGTGTAATTTGAGGGGCCAAAATGATACACACATTCTTGTCTCAATCATGAGGTCAATTGGTACCCCCCAACCCCGCTCTTAGATGAGCCACGGTGGCTTGGTTGCCCTAAGAGGACGTGGGACATTTAGAAAGTCACCTGTTTGTGGGGGAGTTCTCTCAGTTCCCCCATGTCCCTCCGACTTGGTTGACGTTGAAAAGGGAGCAAAAAATCAAATTTTAGCAGCCAAGTGGGGATTTCCCACTAAACCACAATAAGCAAAAATGTAAACTGTTTCCCAACAACAACCGAGCCGAAATGGACCATAGACAAACGAGTTTTTTTACCGGTGGCACCTCTGGGTGTGGCTTCTGGTAGAGCACCCAAAATCCAAAATGGTGCTCGGTTTTGTGGTTTCCCTTCAAAACACCAAAAGGGGGGTACCCTCACACCCATACTGTGGATGGATACGAAATCCATTTCGCACCACCTAAGAACCCTGGATTGATGACTCCCCTGTAAATACCAACAAACGTTGTGGTTTGCTATGGTTTCAAAGTGGTGCGAACGGATTTCGTCCACAGCGATATCAGCGATCCCCGGCTCCAGCAGCTGCGGCAGGTTCCGCTTCACCGGGGAGTGCGGATGCTGTCCGCTCCGCTCACTGAGCTCCTCCGCAACCGAGCTGCGTGTGGAGGCTGAGGGGTCCCTCCAAACCATCCCCGAGGTGAAGCATTTCGGGGCGGCAAAGAACAACCCTGGGGCGCCGAAGCATTTGAATTTGGGGCGGGGGCCTGCCAAAACCCGAGGTCTCTGCAAAGGTGTTTCTTCTCTTGGAGCAAGCCTCAGATGGTGGCCTGAAGCTTGAAGCCTGGCGGATCAACAGGCAAGTGCGTAAACGCCAAAGCAACCGAAACCACTAAACTAATAAGACACCGGTTCTTTTTTCCAGGGGTCCCTCAAAAGTGAAATGACCTGCCCATTTCTGACATCCTGTCTCAACCAGAGCTTTGTCTGGTGAATCAATGGAATCTAGAGAACAGCGTGTGGAAACATTGTGAGAGCCATGGAGCTGGGAGATACATGCTTCAGGACAGTTTGGACGAAGGAGTGTAGGACATGAGCAAGCTGGGAAAAAATAATGCGAACCTCAAGTGTGAGTTGATCATGCAGGGCTCCCTAGATTTCCCCCTTCAACGAAAGCCCGCTAAAGGAAACACACTTTAATTTAGCTTGGCCTATATAAATTGTGATGCTTCAATCAACCAGAAGAGGAAAACATAGCAAACCCTGTCAGATCAGGACGTAGGCAAGCTCTGCGGCTGACTGGAATGCTGTTGGCGATTTGCGCCTATTGGCCATGCAACAAGGCAATGGCCAAATAGAGAACGGTCTTCTAGAACGGACCTCTGTTCACATATGTGTCGATCACAAAAAGGAACGATGTTCCACTTGGGTGTCTGAAACCGCCGCCCTGACTCTAACAAATGGGTTCTAGGGTGTTGCACACATGATCCTGTGGTGCCAGTCATCCCGTGAAACGAATGCCCCAAATTCATTGTGGCCGCCCAAACTCAGTTGTTCAGTGACCCTGGAAAAAAAAGGGAGCCCTTTTTGGGGAAGACCATTTGGCTGTGGGTCAAAAATAGATTCCCCAAATGGAACCCTAGTAAGTGGAACCATGGACCAAAACCCGCGGTCCATATCCTGGTGGTCTAATTTTGACCCATACCCATTTTCAGTGGGGCAGCCACCAAAAAAAAATGCACAAGAATTGGTGCCCGCCCCTCCCACCCTCTGCAACCCCTCCCAAAGGGACCGCGGCTCCCGGATCGCTCCTCGCGGCGGTGTGGGGTGCTGGGCTTTGGAGTGGAGGGCCCGGAGCTCGCCCAGGTGGACTTGTACTTGTTGGACAGGAGGCCTCAAGGCCCACGGCTGGGGGGACAGGAGGCCTCTGGGGGGACAGGAGGCCTCAAGGCCGGCTGGGGCAACATGCTCTGGGACAAACTCGCGCCGGAACTGGTGGGGTGGCAAAACCCCTTCATCCCACGATTCATGAGGGTTTAGGGCAAAACTAGGTCCTCCAGTAGCGAGAGGATAGAATAAGTTGGTGCCTGATTTTTGTCTGTAGTCTATTCTAGGGGAACCCTCCACCCAAAAATTTGGGTAAAAGGGCACTACTGGGGGACCTAGAAAATGATCTGGATGGACAAAATCACGCCGGTTGGTGGGTTGGCAAAACCCGTTCATCCCAGTATTCATGAGGGTTTGTCCACCCAACTGGTGCAGGATTCGGGCCCTACACGTACTGTCTGCAAGTTCTACAATAACTCCGAGGCCTGGTTTGGTCGTCAAAACAAAGCGAGCGCAAACCGGAAGCCCGCACGGAGGGCTTGACTCGAATATGTATATAACAGTTACATATGCGTACATATTAGCCTCACTATCCCGACTGGGCAAGTCGGTGCTCTTGCCACCGTTTCTGGAATCCAGCTGGGCATAACCCCAAGAGGGGCCGAACAAATCCAGGGGGCCACTCATTTTGTTCGATTAGGTAGCGTAAAAGGAACACCCTGTTGCTGGATCCATCAATGTGACGCTCTGACACGCTCAAAGCTACCCCTTGCGTGGTGAAAAGGAAGTTCACCCCCGAAGAGTAGTGTTCAACCCCCCCCCCAACAAATGCCAGCAATGAGCCAGGTAGAACCTACCGAAATCACCTTGACCCGTGCAAAGGGCACTGCTCAATGGAAAGAACCTAGAAACTTTGCACATGGGTCTTGCGCAAAAGCGAGGAGGCATGAAACCGCCTCGGAACTTTGTTGGGCACTGCGGGCATGCCCAATGCCCATCAGTATCCCCCTATGGGAGCACAGGGAAATATCAAATGCATATTCACGTGTATATATATATATATATATTAGATCATGCACTGCATGTGCAACACGTGTAGCATTTGAGGTTCACGAGTCAAACTGGTCGCAAGCCTGGCAAAGCCAGGCTGTTGGCTGCTAAAACCGAAGCCAAAGCGTCGTCTAAGAGGGGGCCGGCCTGCAATGGTGAAGCCAACCCTGCAAAAGTTGTTGCTTGCAGGTGGGTGATATGCTCAACATGCTTCAGAGTAAATGTTGGAGGTCGAGTCTGAAAGCCATCAACGTGAAACTAACCGCTTTGGAATCTCACAAACAACAAACGCACAAGACAGACACACACACACACAAGAAAACACCGACAAAAAACATACAGACACACAGACACACAGACACACAGATACAGACACACAGACATACAGACACAGACACACAGACACACAGACACACACACACAGACACAGAGAGACACAGACACACAGACACACAGACACACAAACACACAGACACACAGACACACAGACACACAGAAACACAGACACACACAGACACACAGAAACAGACACACTGACACAGACACACAGACACAGACACGAAGACACATACACACAGACACAAAAAGAGACAGAGAGACACAGAGACACAGAGACATACAGACACACAGACACACAGAGACACACACACACACCCACGCACGCACGCGCGCACGCACGCACACACGCACGCACGCACGCACACGCACGCGCGCGCACACACACACACACGCAGACAGGGACACAGATTCATAGACACACACAAACACACGCGACAGGATGCTTCTGCGGTGTCAAATTCAAATCAAAGACAAAAATCATTAAAATTCGGTGGGCTTTTTCAATTGGCTGCATTTGGTTTCGCTTCAGTGAATTTCAATAGGGGACCAATTTTGATGCATACCCATCCCACGATTGTCCGAGAGTTGTTTGTTTCTTATGTTTGAATTGCTCTACTAATCCCTATCTGCGAACCAATCCATTGTGATTTTGAAGGGCAGGTAAGAATTCAACCTTATGGCCGAATGTCTGCTTTTGAGGGTACTCTTTCTGGCATTGGTTCAGGAAACCTAAAAAAGGAAGCCGACCTTTTTTGGGGGGGTCCGACCGATTTTGACCGAGCCACTGAACTTCAAATGTCGCTCGAAGGGTGAATCCGATGGTCTCAGCTTCTGCAGCAACTTGTCGAAGGCCTTCTGCCGCATCTTTCCTGTGCAAACCATCGCAAACGGAGCCTAAGGGCCTATGGAAAGCGGTCCATGAGAGACGTCCCAAGAGGGACGTCGGACATTCCAAAGACTCTCTCAAACCAACCCCAAGTAAGGGGTTGAAAAAGACCATGGCACATGTGTGTGTGTGTGTCAGGGTCCAAGCTCCCAATGCGAGGGCCGTTCGCACGACGCCGCGACTGGGAACCCTTTGGTACCATTTTTGAAACGCTCGTCAACTGGTGCATGGCCAGCTCATGTAACCCCAAGCAGTGCCAAGCAGCCCTTCAAGTGAATCCAGCTTGGCATTGGCAATTGTGGCGCCGGGTGAGGGTCAACACGCAAAGGTTGGATTCCTTTTGGAAAGTTGCCGAAGGAGACGGCGTCTGCAGCTGTGTCCATCATCAGAGGAAGCTTAGGAGGATTTTTGTAGTACCGCAACTAACTGAAAGCTAGCTTGGCCCAAACCAGCCTTGGGGCAACCTAGAAAAGAGGGCAATGAACTGGTGGCAGTCTACTAGCTGTTTCTGCTTATCAAAGTCGGAATCTGGTTGGTGGTTTCCCTTGAACCTACCACTGGGGTGGCTTTGGTAGTGGCTAAAACATGGGGCCAGAGTGTACATATCCATGTATCCATCGATTTTGCGAAAGTGCTGCGCCTGCCACGAAATCTGCATGTGACCGCTGCACCTGCCACGAAATCTGTGCCTGACCCTGCGAAAGTGCTGTGTCTGACACGAAACCTGCACCTGACCTTGCGAAAGTGCTACGCCTGCCACACAAACTGTTGTCGCGCAAAGTGCGTGCGTCTGAAAGCGCTCCGAACGCGCTCCAAGATCCGCAGAGGGTTGCACTTTTAAACATGTCCATTCCCCCGCCACACGCACACACACACACACACCCACACCCACACACGTTGTTTCGTGCTTGCTTATTTTTCTCTTGTCGTCTGTCTCCGGGCGCTTAGGTGGGTAGATAGGTAGATGGGCAGATGGGTGGATAGATAGATAGATAGATAGACAGATAGACAGATAGATTAGATTAGATTAGATTAGATTAGATTAGATTAGATTAGATTTAAATTAGATTAGATTAGATAGATAGATAGACAGACAGACAGATAGATAGATAGATTAGATCAGATCAGGTCAGATCAGATGAGATTAGATTAGATTTAGATTTAGATTTAGATTTAGATAGATAGATAGATAGATAGATAGATAGAGTGAAGAAAGAAAGAAAGAAAGACAGAAAGAAAGAAAGAAAGAAAGCAAGAAAACAAGACAGCAAGAAAGCAAGAAAGCAAGAAAGCAAGAAAGCAAGGAAGAAAGGAAGAAAGGAAGAAAGAGAGAAAGAGATGGATAACTCTAGTTGTTCTACATCTTTGAAACTTCCGCCCAACGGTCTCGCCGGCTCTACTGGTAAACACGGACAACAAAATTTGTTCCTTTAAAAGGACCTTGAAAAAGTGGGTTCTCCAAACTGGCTTTTGCAGGAAATTTGGGTTGCCCCATGTCCCAAACCATCGGTAGGCTACCAATATGTTTCGCATATGGCGCTCTTCTGATGTCCAGCCGTCCTTCCTTCCTGAGATCCAGCACGGAGAAGGCCCGAATCAGGCCTGACGGACACGTTGGCTGTATCTGAGAATTGGAGTTCGAACTGATCAGTTGCCTTTTGGCCCAAGGTCAACTGAAGGGATCTTGATTCTGACACATCCCGATTTCTGCGACGCAAACCTATCAGTTTCAAAGGCGGACATCCCAACCTGCGAACCATCTCAGATCCCAAAGTTGAGGACACCAAACAAATCGCACGTTTCCCTTTGGTTCCCTTTAACACGGCGAACGGAGTGACCCGGAAATGTGGTCGCATGAGGAAGCTATGTTTAAGTGCATGGTAATTGTCCTGCTCTAGCGCTAGATCCCTTGAAACCCATTCGCAAAAAGGTCCTAAGAATTTGGGATCCTCCCAAATGGTTGGTCTCATCCTGGTATCCTCAAACAACTACTCCGTTTCGAACCCCCTAATTTCCTAAAACAGCCGGCTGAAGAATGCCATCCACCTGGGAGTTACAACAATACACCTATCTGAAATATGACATGGACCCTCGAGAAATGAACAACATGAGCGCAAACCAGCCTACCAACCGCGCCTTTTGACTGCTTCACTCGCTTGCTTCTGAGCTCCTCCTGCGCCTCCTCCATATAGGTGTCGATCACAGTACCCAAAACCAACCTCGCCCACATCGGAGCATCAGAAACTGAACCGATTCCAACGAAGTGTTTGCTGCAAATCACACCTTTATCGTTGCGGCATTCTCGGGTGGGATTTGCTCATTCATCCCCAACTTGGGTTGTGGAACCCCCGCCCAATGGTTGGCCTTGTGGCGTGCTATTCAAAAGCATTCAAAGGCGGTCCCGGGTCTTCACGCACAATGCCAACTTTGGATTCCTACAGAATTTGCAAAACAGAGTCATGAGTTATTAGAGGAAGCCCCCGAAAACGATCCAATGTTCATCAATAGAAGGGAGTACAATTCTCCGCTTGGCTAATGCCGCCCAAGCCATGATCCTAGTTAACTATGCAATATGAAGTCTGGCTTTTGAAACCATCCGAAAGGGGGGCCCGGCCGCGTTTTTCCCTCAAACCTCTTCAGCTACGCAGCTGCAAAAGGAAGAGAATGCCCACCACCACAAATGCGAAGAAGACCAGCAGCGATGCCAAGCCCCCGTGGGCGAGCACGTCATTCAGGAGCTCCTCGAGGCAACGGCAAAAAAAAAAAAAGCTTTCCGTGTCCCTCACATCGCTCAAACAAGAAACCATCCAAGCAACTTTGCCTTGGCCTTTGGAATGGGCCCCTATCTCATTCCAGTACATGCCATTCGTAATGTAGGCCCAGGTTTTTAGTTGGCATGTATGGGCAATCCCTTCAAATATTTCTACTGTCATACAGCAACGGCCCGTGCTTCGTAACTAGGGCCTCGTGCCCTCGAAATCTTTGTCTCTCTACGAGGTGCAGTCATGGGTCCGCACATGGTCCGGTCCCGTGCTTTTGATGTTCTCGTCAGGCACACTGGTTCAAGGGAAACTTGAGTCGAGTCACTTGCTCAAAAGCCGGTATTAAAATGGTCAACCATGTAAAGAATCGGAAAGACCCATGGCTGGGATTGTCCCTTACCCTCCAACAGGGATCCTTACATTATACACCTGAACATCGCCTTGTAAATGGTGGTTTCACTTTATTTTGGTGGAAAAAGCCATGTTTCAAATGGGCAAAATGTATCTTTTAAGGAGCCGTGTCCAATCACCCGCGTTTTGATCGCGACTCATTTGATCGACGCGTAAACGCTCCAAGCCAGCGACTTTGTTCCAGGCCGAGAAGCTTTGTAGTTGTCCTGAGGGGCGAAAATCCACCCGCCCTTCCGAAGAAACAAAATGAAGCTGTGAGTTAGGGTTTCCGGAGTCCTCTTGGCCAATTGTTGGCTGCTTCCAACACTTGCTGCTCTTTGTATTTGGTTTGTCCTTTTTTTTGGGGGTTCCTATTCTGGTGGGTTCTGACGCAATGGCTAAACCAGATTATTTGACCTGCGGTTTGCAATTGTGGCCAGCTTCCACCAACTGTTGCGGGCTTGAAAGGGAATGCAAAGGGAAACCGCTCCTTCACAGGGCTCCCATGTTTGTGGGGTAAATGATCCATCAATTAGGAAATGAATGCCCGTGAAAGGAACTTTCATTGTGCGTGTCTGTTCGCCATCCGCGGTTCATCACAACGGTTGAGACTCACACGCAAATCGTGGTCCAGCAAAGTACGTGGGAAGACCATTCTGCCTCCGCCACGCCTATGATTTCCACCAACAAAGTGAGCCCCCTCAAAAAGCAGCCTTGTTTTTGAACAAGCAGGCCGATACAAACCCCAAAAACGAGCACCGGTGGGCCCAAAACGTCGGCCCAACAAGTCCTGGGTCAGCAATAGCACCGCCATCTCCTTCAAGGCGCCGTGACAGCAATCAACACCAACAGAAATCGCTAGGATGCACAGATCGGTGTCAGCAACATTTTTTACCCCTGGCAAAGTTGCCATGAAAAAATGAGCATGCATTACCTGCAGCAAAGTTTTTTTCCGAAGAAATCGTTGCCTCAAATCTGATGTGAGATCTCATGATTTCATACCCATGGAGTCTGAGTGTCCCGATTCTTCACATGTACGTTTTCCCAGGTTCGGGCCGTAAGGTTGACCCAACGCGCCCACTGAGTTTTGCAACAAAATAAACTGGCCCATTTCTGACACTCACCAGAACACCCCTGATTAAAGCAGGCCGCCTGCCTCCCCCAAAATCCAAAAGAAAAAAACTGCTTTTAGCTACAAACTTGACTTCGATATGAGTTCCCTTCTTAGTCTTATGAAGGGATGCGTTTCCAAAAAACGAAAATGCTAGCCAGAAACTGCAAGTGTATGTTTTCTTCTTCCCTTCCGCTCCAAGCCAACACTCTCGGGCTTATGATCGGAAGACAATTTTCCTCTAGCGGTAACCCTCGGTTCAGGTCCGTGTTTGTTTTTGGGAGCATATACCCATATGGCCATGGGTCAAAATCCGTACCCCCAGTGAACATCCCAATCCCCACTAAAATAGGTTCTAAAATGGGTGGTGAATTCACCTACCCCAAAATGGGGTCCCATTGGTTTTGACCCACAGCCCGATTGGTAAACAAGAAATCGCTGGGAACCACTTGAAGGTGTCCTTGAAGGTGGACGCAGAGCTCTGGAAGTACTGCGTTGCGCTGCCCCGGAGCAACCGAGCCAGGCCCAGAGAGCACGTGGTCAGGATGAAGAGCAACCTGAGCAGGACACGTCAACAAGGACCCACACAAATCGGCTTCTCAAACAGTTTCTATTGGTTTCCCTCGAAATCATCCAAAAGGCGCGAAATTGCTCTGACATCAAACCGGTTGAACAAAAGCTGATTGTGGAGCTCCCCATTGCGAATATATGTCGTTTATAGGTAGTTCCATCGGTCACCAAACTTAGCTTCCAGTCTCCTATTCCTCACAGGCAGAGCTTCAAAGTAATAAAACGCAAATGGTGGTTGAAATGGACAAGGACGCTGGCCGTGATCACAATGACCACTACCTGGGAACTACCTCTAAGTGACAACCAAGTCCGGGAAGCAGCAACGACGACGTCCAAAACTCCGACCACCACCACCACCAACACCACCACCACCACCGCCGCCACCACCACCGCCACCACAACAACAACCACAACAACCACAACCACAAAACCAACCGCATAAACCACCACCACCACCACCACCACCACCACCACCACCACCACCACCACAACCACCACAAGCACAACCACAAGCACAAGCACAAGCACAACCACAACAACCACCACAAGCACAAGCACAACCACAACCACCACAACCACCACAACCACAACAACCACCACAAGCACAAGCACAAGCACAAGCACAAGCACAAGCACAAGCACAAGCACAAGCACAAGCACAAGCACAAGCACAAGCACAAGAACAACAACAACAACAACAACAACAACAACAACAACAACAACAACAACAACAACAACAACAACAACAACAACAACAACAACAACAACAACAACAACAACAACAACAACAACAACAACAACAACAACAACAACAACAACAACAACACCAGCAGCAGCAGCAGCAGCAGCAGCAGCAGCAGCAGCAGCAGCAGCAGCAGCAGCAGCAGCAGCAGCAGCAGCAGCAGCAGCAAATTCGATAAACGGACATACAAATACACAAACAAAAAACAAACAACCAAACAAACAAGAAAACAGACACACACACACAAACACAAACAACCAAACAAACAAACAAACAAGTGAACGAACGAACAAACGAACAAACGAACAAACAAACAAACAAACCAACCAACAAACAAGCAAGCAAGCAAACAAACAAACAAACAAACAAAACAAACAAAACAAACAATACACATGAACACACACGAACAAACACACAAACAAACGCACAAACAAACAAACAAACAAACAAGCAAACAAACAAACAAACAAACAAACAAGCACACAAACAAACAAGCCAGCAAGCAAACAAACAAGCAAACAAACAAGCAACCAAACGATCAAACGAACGACCAATCAAACAAACAAGCAAACAAGCAGACAAACAAACAAACAAACAACCAAACAAACAAACAAACAATACACATAAACACAAACAAACAAACAAACAAACAAACAAGCAAGCAAGCAAACAAACAAACAAATAACAAGCAAACAAATAAGCAAGCAAGCAAGCAAGCAAGCAGGCAAGCAAACAAGCAAACAAGCAAACAAGCCAACAAACAAACAACAGCAACAACATCAGCGGCAGTGCAGCCAGTTCTGTCCTGGCATTGATTTAAGTTTGTGCTATGGCCAAGAGACAGGCCCAGCACCTTGAGGAGACTGGGAAAGATCCGGAGGACGGTGGTGTAAAAGTTGCGAACACTTCTGGATCCTCAGGTTCAGCAGAACAAATGGCAAGAACCCATACGCGGCATGGCCGGACGGCCCTAACAGGCCCCAACAGAAGTCGTTGAAACGACTGTCCAACATCCGTGATCAGGAAGTTTGACCATGGCAGCAATCGGGAGGGAAGAAAGAGGAGGAAATAGGAGAGCAAGAGACAGAGAGAGAGAGAGAGAGATGGAGAGAAAGATAGGCAGGCGGGAAAAAAGCAAGAAAGCAAGATAGCAGGAAACCAGAAAAGTAAGAGAGAAAGACAAACAATTATTTGGCCTAGAGTTGCAACAGCCAAACCCACATCTGCTAGGATCAGATTCTGCGATCATCGGCCCTAAAACTGTGCCCACAAGCGCATCTTCATGATTGTCACTCAAAGAATGTGATGGCTCGCGGAAAAAGAGAAAACAAATGGACGCCGGGCCAGACACAAAGCAAGGCGACGTTTACCCGTAAATTGGAACTCAGCTGTTTAAACAAAAGGGGGCGCCCCTTTCAAGATGCGGATCACAAGAGTTGTTGCACCCTCTCTGAATCCGCCAGGGTGCTGAATGCAGGGTCCCCCAGATTTCCCCTTAAAAGGCCATTTCAACCTTACACCTCGCGTTTCATACAAACTGAAAGTGCCTTAGGGGGTGGTGTCCCTTTTCAGGAGAGATATCCGGATCACTTTGGGGGAGTTGCAGATGAATCGGCCAGCTACGCAATCCCTCAGGTTGGCTTTCTCAACATACTGGGGCCTTTTGGGTGTTCAAGGGAAACCAAATGCAAACAACTCATTCCCCTACTGTGGGTTGACGCAATCCTGCACCGCCTAAGAAACCCTGGAATGATGAATCCACTGTAAATACACTGACAATGCTGTCCCATGGCCTCACAGTGGTGCAGGAGTTTGTCCATCCACAGTATGGTTCCGATTCCTAGATTTCAAGTCCTCCGGAGAAAAAATATCTCCAGTGACAGATTCCCTTTGAAACCACGGGGAAACCCACAAATCTTCATTTCAGCACATAGAAGAAAAAACATCCAGGTGTGTGTGTGTGTGCGTGTGTGTGTGTGTGTAGGGAAACAAAAGGGAAACCAACAAGACAACCGACCTAATAATAATAATAATAATAATAATAATAATAATAATAATAATATGCACATACAAAAAAAAGAACGCCGTCGGCCCCCGTCTGAGCTCCCGGCGCAGCACCAGGATGATGGGCCGCAGAGGCCGCGACAAGCGCGTGGCGGGCGCGATGGCGGCGTCCAGCAGAAGCGTCAGCGTCAGCGCCGCGTAGGTGGTCTGCCACACCTGCCCCACATGAGTCACAATCAAAACCCGGTGTTAAAATGGTCGACCCAGAACCATGTAAAGAATTATGAAGGCGGCCGCCAGGGTCTGCCACACCATGGACAAAAATGGGGAAAAAAAGTGGTCTGCCACACCTGCCCCGAAACCACATCCCTGGGACCTGCCCCGAAAAACCCGAAAAAATCGGAAAAAGGGGAAGGGAGGGGACAAACATGGAAACATGGAAATACAGAACCACCTGCCAACAAAACGGAAAAATGGAAAAAGGGCAACCAGGGTCTGCCACACCATTGACAAAAATGGAGACGAAGAAAAAAAAGGTGGTTTGCCACACCTGCCGGAGCCACATTGTTTTTGGGGCTGCACCAACCACGCTTCACAACGACATGTTTTTCTCCTACGGACTTACGGACGTATTTTTTCTTACTCCCCGAAGCCACAGCCCTGCAACCTGCCGAAAAACAGGACAAATGGAGAAAAAGGGTAGCCAGGGTCTGCTATAGCATGGAAAAAAATGGAGAAAAATGTGGTCTGCCACACCATGGACAAAAATGGAATAAACAAAAAGGTGGTCTGCGGAAGCCACACGGCCCTGGGAGTACCCAGGGCGATGCCTGGAGCTACGGAAGATGGAAACAGCCAAAAACGGGTGGGGTCCCCCTAGGGTTTCCCCGTGAGAAAAGACGCCGCATGCAGACAACGGAACTCCCTGAGGTAGTGGTTCCTAAATACAGGAGTTGGTTCCCGACCTTCGGTTTTTGGTGAGTGACAATTTGGGTGAGCAAATCCCTGTTAGCACTTAGTCATCGGATTCGCCCATTGTCACCAATTATTTTGTAGCATTGAATGTTGAGCGTTGCCCTCGTTTGTGTTTCTTCGTGCCCAGGTATGTGTCGAAACTAGGGACACTCCACAGACTCCGCACTCCACATGGTTGGATTTCTTTGTTGGCTTCCTGTTGAAGCTATTTGTTTCCAAAAGGGTACCTTTCACTCGCCGCCGTGTTTCAGGAAAGCGTTTGAGGGGTCTGTGGCGGGGTCCATGGCCTCATTCCCCCTATGCGTACGGAATCAACCCCAGTGGCACGCAGTATGCATCTTGATTGGAGACACTTTGGTGGATGTGATTGGGCTTCTCGTCCACCATTGGGGAGTTCATGTTTCATTCAAATTCGCCACATTTGAAAAACAAAAAGAACAAGAAGAAAAAGAAAGAAAGAACGAAAACTGGAGGAGGTTCCTTTGACGCACCCAATCCACCGGCTCCTTGGATCCCTTCAAGGACAGGAAGGTGCCGGCACCCATGTAGGCCACCTGGACATGCGGATAGGATTTCTGGCCCCTGGGTGCAGTCAAAAACGACCCTTTGTGGGTTTGGCATTTTTTGGGAAACGAAGAAAGGACACCGCCCAATTCAGGAAGACACTTGAAATTGTTGTGCGATTCCCGGTGCCTTGAGAAGGATGTCAGCCACGTATACCAGCGTGAGCAGAATCTCTGTCGCATTCACAAAGCCTGCGCGCGTGAATGCGCGCAAAGACTCAAGGTCCCAGCTTGGTCCTTTGAAGCTGAGATCGGAGCATGCACAACTTTTGGTGACCCAACAAACACATACACTCACAAGCAAACAAACAAACACACAAAAAAGAAAACGGTTTTGCCCAACTAGTCAACCATCTGTTCCAAACACCGTTGCTCGCGCCGCGGGTGCAAATCCTGGTGCAAATCCAAGGTTGCCTAGAGCCACAAGGCACCCTGGCTGCCTGGCAGGTGGAAACAGTCTACCGCTGTGGCCCGGTCGACTTCAAATATCTCAAAAGACTTGGGGAAGCCCATGCGCAAACCTCAAGCAAAGCGCTTGCCTCGAGTGTTTCCATCTCGCTCGCTGGGAGGGGGCTCGAAGGCGATGAGCAAGGAATGCAGCACACATGCGGCCATCACTATGACCTTGATGCAAAGCGCCCAAGGAAAAAACAGAAACATCTTGCACCCGAGTGTCCTTTACTGCCCGAATGTTCAGCCAAACTTACCCAAAAAAGGGATTTGTGTTTTTGCATGAGCTGCCATAGATCGTTGCAGTACTCGTCACCATGATGGACTCTGATCACTAAACACCTGTGATCACTAAAAAAACACTATGACTGTGTGTGTGTGTGTGTGTGCGTGTGCGCATGTGTGTGTGTGTGTGAGGCGATGCTAGTACCACTGATACTCTACTATCAAGGGTACTTAGATTCCCAAATCAACGTTTTGCAGCTGTTGTTGCCGTCGTCGTCGCCGTCGCCGTCGCCGGCGTGCTCGTGGTGGTCGTGGCCGTGGTTGTTGTTGTGGTTGTTGACGTTGCTGCTGCCCTTGTTGTTGCTGTTTCTGCTGTTGCTGTTGCCGGTGTTGCACTGCTGTTGCTGATGCTGTTGCTGTTGCTGCTGCTCACACACACACACATTTCGCATACTTTGCCATAAACCTTGAAACCCGCCAGGCCACGTGCCAAATGATGTGGGTCTGGATGATGCAGCAATTCCTTGCTTGCCCGAACTTGACCTGCAAAAAACGGGCGCCAGTTTGGTTGCCATGACTAACATGACAAGTGTTCAAGTCAAAGGGAACCCAAAAGGTCGAATTGTACCAAGATTCAGCTTCCTCTTGTTGCCGGACTTGAAGTTCGAGGCCAAGCCGTTATCCAGCCGCCCCTCAGCAGCATCCTCCACGTAATAGGCTGCCAGCTGAATGGCACTCTCTAGCTCCTGCCACACTTGAGCTACCATTTTGGGTAGGTAAAGTCAGGGGTGCTGAATCTCCATAAAAGGATGGCTGATGACTCCATTATCGATCAATCCTGTTCGGGAAAGAAAGGCAACCAACCATGGAACCACCAGGGAAAAGGAAAACCATGGCAAGAACTCTCCGTACCTTCCGAAAAAGTATGTTTGAAACAACCGCAAAAGCGGCGGATGTCAAACAGGTGGCGGGCGGTCAGCCGAACCAATAAGACTGGATGATGGAGTTGTTTCAAACAAACAACTCCAAAAAGCTTAAGGGCATCCTTGGGATGAAAAGACTTAAGGCACCCAAACTCAAGTTTGCAATTATCATTTCCCACACCACTGGAAGCAAAAAATGGTTGGTTCTGTTCGGAAGGTACTGGGCTCCGCTGATTGGCGAATGTTGGCGGGACTCCTGTGAAAATCTCTGCTTTCTGTGATGAAAGAACAACGAGGACAACCTGGGACTAACTACTTTACCACTTTCAAAAGGGATTCCACTGGTGTCACAGAAAGTAGCTCGTCACTCTCCTCATCCTTCACTGCGAGCATGGCAGTTCTGTGGGTGCGCCACCTTGCGAGACACCAAGGTTCACTGGACGCCGACAAAAGGCAGTGCTCCTGCAACAGCCTGATATCCCGTCAACATCCTCCTCAGGTTTGGGACTTTCGAAACCATAGGGCTTGCACGCCACCAATGTGACTTCGTAGCGCAGTATAAACCTTCACCACAAATACCCTTCACCAAGGGTGCTGCTTGTGGTAAACCCTGGCTTAGCCCGTTCTCCCAAAACCATGGGGACATCGGGCACCTGAAAGGGCACTCACCGATCCGAGTCGCCTCGAGGCATTCCCCGGGGAGCTGGACCTCTTCCTCTTGGAGGGAGACTCCGCGCCCGGATTGGAGCCTGCCTCGGTCGCCGAATCGGCCACCCAGAAAGCTGAGAAATGGACAAATTGCCAACTCTCGAGCGAACACATGGGTGCGAGACTGAAATGCTTTCGGGGTTCATCGATCTTTGGGGCTGGGACGGAAAAGTTGGGCCAACTTCGGACTTTAACAAGGGAGGCCATACGAATCAGGAGTGGGACACCTCATTTTGAGGGATTCCTCGGGGTAGCAGTCCTCCTTTTTGACCATCCGAAGCTCACACTAGCCCAAAAAAGGGAGGGACAAGAGTTGAAGCGTCGACTTTGGAGTGAGGGGAGCAGTGAAATGGCGGACCGCCTCTGAGCCTGCAACAAGAAGCTCGGGGCAGGACTGGAGAACCAGGGTCGCCTCCACATCCAAGAGCCGAATTCTCGGTCCATCAAAAGAAAGGAGGATCTTGGGGAACGACTTCGAACGAGAACCACTTGATGCATGCTTTGATTTTTTCGGCGTGGAATCACTACTGGGTAGACCAAACCTTGACTCACAAAAATAATCTAGTCCTGGTTGATTTTGAGCCCTTGACTCAAAAAACAACCTAGTCCCGGTAGATTTTGAGCCGGAGGAATCAAAAACCATGGAAACCCCCCTCACTTTTGGGGGGTCGTCTCCCCTGACCGCCCCGCCGAGCCGCGTTGAGAGCAATGCTGGGAAGGCCTCGTAGCTCTTTGAGGCTGGTTCGCTTGAGAGCACCTCAGGCGGTTTCCTTGAAAATGCAAAAGGGCGGAGATCCGAAGCTGACGCTTGGCACTCTTCTCTACTAACCTTCATCTACCCAAATGTGAATGGTGTCTCAAGTTAGGACACCCGCCCAATGCAAACTTCTGTAGTACCCAAGTGGCTCATTCTCTAGACCCTTTTTCCCAAAACCGCCTGCAAGAAAGCTCCATAAAGCTCCATAAAGCTCCACAAAGATGTGTGTGTGTGTACTCTGGGACCTCTCTTGTTTGGCTTCCCTCGTCCCAAGGCCCTCCCGCCCTCAGGCGATTCCATTCCAAATCGCAGGACTCCTTCGGAAGAGGAAAAAGCTAGGTCCTCCAGTGGAGAGGTTGGAATTTGGCATAAGGGTACCCGATTCTTTTTCCGTAGTCAATTTTCGTAGGGGAACCCTCCCCCAAAAAAGGGTGAGAAAGGGCGCTACTGGGGGACCTAGAAAGGGCTTCGGCCGCCTCCATGGCATCACCCGACGCCTTCGTCGCCCCTTTTTTTCCACTCGGCGCCCGCCTTCGAGCTGGAGCTGCCTCCGCCGCATCTTCGGCGTCTCTCCATCGGGGGCGCCAGGCCTCAGCGAAAGCGCTGTGCTCCGCCACCGACAGCCCCTCGTGAAAGCCACCAGGCATCCCCCCTCTCAAAATAAATGGAAATATGTTCTTAAATAAATCATTTGATAATGTTATATTATTATTTATAATTTTCAAATATAGAATCTAAGTAATCACTTCCCCCTATTAATAAAGGTCTCCCTAATAATAAATATTTGTTTCGGAAGTCCCAAATCCGGGAATACTACTTTTAGAATAGCCAATACTAAACCAATTCTAAAGTAGATATTTTCCTGCCCGTACTCAAATCCAGCCCCATTAGGGGGACCCCGGGGGCACGTTTCCTTCATTACTACGGCTGTACTACAAAGTTGCGACTTTCAGGCCAGAGCTCCGGGAGCACGTTTCCTTTACTACGGCTGTACTACAAAGTTGCGACTTTCGAGCCAGAGCTCCGGGAGCACGTTTCCTTTACTACGGCTGTACTACAAAGTTGCGACTTTCGAGCCAGAGCTCCGGGAGCACGTTTCCTTTACTACGGCTGTACTACAAAGTTGCGACTTTCGAGCCTGAGCTCCGGGAGCACGTTTCCTTTACACGGCTGTACTACAACGTTGCGACTTTCAAGCCAGAGCTCCGGGAACACGTTTACCCAAAACCCACAACCAAAAACAACAAAACGTGACCTCAACTCCCGCTACTTAAATTCCTTACTCAGAAATGTGCGTTTGAAGCGATTTTACGGAACGGAACAGGGGGACCACAGTTGCAAACAAGCCTACACAGAACAAGAAGTACCTCCAAAACCTGCCCTCCAGAACCAGGGGACCCCTAATAATAAAAATTGTTTTGCAGGCCGGGTATTTTTTTTATTAGGGAGGGGGGGGGGCGTCGTTTATTATTAGGGGGAAGGGATTAAATTTCAAGGAAACCCCTCTGTCCAAAGTGTTGGAAGGTCGGAGGCTTGGTGCAGGGTTGGTTCTCAGCTGCTGTGAGGGTATATAGGTTTGCACCTTGGGCTGCAGTGGTGGGAAGTTGCGTTACGGTCGTTTGTTGGTTCCTTTTGCAGCTGGCTTGCTGGTTTTGAAGCCACGCACCAGCCAAGCAATGCAACCAGCTCCAACTCTGCCTGTCTGTAGCCCAGCCAAGCTGCCACACCAACCTGCCCACCCCGGCCAACCAGAACCAACCAATCTGGCCAAGCCACCCACCGCCAAGCAACCAGCCATCCAGTGCCCAGCCCGGTCCAAGCGAACACTGCTTTTTGAAAGGCACGGTTACCTTTGCTTTCCTTTGCTCTCAACCAAAACGGGGGATGTCCTATCTTAGGTCTTGGGGCGAGTCCCAAGATGTGTCGACCCACAACCACACCAACGCTGGCATTGTCGCTTGCCATCACCAAGTTTGAAGTGCGGTGGACCTCATGTCTCGTCACTCATCTTCATATACCAAAGGCCTACAAAGCAAAATTTGGACCGCGGCTTGGCGTTTGATTTGTCTGGGAAAACTAAGGGGCGCTCTCCAAGTGTCGAATTCCTGCAAAGCGTCCCTCTATCAGCCAAAAGGGTTTAGGGCAAACCCCGACCCAAGATGACCTTACTGTGTGTGTGTGCCGCTGTTGGAGAGATGGGCCCACCTTCCTTTGTATGTCTACTATTGCGCAAAGAGGCCATCTCCGCTCACATGCAAGAATCATGCGTTATCCCACCCACAATGTTGGTCTGTTCAAAAGCAATGTGCCAAAAATGGCCGTGAAACTGCAATGTGTGTGTGTGTGTGCGTGTGTGTGCGTGTGCCTTCCTTGCTTGCTTAAACTCACACGTTCATAGAACATCTGCTTACAGGACTTTACGCTGTTTGCATTGGTGGTATATCATTTGGTAGTTGGGTCAACGTCCTCTTGTCAGCCACTACAAGTAAAGCATGAATGCAGGTTGAGCCGATAGTGCATGATGAAACTTGTTCACCAATGGGTTGAGGTGATTGTGTTCGCAGCATGCAGGGATACAGCAGCCCAAGCTGGGTAAGCACCCATCCCAACTGAGTGTAAATCCATAGCCAGTGCCCACGCCAGTCGTGGGGTTCATAATGTTCTCCGGTGCCCGATTCACTGTTTCTGGGGAAAGCAGCCTGAAAATAGCTGCTCCACCGTGCTTGCTGTGTGTGTCTATGTTTTCGTGGTACCCTTTGCGGGTGGTCTTGCAAGCAAACTAAAGGGAACCAGCCCTGGGTTCCCCTATTTTGACCCCCAACCCACATTTCGCAAACGCACAAGTCAGTCGCGAGGCCCGGACAATTCTTGGTGCGACATGGACAGCGCTGGCCGATCAGCACTGGATGTCTTGAACTTGCAGGTGGAAGTCTGAAACCGCTGAATTCGGCTCTCGCGTTCTTGCTGCTGCTGAACTGCAAGCGGTTGCTTGGCCGCCCCTTGATCCAAAAATGGTTCACAACGCGAAAGGGTGACTGATGAACATGGGGATGACGATCCATGAGACCTCCGCAATGTACTGCGCTTCAATGGCCGCAAGGCCAGCTGTACCTTCGGGTTCGAGGGATGGACAGCTCTCGTCACCTCATTCGGGTCGTGTCAACTGAATCAAGCGATGAGGAACAAGGAAACCGAATGCCAATGAACAACCGGGCAAATCAAACACAATGGTGCAAACCTCACACATGATATGCTTATCTTCACGGGTAGCTAAGATGCGCTAACTAGCGAGTCAACGGAAACATCTACGTGCCCCAAATATAGATAGATATAGAGAGAGAGAGAGGCAGAGAGGGAGAAAGAAAGAGATAAAGACAGTTGAGCAGGCTGAATCAGTGGTGCGTGTATATATATATATACACATGTTCTGCATACATGAGTATATGTGTGCACATATAAATGTACATGCAGCATACCTCATAAATCATCAACCATATATTGTCTTAGCTAATTTGAAAGGGATTTATTGCTGCGGCACAGATATCTGAGAGAAGCACCTTCCCATTGCTTCCCGTTCCCGGAAATTATCTCAAACCTGGAAGCAAGAAACCCTGGTTGCCCAGGCTGGACGCACCGGAGTATTGAAAGGGCCTAACTAATTTGGGTGGGGTTGTGGGGGACTTAAAAACTAGATTCGGCCATGATTCTAAGAGAATGATAATGCCAAGTATTTAGACGCTTACATCTGTTCTTCCCCAAATCGCCTGGCTCAGCACACACCATGTCCGTTTTGCTTTGCGCAGCCTTACTCGCGGGTTGCGCGTTCGCTTGCGCACTCAGTTGGCAACCGAAAATACTGCAGCCTTCACCTCGTCCTGTGGCAAGCTGGTCGACCTCCCTGCTCACAATCAGTTTTTAATGTTGACATGTGATTGACAAACTCCCCAGCTGTTAATCAGGGCGTGCCCCTAGTGATCCCTCTCTTTCAGGGAAATCGTAAGCCTCTATCAATAAAGGGGAGGGTTGTTATTCATGGAACGGCCATCGGCAGCCAAAGCGTGTACCACATCGGGCGCCTGAGCCTTCCACTTTTGGCTTGAGCGTAACACGGGAAGCACTGGGAAGGTGAACAGTCTGAATGGCCAATTTAACACATTGGTCTCTCTCCAAATGTGGGCATGCAGAATCGATGGCGTCCCTTTCAGTTCCTTCTGAACCAACCAGACAAAGGGAAGCAGCAACAAATGGACACACTGCATCTGGCCATGCCAACTTAGACTTCAAGCATCACCCCTGATGGTGTCAAGGCGGTTTTCGATCCAAACAGCCAAGCAGCTTTGGTCAGTGATCCAACAGCCAACCTTCGGTATTTCGGTTGGGTCCAAAAAAGGGATCCCCTCACGTTCTGATTGGCCAAGGAAAGTCCCTACTAGTTGTGTTTGCAAAGCTGATCCTCCCAAAGCTTGAAGTCCAGAGACTCGGAAAGTGAGGATGTGTTCGGTATGCACTCGTAGGCTTGGGTACAAACCATATCTACCAGGACCCATGGGGGAGGAAAGTGAGGAAAGTGAGGAAACAGACGGTGGGAAAACCCCTCAGCGCTTGCCGGGGGGGGGGGGTCACCCTGACCATGAGCATGGCCCGTTGGATGCAAGCCTCGAACGACAGCTGGTTGCGGTTTGCGCGTCCGGTGACCAGAATCCTGGCCAGGAAACATGAGCAGCGGCCAAAGGAAAGCCAAGGGACACCCTGCAAACCCCAGGGAAACGAAAGGGAAACCCCAGGGTACCGACAGGGGTACCAAAGAAAGGGGACCCACAGGGGACCCAAAGTTACCCAAGAGGAACTAAAGGGAGACCCACGGGTAGATAACCAAAGGGTGGAAATCAGAAATGGATCTGCCAACATGGTAAGGATATTCTTACGGGCCAAGCCAAGCCCAAGCCAAGCCCAACTCGGTGGGCGGTACTGCGGCTCCTTGGGTTTCTTTCCAGGGACCCGATGGCTTCCGATGGCTTCCTCACTCTTGGCTCCCTAAGGGAACCAACCAGAAAGGGAACCAAAAAGGGCACACAACCAACCAAAAAGGGAACCAACCAAAATGGGGTCACAGAAAAGCACACCCCCAAATTGTAGTGGGACGAAGTTGTCCTGACCCACTAGGTTCCAACACCGACCCAAACACTGCACCTGGATCACCAAACTGCATACCGGGCAATGCAAGTTGCCCACCACGCCTATTGCTCCTTTTCAGGCTTTGCTTCCCAATGGAAACTGTCGAGCGCCTGTTAGGCAAGCATTTGACTGCGGGAAGTGAGAGAATGGAAGTCACCCTGACAGAACAAGCCGCACCCTGAACCCCAGAATCACGACAATCGAGTTCCCGGACACAACGACAGACCTGCTTTGCCTATCCCCTGGGACTGTGGGATACTGATTCAGCGCCATAGCAAATTGTCAGGCTTCTTGCGCTGCAATGGCTCCCCTATACACTAAAGCAGTCTACTCAAAAACTTGGGGGCTGTCGCGCCCGTTTCTTGTTGGGACGGTCCCTTGCTAGCCTTCACTTTCACGGGCTTTGATTGTGACTCGTATTGAATACGAACAAGCGGGGCGAGGGCAAAGCTGTCGGTAAAGCGCCGGCACCACTGGGTCTGGTCATCCTTGTTGATGGCCGCCCAGACCTGAACGGGGAGCGGGAGTCTGCCCCAGTTTAGTGTGCAAAGAGCAATGATTTTTGAAACAGAAAGGGACCCTGTGAGCGTTGGGTTTTTGCACACACCTAATTTTGCTGCATTCTGGCCAAAACCGAGGAAAAAAAAGGATTCTGGGACAATGTGCTGGTATCATGCAAACAGTTCTCCACCTTACCCCCCCCTTGCAGATGTCAGGAACATCGAGAAATCGAAAGATTCTGGGACAATGTGCTGGTATCATGCAAACAGTTCTCCACCTTACCCCCCCTTGCAGATGTCAGGCTCCTGTCCCAAAACCGAAAAAACATCGAGAAATCGAAAGATTTTGTCCAAAACCAAAAAAAACCTCGAGAAATCGAAAAAAACCAAAAAAACCAAAGATTCTGGGACAATGTGCTGGTATCATGTAAACATTCTGTTGGCCAGATTGGTTTTTTGGTTTTTTTTCGATTTCTCGAGGTTTCTTTCGGTTTTGGACAAAATCGTTCGATTTCTCGATGTTATTTTTGATTTTGGATGGTTTCTTTCGAATTCTCAATGTTTTTTTGATTTTGGACACCTTCTTTTGATTTCTCGATGTTTCTAAGGCTGCCTGCAGCAAAAGCTTCAACACAGGACAGCTTTGCAAGGAAGAGCTTCGAAGGTTTTCAAACACCAAACAACAAGAAAACCAAAGGTGTGGCCAGCCCGACAACACAGCTTCAGGTGACAGCAAGCCCGACAGAGTCCGTAGCTTCCAGCCAGCTTGCACCCAGCCCCAGCCCAGCTAGCTTAGAGAAGAAACAGTTCAGCGTAAAGAAGTTGTTTGGAACACCAGAGCAGCAAGCCAAGGAGATAGAGCCTGTGCTATCTAACAGGGTAGTTCCATACCAGAGGCAGCAGCAGAGCAAGCTGCAGAAAGAAGCTGCACTAGTGAAGTCAGCTTACCTCCAGAAGCTAGCAGAGCTGGAGAAAGAAGACCCAGAAGAAGCTGTAACAGGCAGACAAGGTGGCAGGCCTCCAGTTCTGGAAGAGCGTAGAGGAACTGCAGGTGGGCAGTTAAGCAACAGGAAGAAGGAGACAGATCCTTCCAGGAAGCAAGAGCTTTTTGCCTTTCAGAAGATGAAGCTTAGTGAAGAGATTCAGAATGAGCTGCTGAAAGAGTTCTTTGCCCTTCTGGTTGCAAGGGCAGAGAGATGCATGGTCAGGGCAGAGCTTTGCAGAAATGAGATGCAAAGGAAAGCTTGGCTGAAAGAAGCTGACTGTGCCCTACAGAGAAAGACCAAGCTCCAGCAGAGCTCAAAGTATTCTTATGTAGAGAAGCTGATCCAATGGCTAGGCGCAGCTTACTTGAGCAAAGATCAGACTACTCGCCTGGCACCAGTTGAAGAACAGGCGCGGGCCCAGCTCACCTTCCAGGATATTGACAGAAAGCTCTGGCATCTAGGCGCTTGCTCCAGTTGCTGAGATTGAAGATGCACATTTGGTTGCAGATGCAGAGATGATAGTTAAGAAACGATCCTCACTGGTAATCGGCACGAGTGATCAAGTCCCACTTTGGGCCAAAGATCCAAGCAAGAAGTTGGTCTTCTCTGCAGATGAGCTCAAAGGTGCCAGTTGGGACGACAGAAAGAGGTGGACTGAGATCAGGTAGGAGCTGAAAGCTGCTTAAGTTCAGGCAGCTGAAGAAGGCTACCAGCTTGTCAGTTGGGCAGATGTAGGAGCAGGGCCTCTCAAAGTTGCAGGTAATAAGGTGATGGCAGGACAAAGTTCAGATGAAAAGTGTCGTTTAACATACGAAGCTTGCCAGAAGATTTACAACATAGGAGCTCCAGCAGGAACAGCTCTGCAAGGCGACTACTGCGGCGCAAGGTCGGCATAGGTAGCCATCCACGATCTCCTTGAGATCCTCGTAGGTCATGTCTTCTGCTGCAAGTGCCATCCTAGCCCAGAGTGGAGGGTGGGACGACTCAGTGCAGGATGCAGATGGATGAGATGCTTTCTAGCTGGCCAAAGTTGCAGCGCAGATCGCGGTCAGAGGATATATACACACATAACCGCACACAACTCCCCAATTCGGAAAAACACTCGTTTCACATGGAAAATACCCACGCTGAGGGGGCCCCCCTCTCTTTTGAAAACAGGCAATGTTGAAATTGATGTCCTGAGACAGTGCAATCAAAGTGTTGTGGTTCAGCGCGGGACTGGTCAGCTCATGGGTGCATGCATGCATGTATGTTTGTATGTATGGTATGTATGTATGCATGCAGCATGTATGTATGTATGTATGTATGTATGTCTGTATCTCTGTATGTATGTATGTAAAAATGTCAAAATGTATGTATGTATGTATGCATGCATGCATGCATGCATGCATGCATGCATGCATGCATGTGTGTGTGTGTATGTATGTATGTATGTATGTAGGTAGGTAGGTAGCTATGTATGTATGTATGTATGTATGTATGTATGTATGTATGTGTGTGTAGGTAGGTAGGTAGGTAGGTAGGTAGGTATGTGTGAATGTCTGTATGTATGTATGCATGTGTGTGTATGTATGTATGTACGCATGTATGTATGTAGGTAGGTAGGTAGGTAGGTATGTATGTATGCATGTATGTGTGTGTATGTATGTATGTATGTATGTATGCATGTGTGTGTGTATGTAGGTGTGTATGTGTGTATGTATGTATGTATGCATGTACAAATGTGTGTGTGTATGTATGTATGTATGTATGTACGTATGTATGTGTGTATGTACGTATGCATGTGTGTATGTATGTATGTATCTATGTATCAATGTATGTATGCATGTATGTATGTATGTGTGTGTGTAATGTATGTATGTCTGTATGTCTGTATGTCTGTATGAATGCATGCATGCATGCATGCACGTATATGTGTGTGTAGGTATGTATGTAGTTATTTATGTGTATGTATGCATGCATGCATGCATGCATGTATGTATGTATGTGTGTGTGTGTATGTGTGTATGTATGTATGTATGCATGTATAAATGTGTGTATGTATGTATGTACGTATGTATGTGTGTATGTACGTATGCATGTGTGTATGTATGTATGTATCTATGTATGAATGTATGTATGCATGTTTGTATGTATGTATGTTGTGTATGTATGTATGTATGTATGTCTGTATGTCTGTATTAATGCATGCATGCATGCATGCATGCATGTCTATATGTATGTAGGTATGTATGTTTGTGTGTCTGTATGTCTGTGTGAAAACATGCATGCATGAATGCATGCATGTATGTATGTATGTATGTGTGTGTGTACGCACGTACGAACGTACGTACGTACGCATGTATGTATGGATGGATGCATGTGTGGGTACGTACGTACGTAAGTACGTATGATTGTAAGTATGTATGCACGTATGTATGTATTTATGTTTGTATGTGTGTATGTGTGTATGTATGTATGTATGTGTGTGTGTATGTACGTACGTACGTACGTGCGTATGTACGTATGCATGTGTGTATGTATGTATGCATGTGTGTGTATGTATGTATGTATGTATGTATGTATGTATGTATGTATGTATGCATGGGTGTGTGTATGTATGTAGGTAGGTAGGTAGGTATGTATGTATGTCTGTATGTATGCATGTGTGTGTGTATGTATGTATGTATGTATGCATGCATGCATGCATGTATGTATGCATGTATGTATTTACGTGTGTGTATGCATGCATGCATGCATGCATGCATGCATGCATGCATGCATCCATGTATGTATGTATGTATGTATGTATGTATGTACGTATGTATGTATGTATGTGTATGTGTATGTGTATGTATGTAGGTAGGCATCTAGGTATTTACGTAGGTATGTATGTAAGTATGTAGGTATGTAGGAATTTAGGTATGTAGGTATGTAGGTATGTATGTAGATGACGGAAAGCGCTTCTTGAAGCGCTAGGAGTTAGTGTACGAAGTTGTGGGGGGGGGGGGGGGGGGGGGGTGTGGGGGGTAACCTCGTTCCGGGTGATTTGCAGGTCTGGTCAGCCGAAAAATACTCCCAAAAAATGGGAGTATTTTTTGGAGCACTTTCTGCCACCGCAAGGCTGGTTTTTTTGTGTTTTTCCCTGTGTTTTTCGCGCTTTTTCGTCGACGCTGCCTATCATGTCTGACCTTTTCGTCTGTGGCTCTCGCGGGCCAAAAAGCGTGCCAGTTTTACATCATTTTACTTTGCTTCCGGCCTCGCCGGACTTGGGCGCACAAGGGGTGCCGGGGATGCAGGGGATGCCGGGGATGCAGGGGATGTCGCTTGTTTTGGAAGTTTTTGTGGCTGGGGATGTCGCAGGAAAAATACTCCCATTTTTTGGGAGTATTTTTTGGAGCACTTTCTGCCACCGCAAGGCTGGTTTGCAGGTGCCAGGGAGACGACACGGGGTGTGTAAGTACGGGCGCTGGTTTGGGTTGTTGCTTGTATGTGATTCAGTGCAGGAGGGTTTGTTGGTTTGCTCTGACTTGGGTCAAGCTGGCAAGGGACAGCAAGGCAAAGCAAGGCAAACCAAGGGGAAAGCAAGGGCAAAGGAAGCGAAAGTAGGGGAAAGCAAGCCAGGCAAGGGAAAGCAAGGCAAAGCAAGGGACAGCAATGGACAGCAAGGGAAAGCAAGCAACAGCACGGGCAAAACAAGTCAAAGCAAAGGAAAGCAGGGGACAGCAAGGGACAGCAACAAAAAAGCAAGGGAAAGCAAGGGAAACACAAGGGAAGCAAGGGACAGCAAGGCAAAGCAAGCGAAAGCACAGGCAAAGCAAGGCAAAGCAAAGGAAAGCAAGGGACAGCAAGCAAGGGACTGCAAGGGAAATCAGGGGAAAGCAAGGGAAAGGGAAAGCAATGGAAAGCAAGGCAACGCAAAGGAAAGCAAGGACAAGCAAAGGAAAGCAACGGACCGCAAGGGCCAGCAAGGGAAAGCAAGGGAAACCAAGGGAAAGAAAGGGACAGCAAGGGAAAGCAAGGGAAAGGGAAAGCAAGGACAATCAAAGGGAAGCATGGGAAGGCAAGCAAAAGCAATGGAAAACAAGGGAGAGCAAGGCAAAGCAAGCAAAAGCACGGGCAAAGCAAGGGAAAGAAAGGGAAAGGGAAAGCAGGGACAATCAAACGAAAGCAAGGGACAGCCAGGGAAGGCAAGGGAAAGCAAGGGAAAACAAGGGAGAGCAAGGCAAAGCAAGACAAGGGACAGCAAGGGAAAGGGAAAACAAGGGAAAGCAAAGACAAGCAAAGGAAAGCAAGGGACAGCAAGGGAAAGCAAGCAAAAGCACGGGCAAAGCAAGAAAAAGAAAGGGAAAGAAAGGGAAAGGGAAAGCAGGGACAAGCAAACGAAAGCAAGGGACAGCCAGGGAAGGCAAGGGAAAGCAAGGGAAAACAAGGGAGAGCAAGGCAAAGCAAGCAAAAGCACGGGCAAAGCAAGGCAAAGCAAAGGAAGGCAAGGGAAAGCAAGGGAAAGCAAGTGAAAGGGAAAACAAGTGAAAGCAAGGGATAGCAGGGCAGAGAAAGCAAAAGCATGGGCAAAGCAACGCAAAGCAAAGGACCACAAGGGAAAGGAAGGGACAGCAAGGCAAAGCAAGCAAAAGCACGGGCAAAGCAAGGCAAAGCAAGGGAAAGCAAGAGACAGCAAGACAGCAAGGCGAAGCAAGCAAAAGCACGGGCACAGAAAGGCAAAGCAAAGGAAAGCAGGGGACAGCAAGGGAACACAAGGGAAAACAAGGGAAAACAAAAGAAAGCAAGGGACAGCAAGGCAAGGGAAGCAAGGGAAAACAAGGTAAAGCAAGGGGCAGCAAGGCAAAGCAAGCAAAAGCACGGGCAAAGCAAGGGACAGCAAGGGAAAGCAAGGGACAGCAAGGCAAAGCAAGCTAAAGCACGGGCAAAGCAAGGCAAAGCAAAGGAAAGCGAGGGACAGCAAGGGAAAGCAAGGAAATGGGAAAGCAACGGAAAGGGAAAGCAAGGGAAAGCAAGGCAACGCAAGGGAAAAAGCAAGGTCAAGCGAAGGAAGGCAAGGGAAAGCAAGGGAAAACAAGGGAAAGCCATCGCATGCCGTGGCAGGCGCTTTCCGTTGTTTGCCGGACTGGTTTGCAGGTATGTAGGTATGTAGGTATGTAGGTATGTAGGAGGTATGTAGGTATGCAGGTAGGTATGTACGTATGTATGTCTGCAAGTATGTAAAGTAATGTAATGTTATGGTATGCTATGTTATGTTATGTTCTATTATGTTATGTATATATGTGTGTGTATGTGAATGTGTGTATGTGTGTGTATGTGTGTATGTGTGTATGCGTGTATGTGTGTACGTATGTAAGTGTGTATGTGGGTATGTATGTGTGTATATATGTGTGCATGTGTGTATGTGTGTATGTGGGTATGCGGGTACGTGTGTATGTGTGTGTGTATGTGTGTATGTGTGTATGTGTGTGTGTGTGTATGTGTGTATGTGTGTATGTGTGTATGCCTGTATGTGTGTGTGTGTACGTGTGTATGTGTGTGTGTGTGTGTATGTGTGTATGTATGTGTATGTGTGTATGTGTGTATGTGTGTATGTGTGTATGTGTTTATGTGTGTATGTGTGTATGTGTGTATGTGTGTATGTGTGTATGTGTGTATGTGTGTATGCGTGTATGCGTGTATGTGTGTATTTGTGTATGTGTGTATGTGTGTATGTGTGTATGTGTGTATGTGTGTAGCTGTGTACGTGTGTATGTGTGTATGTGGGTATGCGGGTACGTGTATATGTGTGTATGCGTGTATGTGTGTGTATGTGTGTGTATGTGTATATGTGTGTATGTGTGTATGTGTGTACGTATGTATGTGTGTATGTGTGTATGTATGTGTGTGTATATGTGTGCATGTCATGTGTGTATGTGGGTATGCGGGTACGTGTGTATGTGTATATGTGTGTATGTGTGTATGTGTGTATGTGTGTATGTTTGTATGTGTGTATGTGTGTATGTGTGTGTGTGTACGTGTGTATGTGTGTGTGTATGTCTGTGTGTGTGTATGTGTGTATGTGTGTATGTGTGTATGTTTGTATGTGTGTATGTGTGTATGTGTGTATGTGTGTATGTATGTGTGTGTATATGTGTGCATGTGTGTATGTGTGTATGTGTGTATGTGTGTATGTGTGTATGTGTGTATGTGTATGTGTGTATGTGTGTGCGTGTGTATGTGTGTATGTGTGTATGTGTGTGTATGTGTGTATGTGTGTATGTGTGTATGTGTGTATGTGTATATGTACATATGCGTATATATGTCTGTGTGTATGAGTGGACGCGGCCCTGAACCCTCCTGCTACCTCACAGTCTAACCCGGGACGTCAAGGTTGAAACTTGAGACTGCTCAGGCCGAGCACACGTGCGGCAAGGTGCGGGAGGCAGAATCGTGTGCATTGTCATTTTGTTTCGTTACAAAAGTAGACGTCGCGGTTTCCAACCTCAAGCTTTCAGAGTCATGCCACGGAATCAAAGTTCGAGCCTGACACGACTCGTTCTGTTTTTGACGTAAAGTGGGCGACACCTCCAGCGCGTTTCCGCTGAGTAAAGGTTTCAAACTTAAGACGATTCAAGGTGAGCACACGTACTTGAAGGTGCGGGAAACATGGTTATTTTCTCGGCTTCCAAACGCGAGTTTTCAAAGCCATTCGACGCCAGCAAAGCTCTTCACGAAACTATGTACGAAATCATACGAAATTACATCTTTGAAGCCCGGCATGACTCGTGGAGGCCTGACATGGCTCGCTCTACTTTTGAACGGCAAGTGGTCGACACCCCAGCATCATGATACTTTCCTAAAGGATATGCTTTTTCCGCGTGCTGTCGCAGTTTCTAAACTCGACAGTTGAGAGCATCGAAATCTTTACACAGCGAATTACGAAATTGCTCCTTTCGAGCTCGACGTGGCTCGATCTGCGTTGGACGGTCTTTGTCGACCTATGAGGTCGACACCCTCAGCATCACCAGTGTTTTAGTAAAGAAAGAGCTCGACATCCCCAGCATCACCAGTGACTTAATACAGGATATGGTGTTCCGCTTGCGGAAGATTTTGCGGCGGGATGATCTACTGGGCCGGAAGTCCACTAAAGCTCCTTTGGAAAAGGCAAGCTGGACATTGAGTTGATTGCAGCATCCAAGCAAGAAAACAGAAGCGGCAGGCTCCAGTTGATTGGAGAGTTTTGACTGGAGTGGACAAAGACTACAAGAGTGAAGGCCGCAAGCAGGAGCAAAGAGGAAGATGCCGGGGGGCGATGCAGGGCTGCAGAGGCTAAGGTGCCATGCAAATTCATTTCGGATGTAGGATGTTGGATATGGCCATCTCCTCAGGAAAGAAATGCTTAAGATGCTTCCGCTGCCGAGAGGCCTGTTCAAGCCGGGCTGGTGGTCAGGTTCCCTGTCAATCACGTTGCGGTTGAACCAAGCCACCCCAAATGCAGATTCGGTTGGGGTTGGGACACGACAAACACAGAATCGAACCTAATAATAAAGGAGCCACCCAAAACCCATGTAAAGAATCAGAAGGGCAGTTGTGGCTGCCCCCACTATCTGCATTGTTTCACGTGGGAAAAAAAGGAAGCGGCAAGAAGCCCCTGTATACTGCCACAGATGAATGTGGGGTCCCAAAAGAAACATTTCTCAAGAAACCTCCTTTGGGGATTGGACCCCTTTGCGACTTCCATGTAAATTTGGCCACCAAGATCCCCCGGAACCGCTTGATCTTGGTCCTGGCACAGACCTCAGTTCGCAGTTTCGGATGGTTTCGGAGTCCAGCAACCCCGGACCCTTGGCCCGCCTGCACAAATGGCAGCACGCTGAGGAGGGTGGCCGGCATCAGCAAGGCGTAGCCTGGAATCAGCGCTATGGGTAGAGGGAGCGATTCCTACCGAACCTTGGGTTTGGGCATTCAATGAGACAACACAACGACGTTCAAATGGCTGCGGGTCAAAAATGGGTACCCAAAATGGAACACTGGTACATGGAACCAAGGACTAAAACCTGCGGTCCTCATGGTGATGTAATTTTGACCCATACCCAAATTACCCAAAATGAGAACACAGAAGAATCGCTGCGGGCACCAAGCCGCTTGTAAGCTTCTTTCAACGTGCGCCGCTTCGATGGAGGATCCTACTGTTTCCGAAAAGATACTTTTAAGGGGCCAAGAGTTAACAAAAGACCACAGATGGAACCTGCCCGACCGAAACGTGAAAACACGTTTGAACGTGGGTCCGCGAATTCAAATGCGCTAAAATCAAACGAACTCTGAAGGTAATCTTACTTTTTAGGTTGATTTTCAGCGGACACCAACATCGAACATGGAACCAACTGCTGGCATGTGCAAGGATGACACTTGTCCAAGTCAGACTATGTTTGAACCCTTGCAGCAGTGATCATTGCCTGTGTCAGACAACCATGCATACATTGCCTTCAAAAAAGCCGGGTGTTTTTTTTGCCATGGCACAAGCTTCATTGGCAAATGGTTCGTTGGCTTACTGTTGGTTTCCCTCCCATTGCAAAATCAAAGAAGGGCTGGCTTGAAGGTGGGCCTTTTGACCATAGAACCCACTGCCACGCGATTTGGGATCCAGACATAGCTTTTGCAAGTGGACGTGTTGGGCCAGTTGTAGCTGAAAAACAGTCTTCCAAATTCTGCTCCTCGGTCGCTTCCATGATTGTTGAGGTGAGGGTGCCCTCACATCCGCTGCGAGTGTTGATGCTTGGAAGATGCCTTTCAGCTTTTTGTCAGTGAGTCCAACTCTCTGGCTTGCCCAAAACAGTGCCTAAAGGGGCAGGGTGCTTAGTAAGTGGGTAGTAAGCCTGGTTATAACCCACTTACCACGGTCAACACTTACTAAGTACCCTGCCCCTTTAAGTGAGGCAAACCACACCAGGTCAATCAATGAAGTCAGCGGAGTGCTCAGGATGCCTCTAGTTCTCTGATGCGCAGATTTACCCCGAGCTGTTTCTTGGACGAAATGGCACATGATGTGCGTGCAACCGTGTTAACCGCGCAGATTGCCTGCGTACACCAGCGGCACGCCGGGATCGTTCTTGACCTAGCGGGACCAGCCAGCCCAGAGTCTGACCATGCAGGTGGGCGTTTCGCTTTTTCGGGGGTATCAAAAAGGTCAACCTGCGCAAGCGGCGAGGCCCAACGTGTTTCACACTACCTACCGTGTGAAAAATCCATTCCCCGATGCGTTGGGATGGCTCATACAGAAAGCTCGTGCTTTCGAGTTCCGCCTGACACAGGACAAAGCACCACAAAGCAACTCGGAACATCTCACCAACCTGAAACAGGCGCACCCACGAAAGAAGCCTTCGCGACTACGTGCGTTTGGGGACTGTTTTATTCACCTGCATCGGAGAGTAATTACCTTTTTCGTGCAAAGGAATACGTTAGCTCATTGGGGAACCTCTTTGGGAGAGTACCTTGGAAGGGAACCTCAAGAACAGATACTCTAGGTACCTTCCCCATTCTTTCCAGGCATCCTTCTTTCTAACAAACCACCCAAAACCCTGGGAAACAACCATCATATACCCAGGCTTTAACTGTGCGCCAACGCTGGTCGAACATGCAATCTCTTGGGTCTGGAATAGGCGTTAGCCTCCGGAATCCCTGTCAAAGCCGAGGGCTTTCGTGCTGGGGTCGAAAGAAGCCCTCTTCATGGAATCTTTATGGGTCATGATGAAGTAAGCCCAACATGATATTATACGCCCACGAAGCCAACCCTAAACCAACATCCTGCCTGCCCTAAACCAACCCTAAACACACATCCTAAACCAACCCTGAAGCAACCCGAAGCCGCACAACCCCTAAACCAACCCTCCCTGCTTAACCCCAACCCTATCCCTAAATCAACCCCAACCAACCCTAAGCTTTACCCACAGAAAACCAACCCTATATAACCCTAAACCACCAACCCTAAACCTACTCCATACGTGCTTCTCCCCGGTCCCTGACATGTCCGTTAAGCTGGGTACCAACCAATAGCCAGCGCCAAAAACACATTGACTTACTTTGTTTCTACTAAGATGGAAAAACATGGGAATCGATTCTGGCATCCATGAAGATCCATGGGAATGGAGCGCAGGGAAAAAACGGTAGACACCCATTGACTCGCTCGTTTCTGCTGAGATGGCTAAGGTTTGGCCTTACCACAACAGCCGGGTAGGAACAGCATAACCACCATATCCACCTCAAAAAACATGGGAATCGGTTCTGCTGGAATCCATGGCAATGGAGCAATGGATCACCACCATGAAAACCGATTGTAGGAGAACCCCAAAAAAAACGAGGAATATCCACCATAACCACCATATTCACCTCCACAACCGGGTGGGACCCACCCCCAAAAACCAAAAAAAACTTCGGTGCACCGCATCGCATCCGCACACGACTCGGCGGCGGCTGGCTGCAGCCCAGGCGGCGATGAGGCCGGTGGAGCCCACGATGCGGTCCAGGCGCAGCTGGCTGCCCTCCACGGAGATCTCCTGGAGCTCTCGAGACGCCAGGCGGGAGGCGGGGGAGTGGATGGACCCGCGTGGGTGTGTCTTAAAATGGGGGGCCGGGCTCCCCGCAAAAAGGACAGTTTTTTTTTTAAAAAAAATGGTTTAAAATAGTCAGGGTTGCGTTCTTCTGTTTTTTCCCGAAAGCATGGCGAAGTGTTCTTCCGCTGGGTTCACTTGAGTTGTTCTCATGAGAGTCATTACAAGGTGTCATTGCAAGGAATCATCATCATGAAAGTCATTGCAAGGAGTCATTGCAAGGAGTCATTGCAAGGAGTCATTGCAAGGAGTCATTGCAAGGAGTCATTGCAAGGAGTCATTGCAAGGAGTCATTGCAAGGAGTCATTGCAAGGAGTCATTGCAAGGAGTCATTGCAAGGAGTCATTGCAAGGAGTCATTGCAAGGAGTCATTGCAAGGAGTCATTGCAAGGAGTCATTGCAAGGAGTCATTGCAAGGAGTCATGAGAGTCACTGCAAGTTGCAAGGAGCCAAGTCCATGGAGTCAAGTGCAAGTTGCAAGTGCACGGAGTTCAGTGCAAGTTGCAAGGAGCCAAGTGCAAGGAGCCAAGTGCATGGAGTCAAGTGCAAGTTGCAAGTGCATGGAGTCAAGTGCAAGTTGCAAGTGCAAGGAGTCAAGTGCAATTGACTCGAAGAGTTAAAATCTCTTCTTAGGGCGGCGGGGTAGTGCCGACGACACTACACGAAAATCGACCCTCTGCGGGGATCGGCGTGGTCGAGGGACAAAAACTCGAGGTTTTTTGCGATTTTGTTTGGGCTCGCGCGACCCTCTGCGGGGATCGGCGTGGTCGAGGTGCAAAAACTCATGGTTTTTTTTGCGATTTCTGCGGTGCTCGTGCGACCCTCTGCCGGGATCGGCGTGGTCGAGGTGCAAAAACTCGAGGTTTTTTTGCGATTTTGTTTGGGCTCGCGCGACCCTCTGCGGGGATCGGCGTGGTCGAGGTGCAAAAATTCATGTTTGCTTTTGCGATGTCTGCGGTGCTCGCGCGACCCTCTGCGGGGATCGGCGTGGTCGAGGTGCAAAAACTCGAGTTTTTTTGCGATTTTGTTTGGGCTCGCGCGACCCTCTGCGGTCGGCGTGGTTGAGGTACAAAAAACTCGTTTTTTTTTGCGATTTGCGCGGTTCCCGCGCGACCCTGCGGGGATCGGCGTGGTCGAGGTGCAAAAACTCGAGGTTTTTTTTGCCATTTCTGCGGTGCTCGCGCAACCCTCTGCGGGAATCGGCATGGTCGAGGTGAAAAACAGTCGAGGTTTTTTTGTTGTTCGAACTGGTCCTCGGGAGTTGTCTCGTGGTTCGCGCGCCTGCTCCCGGAACCGGCGGGTCGCGGGTTCGATTCCTCCCTGGTCCGCGGGCGGGCGTCGCAAGATGCAACTTGCATAAAGCAACTTGCGCAGAGCAACTTGCGCAGAGCAAGTTGCACAGAGCAACTTGCGTAGACCAACTTGCACCGACCAGTTTGCGCAGAGCGCCTTGCCTGGAGCAACTTGCGCAGAGCAACTTGCGCAGAGCAACTTGCACAGAGCAACTTGCACAGAGCAGCTTGCACAGAGCAACTTGCAGGGAGCAACTTGCACGGAGCAATTTGCACAGAGCAACTTGCAGGGAGCCACTTGCAGGGACCAACTTGCACGGAGCAACTTGCGCGGAGCAACTTGCGCAGAGCAACTTGCACAGTGCAACTTGCGTAGAGCAACTTGCAGACCAACTTGCACCGACCAGCTTGCGCAGAGCACCTTGCCTGGCGCTGTCTCGCGCTTGCTTCACGAATGCTTCGTGTAGGGAAAAAGAACGCATCCTGCAGCGTTGGGCCGACCTCGCTTGCGATGTTATGCTTTCGGGCCAACCGTGGTCTAGTTGTTTTTTTCTCGTTTGTTCTGAGAGAAACACCGTTTCATAGCGGAAAATGGGGCTTATCCTAAATGAGTTGGGCCGCCCGAAAGTCGGGTCAAGAGCCACTCTTAGAAAAGACAAACGACCCGAAAAATGTCTGGCGTCCTTGTGGTTTCTCTTGAAATCAACCCCAAAAGGGGAACGAGCCTCAGCAAGAGCAGGCAAACACCCGTGACTTTGACGGCAAGACAGCTAGCTGACAGCAGCAACCGTTCTTTTCTGGGTCTTCTTCTTCCGAGTTGCCACGTCCCAAGGTCCAAACCTAGCCCCACGATGTTGCCCTCCTCAAGGTCACCGGTGAGCCTGGTAAGAAACCCCAGGCCTTACTGGCAAAAACGTGGCTTGCCACGGTTTGCACCCCAACGCGGCCCTTTTCCCCCCAAAAAAAAGACAGCGCCAGGGCCCTCCAAGAAGTAAACTTTTGGAACCTCCAAAGCAGCTACTGAAAAACATATCGCTCAGTCTGAGTGCAGAAGGGTGAAAACAACGAGGCATCCCTTGTGGTCTCCTTGAGTGGACCTTGAAATCCGCCGGGTTTCAATCGCCAACTCGACCCGTCCTCACCGAACTGGATCGGCATGCCTTCCATCTTTTTCTCCACCTGGCTCCACTCGAGTCGGTTCTGACTTCAGCGACCCCCCCAAACACGTGCCTGAGTTAACCACCTCCCAGTTCGCGCTCAATTTGCCGACGCGAAGCTGGCAGCTTATGCTTACGCGGAGCCTGCAGTCCTTCTACCGTTTCGCAAGACATATGACAAACATTCTCGAGACTAGGAGATGTCTTCTTGATCCAACGAGTCCCTCAGGACAGGTTCCCGCCGTTCCCGCCCCCGAATGGCACTTCATTGTAGGAAACGTGTGCTGCGTGTTGAGACCTGACCAGATGCCACTTCAAATCTCAACAGCTTTCAACTCTTTCAGTCGTCACCTGCGAGCCAATGGCTGGTGCTTGGAAACCTCCGATGCTTGAAGAGGGGAGGCTCCGCTGGCTGGCTTCCGTTAGGCTTCCCTGTGAACCGTCCAATCCCTAATTTATGGAGAAAACACCCTATCCGCAGGTGCCTTGGTCGTGATTCCCTCCCTTACGATGGTTGTCTCAAAAGTTGAAGGGAGATTCAACACCACGGAACCTCTAGCTGTGCCTTTTTGAAGGCATGCCCGGGTTGTTGAACAAATCACATGTGCTCTCATAGTCTGAGGTGAATTAACTTCAATAGTTCACCAACCCGAAATAAGAAATGGATCCCCAAGATGGGAGACTTCATGGGTAAAATCGGTTGCAATTCAACACCCTTTGTGAGGTCGACCGCTTGCATTTTCCCAGACATATGGGCAGTATGTGTCAAAAAGAGCGGCGGTGACCCAACACAATGGTAGGTTTCCTTCTGGAATCCCTTTCAACCAGCCTTAAGAAGGGTACCCTGAATACAGAACAGACACTGGTTGACATCTCCCACTTTCCATCCCATCAGCTCGTCCAAACCGGGTGAAGCTGCCTTGGCCTGGGGCGACCGCAGCACGCCCGCCAGGGTCTTGTCTGAGCCGTAGACCTCGCGCCATGTAGACCCAAGAGAGGGGCTGGGGTTGACAGGCGAAACCAGCGGAGACCAGGTGAAACCAGGGAGCGAAGACAAAATTGAAGCCACGTGACAGTCCTGCGAACCAGAACCGACCAATTGTTCTGAAGATTCTTCCCCATCTTATCAAAAAGTGACATGTGTTTGTCTGTTTAAACTGGTTTGGGAGGGGGGAGCTCACGGGGAGCATAAACTTGTCTGCCCTCTTTCAAGTGGTGCTGCAAAGGAATCCCCAGCCTGCACGTTGCGCATGTTGTTCAGGACCATGACGATACCTCTCAAGCCAAAGGCAAGGTGTTTCAGACAAAGCAGCAACCACCGGACGGTTGATTCCCCGAATATCTGCAAGTGGGGCGCATGGAACTGCAGTTTCCAGCAGCTTGTGGCTGGCTTAAGGGAGTCCGCCGCACGGTTTCTCCTCTCCAGGATGTCTCTTGGCATCTCAGAAGATAAGCCAATCAAGTCAAATGCTCCCCGTAGGGCCTATTGCGAACAAAGCCTTCGGGACAGCCTCCCTTGGAGTGCTTGGCGCAACTGGCGCCAAACCAGCTGGACTTTTGTCCCGGCTCCTTTGAAATCAAGCCGCACTATGATACTTATGTCTGATGCCTAGAATCGGGAGCCGGTTTCATCTTCAGTTAGGCTACAGTAGACCCCCCCCCACTGCAACACTACCGTCACAAATACCTGAGTTGGTTTCAGTTTCGGGGAGGGGGGGCTGTATGATTAGTGACTCGCAAAGAAGGTGCTCACCCTGGAAAGCCTGGATTTCAAAAATGATGACCGCCAGAAAATGGATGGGGGGGGGGGTCTATCTCAGCGGCAAGCAATAAAACACGATTCCGGGAGTACGGGGCTCCAGATTACATCGAAACCGGCCCCAGCAGGACTCCCTAGATCTTGCCCTTGAAAGCAAGCTTGACCCTCAAACTGGCCACCAAAAAAGGTGCTGCTGAAAACAAAAAATGAGCCGCTGGCGAAAATCTTGGAGAGAAAAAAAAGAAGACCCTTGGAGAGATAAAAATCTTGGAGAGAGAAAATATTGGAGAGAAAATCTTGGAGAGGAAAAAAAAAAAAAAAACGAGAAGGGAAGCCTCTGGGACTTTTGTGGTCCCAGTTTTTCGAACCCGCGAGCCCGGCGAAGCACCGGGGTGCGGACCCTCTTTGGGCTTGGCGATCTGCTTCACAGTCGTCGGGTCCTCACCCGGTCAACGCGGCTTCCTTCGGTGTCCATTTCGCTGGTTGTTTAAAAAGGAGAGGGATCCGATCTGATGTGGCTGTGGCTCAAGTTCATGTACCAAAATGGCACCTTTGTAAATGGAATCAATGACCAAAACCAGCTTAACCCGAGCTCTTTAATGTTGAGCCACGCCCATGTTGCATCGAGTCCAGTGCCCAAACGACTTCCTTAAGGGAATCGAGGTAGTTTCAGAACAAGTCCCTCACCTTTCGAGCGGGACCCCTTGGTTTTCCTCGAAAATGTGGGATGGCCTCGCCCAAAACGATCAATGGGCTTTCCAAAATCCGTCTGGCAGTTTTTAACGTCACTCCTTTGGGAGGTTCCCAATTTCTTTCAACTTTGATGGGCGCCCCACTAAAACTGATCAACCCCTTTGAGGACTTCACAGTGGCTCGGGGGGTTGGTTTCGTCTCCTTGGCAGCGACCAGCTCCAGTGGCAGGAACGCCGCCCACCTGGGCCCCGCCCAGACTTGAGGGGGGATCCAGGTGGCTCCCTCCAATTTTGCGAACTAAGTTTCTCGATTTCGGGTTGTCGCCAAAACTTCAGGGATCCGACTCTTCAGAAAACAGGCCGAATTTCGAGGAATGTGGGTGGTTTCTCACAACAACTCCAACAAACTCTTCTCCTTAGAGGAGCCTACTTTCGAAGGAACCCTTTTTCGGTCCCGCAATGCGATCGGAGAGTGAAAGCTGCTGACTTCGTAACCCAAGCAGCCCGCTAGGAACTAGGCCCCAAACAAACCTGAGTGCTGTGTATGGACAAAACCCTGCATGGGATGGATGCCACCCTATGAACACTGTGACAACACCGCCAACCAACTGGCAGGATTGTGCCCATCGCGGGCAGGGTCATGCCAAAGTGATGCGCATGAGCTCCTGGCTTAAACCCAGGTACCTGAATCGGATGTATTCTTTCAATGTTCCTAAGATCGGATCCACAAAAGAACCCTGATGATTATCCCAGGCCTTTCTCCTGATTGGCAACTGGAGGAACCCCTCTCAAAATAGGTAGCTTCGTTTCCTCCCAAAAGAATGGAGAAAACACCCAAGAATGGCACCCTCCCAAAGGAATAGGCAGGCCGGGGGGTGGGGGGTGGTACTTCACATCAATGCGAGCCAGGCCCACGAGCGCTCGCCGTCCTCCACGGGCAGAGCTTTGCAGGGCACCACGATGGGATATCCGTTCAGGTACCTGGCGCAGTTACGTCACCCGGACTGCTTGAAAGATGGTGGCTTCTCCCCGAATGAACAGAAGAAACCCCAGAAGCATTCCACACATGGATTTCTTGAAAAAGGGGATGGTTTTGGGGCTTGCATCTTGAATCTCACCAGAGTAAACAGTTGTTGCCGACTTTTTGCAGCATGCTTTCTTTCCCAGACATGTTCGCTCTCATCATGACCAAAACGAGTTGCACGGCGAATTCGCGTCAGGCAGGCATCTGCATCCGGTCGATGCCCCAGTCCGCCTGGTAAATCCTGACATTTGCCCAGAGTCGGTGACCGTCCAAAGACTTCATGGGCATACAAGTGCCAGTACAACTTTTCGGGGTAGCTCCAAAAAACTCTGAGAATAAGTCCAAAACCTGAAAATACAGGGTATCCCCAGTGAAGTAGGTGTACATCACGGTGAGCTCACTTTCCTCCACAGCTGGAGCTTCCCATAAAGTACGCAGAACGCTGGAAGGCGATGCAAGGGTCGCAGAAAAATTGTGCCAGGCTGGCGTGGCCCCTCCGTACCGGAGCGGCTTGTTCACGTAAATCTCATCGCCTCCGTGCTCCCAACCCAAAATTTATCGCTTGGTTGCAACACACTTCCAGCTGCCACCTTGATCTGCCAACTTTACATGATGTGTTCCCCTCTTTACCGGAAAGCTTCGCCAACTTGTTGCCTTGATCTTTCCTCTCTTAACCTTGATCTGCAGCCATTGATCCAAAGGCGGAAACTGGAACCGGAGAGGTTGCAAGGTTCAAGTTGGCCCTGAGAACTTGTGATCTATCCAAACAATTTATCCTGCACCGACATTCTGCCTGGCCAAAACATGGCCATGCACTGCGCATTTTGGCACAAGAAAGAAAGAAGAAAGGAAAGCAGGAGAGAGGAGAGAGAAAGAGAAAGAGAGAAAAAGATGGAGGGAAAGAGAGAAAGGGAGAAATCAAGAAAAAGAGAAAAAGAGAAGGAGTGAAAAAATGAAAAAAACATGAAATCAGAAAGAAAGAAAGAAAGAAAGAAAGAAAGAAAGAAAGAAAGAAAGAAATAAAAGAAAGAAAGAAAAGAAAGAAAGAAAGAAAGAAAGAAAGAAAAAAAGAAAGAAAGAAAGAAAGAATGAAAGAAAGAAAGAAAGAAAGAAAGAAGGGAAGAAGGGAAGAAGGAAAAACACACACACAAACAACAAAAAAAGAAAAAGAACTAAAAAAAAAAAACAACAACTTGAAAAACATGTCAATCAAGTGTACATCACTCCTGTGCCTTCATCTGCCTGTTGCTCCACACTAGCCGGACTCCCTCTCCTATTCCCATTTGGGGGTGGCTCAAAATTCAAGAGCTAGGGTTGCGCAGGTTTTAGACTTCGGTTCCATTTACCAAGGTGGGCATTTTGGTACCAGCTTTTTGAGCCACAGCCATTTGGTAAAAGGAAACGTGGCTCTCTCCTGCGCCCCCGCCCTTTTCCCCTCCCCCGTTTTGGCGCCACATCGATTTCACCACAGCTCCTCCCATTTAGGCCAAGCAGCTGTAGAGTCGCTCATTCGTTTTGGCATCTTCGATTGCGAGCTTGGAATAGAACTGATCGATGGTCCCATCATCTTTGTACCTTAGCAAGGCTTCCAGCGAGCAGGTCGCTTCAGGGCAAACAGACTGGCCGGCCGTATCAAGGCAAAACCACACTTCCTTTCGAACTGTCGGTCACACCCAAATTAGCCCCTTTGCACGGCAAGTTTGGGGAAAAACTGGTTTGTTTCCCTTTAGGGGGTGCGGTTTTATGGTGGTGTAGAGACTTGCCCTCAAATTCCAGCGATTGTGCCGTTTCAAACTAGAAAATGGGCTTTCTAGGGGCAAGGAAGGCTTGATCGTACCGGTCCCGAACAGCCATTCCACACACACACACACACCTTACTTTGAGAATTACTTTACTGGATTCGAACGCCGAAAAACCGTCGGAGATCCCAAAGCTGGCTCATATAACAGACTCATCTGGAAATACAAGGTGATCGGAGCAGTCTGGCGCCGTGGAACGCCATTCCCCTGGAGACATCCCCCATCAACACAAAAATGCATGTGGGATTGTCTTGTTTTGAGCGAACCTTTGGGGTTGTTTTAACGGGGACACCAGAGGTAAGCACGCATTTTAGGGTCCCCATTTGTATACGCATTAGGTTCACGCAAGGTGGAGCCCTTGAACCCTGCTTTTGGTTGTCCAGACGCTCGATTCGGAAGTCTTCCACCTTGACGTTGGTGGCATCCATGAGCCCCTAGGGCCGGTTGTGGTGGCCGGAGGATGCGGGCAGGTGTCGCAAAGTCACGTGGCCAGATGGGTCTGTTTGGAGGGTACACCTCGCAATGGGTTGGCGTAAAGGGAAATCAGAAAGAACATCATTTTTTATGTGTTCCCGCTAAAAAAGAAAGAAAGAAAAAGCTACATACACATCTTACACAATTTCAAGACAGGTACCTAAACGGATACAGGGGCGGAGGGACCCTCCGTTGATTCTTGAAGCCTGTTTGAATGTGTTTCACAAATACGGGTAGTCAAATCACAAAGGCTGCACTGTATCTGCAGGAGGACGAACACCCCTGAAAATTCAGAACGCATTGCGAGGCCTCAAAGAAAGCAATGTGGGTCTATGATAAAGACAGACCCACAGAATTGGTTGATCACGGGCAACTTTTCCCATGTGAAAGTCAGATCTGTTGCCAATCTCTACGTCGGTATCCCAAACCGTGGGGAGTGCAACCAAAGTCTGGCGCAATTCTTCGGCGCTCGTGGCATCCCCGCTGGCCCCCGAGGGCCTTGTTGGGGCTCAGATTGCTCAAGGCCCCCTTGATCCGGCGGCCGCCGTCCAACACCTGATGGCATGGTGCTCGGAAATGAGTGGCTTCCCTTGGGCCGGCCTTACCTCTCAAAAAAGCGTGCTCATCGATGGTGCATGAGATGGAGCAATCTTCTTGGAACTCATCGCCGCCGGCGTTTGACGGGATTGAATCAAGAAATGGCCAAGTTCTGGACCCTTGATTGAAGATGGGCCCATAGTGGGAAAACCAAAAAGGTCAGTCAAGGTCGATTCGCTTGGGCTGCAAGTGAGAAACGGAGAAGGGGACAGTCCCTCCAACACGGCCCACGAAAGTGACATCCTCAACATCCGCCGGCAAAAGGTAGTTTGACAAACGTTTCCCTCCAAACGTGATTTTGAACGCCACAAAATCTCCGCCCATGCAACGTACAATAAAACAAAAAACACAGACACACACACTCGAACAGGTTGCACTGGGTCGGTTTCTCGTTGTTTTTTCACGCAGGCGAGGCCGAAGCCCAAGGATCGGTTCGTCTGGGTGCATTGAAGCGGCCATAGTAATTGCGGGAAGGACTCTTTAGAATGACAAGAACATGTTTGCTTAAGTTCTTGGAAATTGGCAAGGCTTTGTTGTTGCATGTTTCACCCTGGGTCAAAGGGAAATCAAAAGGACCACCAAAGCAAATTGCGGTCCCTCCCCCTTTTGCATGACCACCCTTCGGTTCTCCGCCTGGCCCACGTCCGCGTAGCCGCCCTCCTCGATGAGCACCTCGCTGGAGGCGCCGAAGACGAGGCCCACGGTGTTCCCCAGCAGACTCAGCAGCAGCGCCAGGTGCACCGCCATGGGCGCGAATTTGCCTCCGCGCGGCCGCTTCCGTCCGCGGAACCGCGCGCGCGCGCGTCCGGCTTGGGAGCCAGGTGGGGTTGGGTTCGCCGCTTTTTGCTTCACCCTGCCCGGGTGTGTTGGGTGTTTTTGGCTGGGCTGGGTTTCCCCCAGTGAAACAAGAACGGGCTCAAGTCCGACTTCTCTGAGCATGGCCCAGTGGATCCCGGGTTAGCCGCTGGTAAACAGGATGGGCCCATTGGATACTACATATATATATATATGTATATATACACACATTTGCACCTATATCCTGGAAGTGGCATAGCACGGGAACCCAAAACAGTTGTTCAGCTTGGCCCCCTTTTGCTGAAGGGAACAGGAACCAAACCCACAAGGGCTTCGAAGGTGAGCCACGTCTGAAAATGACGGGCTCGACAAACCACGAGGAGCTTGCAAACATTGCCGAGGCCGGCAGGCGGGGTCCCGCACCAAGAATCGAACAGTCAAGTTCCGAGCAACACGGATTCTGAGCCCCAGAGGAAAATGTCCCGCTCCATTTGGATCTCAAAAATCCATTTGGACTTGCTTTGCGGGAGTCCAACTGCTTTAATGTAGACACCTGCTTAAATACCAAGCCTTCCAATTCATAATCAGATAACAAAAAAGTCGCCTAGAAGCAAGGAATCCGCGGAAAGAAAAGCACGACCCGTGGAACAGGAGGGCAGGAGCATGGATCAGGGGTCAACAGTACCGAGCACAAAATGGCTGAAATTTATTTGGCCATGTGGATGTGTCTTTGTTTGAGGGCATCCTTTGTCGGATGGTTTCAAAGGAAAGCCAAGGTGAAACCTCCAATTTTGAGATAAACCCATGTGTCAAAAGAGGAACCCTTCCATGGCAAAATGGAGAGTTTTGACCATGGCACATGGACAAAATCCGCTTCGCGCCAGTTCAAATGGATGGAGCCCTTAGCGCACCATGAAAGAGATAAGCCACCTACCAGCCCAACTGGTGCGAAATGGATTTCGTCCATCCACAGTACCATCCCTAGCCAGCACGAAATCACTCTCTCTCGGCCACCGGGCCCAGCAAACCCCTGGAGGCTGCCAGCTGGCCAGGGTTTGCCTCCTGGTCCGAGCGCACCTGAGCGCTAGCCCAGCCTTCCATATGAACGAAAATGGGTTGGCCAACACCCGAAAGACAAAAGGCGCAACGGCAGAAAGGAGAAAACCAAACAAAAATCAACCAAGACTGAGGCAAAAAGAACCTCCAAAGAAAAACACTTCCGGGAAAAAACATAAGAAACAAAAGCAGAGCCTTTCAAAACAACAACAAAGAGCAAACGAGAAAAAGCGAAAAAGCGCAGAACCGGGCCACCACGAACCCCCGGCGCTGCAACTCTTCCCGCAGCCGCAGCAGGCGGGCGCCCGTACCCACCTCCGCCGCCTCAGCGGCCTCGGATCGAGCGCTCGGCTCGGCCGCTCGCAAGTGGATGGCCAAACAGTGAACCATCCATTGGACCAGCCATTGGAACCAGCCACTTGGGAATCATCCCCCAAAAGGAATCATTGAACCAGCCATTGGCAACAGTGAGAGGCCTTGAGGCCTTCTGTGCAACCTCTCCCCGCTCACCCTGCCTCGCTCGCGGGGCAGTTGACACGCATCAGGAAGCTACCTCTCCAGGGTAGCAAATACACCTCGCCTCGGGTGTCCTTTTGGAAAATGGATGGCACTGGCAAACACTGAAACCAGCGCCATCGATGTTCAACCAAACCTAGCTAGAAAGGACACCTATGCCTCTCTGTGATACCAAGGCCAGCAGGTCGTCCCTAGATAATGTTGCCACTCGCAACAAGATTCCTTGGTGTCAAAGGACGTAGCCGAAGAAAACTATGCGGGTGTGTCTCCAACGGAAACTCCAGAAATGGATGGTCTCTCTTTGGTTCCCTTGTCAACAACTTTGGTTCCCTTTTCAACAACCCCAACAAGGGTGCCCACAAGAATGAATGTTGTGCGCAACTGTTCTACAACCATGTGGGCGTGTTCCAAGGGGGCCATATCCAACAAATGGTCCCCTATCTTGAGACGTACCCTTTAGGCCGGTGTTTAAGAGCAAGAAAACCTACAGTTTTGCTTGGCCCCCGAATTCGAGGAGACATGCCGGGTCACTGGACTTTGGCTTCAAAGGTCGATTCATCGCAACTCCTTGCAAGTCCAAAAGAGTTGGAAATTGGGGCACTGCTGATAGGTTTGGTCTTTTTGTTGGGGAACCGCCTTTTTGGTTGGGAGGGAAACCGAAAGGAAACTCACCATGTCTGGGCCTGCGGTCAATGAATCCGTTGAGACGCCCCCGGCCGGTCGGCGTGAGGCCCGCAACAAAAGAACCCGGGCGGAGTCACGCCCAAAGGGAAAGACACAAATACCGAGACAAAGCGCACTCAATGTGTCCTGCCGAACTATCTACGAATTCGCATAAGCCTACGGAAATTGGTATATCCCACAATCTTGAGACGCCCTCTAAGCATCTCCACCCCGCGAGAATTGAATAGCATGTTCCCACCCCCCCACCCCCCTCGGCCCTCGCTCGCGTCACCCAGAAGTTGGTGCGTCAACTTGCAGAAGTTCCCATGCGACTCATGTGATTGTTTCAAAAATCAGGGACACCCCGCCCTCCCTTGTTGGATGATTCGCAAGAGACACCACCCAATCTAATGGAGTCCCCTTTGTTGAGACATACCCATCTACCCGGTCGTTTTGGTGGCCTCATAAAATGAAACCCACCCATGTAGCCCGGAACAGCATCATCCTACGGGAGCCCCCGATTTTTAGACTTACTTAATTTCATTTGTTGTGATGGAACCCAAAATCGTGTGCTCCCCAAAAAGGGGAATGGATTCTCGCCCACCGAATGATTTGTTTTTCTTCGGGTGGGTCCTTCCACGACTTCAGCGGAGAAACAGCAGGAGCCGCCTCGTCGCTTCATGGCCTCCGAGGAGTGGAAGGTGAAGCGCTGCGCGCGCTTCGCCAGCGGCAGCTGCGTGGTCGCCGTGCACGCGATCAGCGAGGCCGCGAGCCAAACCAGCAGCACCTGGAGTCGATCAATCCAAAGATCTACAGGCGTGTACCCGACTCCAGCTGCAACCAGTGACCCAGGCAAAAGAAAGGAAGCCTTCTTCGGGTTGACCGTGTTTAGCGGGGAACCCAACAAGCACAACAGGGAAAAGGGCGCCGATGAAGAACTTTTTGAGAAGGAAGGGCATTTCGAGAGGAAGCTTGTTGTCCCAGTCCTCGACCAAATCCCGCCAAGCGAGAACTGGGCAAGGCTTCCTGTGATGAAGGTCTTCGGTTGTCTTTTTGGGTTCGAGAGCGGAGGTCTTCGGTAAGCAACAAATGCAACAATGGGTGCAACAATGGGTCCATGACCCCATTATTTTGGGTAATGACCCCATTCTTAAAGGGTCATGGAGACTCCAGGTACCCCTCAAACCAGCACGCACACACGCAGCCATACTTCGCCGGCCAACACTAAGAGTTCGCACTTCCAGCGAATGCGAAGCCCAGGGCGCCAGGAAGATCGGGCAGCTGTACATGTGGTCGAAGCCCAGCATCAGCCTTGCTTGTCAAATAGAAATAGAAGGTGACTGCGTTTTGTTTTTTGGGCTGCCATGACAAGAAGTACACCCCGAAAACTGATTGAAACCAATGGTGAGTTGACCTGCGCCAGAAACCCGTTGGCATTTGGATCTAACAAAGATTCTTATTTGAATTGATCGTCCTCACTCTCTCATTCAGCCAGGTCGAACTTTTCGATTGTCGACCCTGGATCAAGAACTGTGGCGGTTCTCCCAAAAGCGTTCCTCTCAAGGAACCTTGGATCATCTCATTGGTCTTTGAATCAACTGGATTCCAATCGGGGGAAGAAAAACAACTCGGTTTGAATCAACTGCATTCCAAACCAAAGGGAATCAACTGGATTCCAAGCGAAAAAGGCCTCGGCCAAACCTCTGCCGAGCCGCAGCACCCCCGAGCTCTCAGGGTACTTCTGAGCGTAGAAGGCTGGGGACTCTCCCTGCTCGATGAGCGTGCCCAAGGCCGCCAGGCCTGCCACCACGAACCTCAGGCCGGCCCAAGGCCCGCTTCAAGGAGCGCGGTCTGGAGTCTGCGGGCTTTTGCTGATCTTGCGAAATCTGCGAAGCCCTGCTAAAAGTGAATCACTTTGAGTGGTTTAATAAAAAAAAAGCCCTTCGTTGGCAAAAAGTGAAAGTCCTAACATCCAAGCACAATGCACCAAAGTGATGGACTCTGGTCTTGCTGCTGATGTTTGCCGATTTCTGCAGAAAAGAAATGTGAAGCAGATGGTTTTTGGAAGCAACTGTGAAAGCAAGCGGACTGGCAAAGCATGGAGAGGATGCTGGAAGGAGGAAGAAATTTAAAATGCGCCATCAGACCCTAAACGAATCATTCCCAATTCAAAAGATGTTCCCAACCCAACACCCAAAGAAAGAAACGCCAGCAAAGCCCAATGACACGGCACAGTCTTTGTCCTTGTCAGAATGGGAAGGTAAACACCACATATATCATTCAGGTCAAACCAAAGAAGAACACTCCCAGCCATACAATCGTAGCACATAAGCCACAAAAGGACGGCAACCGAGACAATCCCAAACAAAAAGGACGGCTTTCTTTCTTTCTTAGTCCTTTCTTTTCAGAAAGAAGTACTCAACCAAAAGGCACACCGGGACACACCCTTATGTAGATCCACAAACGTCAGCAAAAGGCCAGGAGCCCGTACCAATGGTCCATACAATCATATCCAAAGCAAAAAAACAGCCCAGCGACAATCAAGTCCAAGCGCCGCTGGAAGGGTATGAACTTTCACAGGGGACTGTCCCACCAACTATTTTGGAGGTGGCTCGGCATGCGTATTTTTTTTGAGGGTACCCTTGCTGGGGTGGCTTTAAAGGGAAACCAAAAGAAAAACCATTGGTGGTGACTTTCTTGAGATTACCCCTTTTTCGTGGTTTTAAAGCAAACCCTCATTTTAAGGGTCGCCTACAAAATGACACACCTATTTTCACACACACACACCAAAAGAACACATCTCAAATGGCTGTGGGTCAAAACCAATGAAATCCCATTTTGGGGTAGGTGAATTCACCACCCATCTTAGAACCTAATTTTCCGTGGTTGGATTGGTTGATGTTCACGGGGGCTAACCGATTTGGCTTTTGCCCCATGGCCAAATGTTTTTCTCCTTCGTCTTTTCCTGCGGGGCAGCATCTGCACCAGGGACGCCGCGAAGGAGGCCCAGGCGGAGGAGCCCAGAATCGGCTTCAAAGGCGTGGGCAGCTCCAAAGTCAGGAGCCACTCCTCGATGGCGTTGGAGGGCGTCTCCGCATCGCCCACCTGAAGGTTTGGAGGCCATGGGGCAAAACAAAACGTTTTTAAGTGTAGGCTTTGAATACGGGGGGTTTTGGCTGCGAGAAAAAGGATCAAGCGTCTTGTGTATAGCTACTCAGTTGCAAATAAACGAATGCCACTCGTGGCAGTGGTTGGGTCAACAGGAGTCCCAAGGTGGATTCGCTTTCAGCCAGGAATCAAGCTTAAACCCAAAGATAGATGCTTTGACTCAGAAAAGAGACCCCCGCAGCGTATCAGGGTTGGGTGACCCTAGTCAAATGAGTCCAACAAATTGGGTTCTTGTCCTTGCCGGAGATCGAGACCTCTTTGAACGCGTCCCCGAAAACCCGTCGGGTGCTCCTCCTTCATCCCGCCTGCGCGGCCGCCGTGCCGCGCCGCACGACCGGAGCCGAGCTCCTCGCGGAGCGCCGGAAGGCGAAGGCCAGGCCGAGCCCGAAGGCGCCTCCGCTGGAGACTCCAACTCACGACTCACCATACGCCCCCCCCACAACGACTGTTCAAAGCAATGTCCAAATCCCCAAGTGCCGTCCCAAAATCAGTTGTTGGACGGGGGACCCTGGATTTCTGGCGTTGGCAACCAAAGATGGAAATCATTTGCTTCAAGCTCACGTGTTGAAGTTTAAAGGCGACTGGGGGACTTGCGCAGAAGTCTTTTGGCCCACCAGTCCTGCTCCTGCAACCTTCGTCGAACTGGACCCGACGTTTGGCTCCGGTCGCGGGGCGGAGATGCGCCGAGCGCCAGCGCCCGCAGCGCCCAACGTGCCCGGAGCGCCCAAAGCGCCCAGGGGCAGGCGCGGACCCGCGCGCAGGGACATCTCAAAACCAAAACCACCCAGGACCGAGCTGCCGCCACTGAGCGGGAGAAGAGAAGCACCAGCTTTTGTTGCCTGATTCTCCTGCCTTTTTTTGGGTCGAGTGCTGTACGATGTCGACACCCTGCGAGTTTCTGGCTGCAAACAGGATCTTCCCGGGACTCTACCTGGGGTGAGCACGTGAGGATAATTTAGAGCGAGCGCCTAGTTTTTTTGTGGTGAGTGAGCTACGCCTGTTGGCACTCCTTTCGAACGCGCTGGCTTTCGGTTCTTGTCATGGTCTGGCCTCAACCATGTTTCAACTCCGGAGCCAAACTGCATGGCTTTGGCTTGGTGGAAGCTCTTCATCCGAGTCCCCCCAGCAGAATCTCTAGTTGGCCGGGGTGTTTGGCAAGCCATTCATTCTCTTTGGGTGCATGCTCCAAGGCTCTGTGCATTGCTGTCTTCGGTCTCCCACAAGGGTGCAATCGCAACTGATGACGCTTAAAGCACCACCAAGTCATCTCCAGGACGGAACCCTATCAAACGGCAATGTCTCGTTTTGCTCGGGTGCAATCAGAGTTCATTTCATGCTTGAAGCACGTCTTTTCGACCGTGATGGTAGTCCACACGGCCAGTCTCAAGGGACAAGCGGCTCTGCCGCTTGAGAAGGATTGCCCATCTACCGGAGTTGTCCAGTTGAACTATTCCACGTCAGCAGGGCATTCTCGTATCTGGGTGCAAAATTGGGAGTCTGGAAAAATCCAAACAAAACCATTTCTACCTCTGGCTTTCTTTGAAATACTTGAAAACCATGGGTTGCCTACGTAGCACTGGGTCATGTCCAAAAGGACGGTGTGAAGTCTGCTCTCTTCAGCCACAGCCGCGGTGGTTCAGCCGATGGGATCCATCAAGTTGCACTTGGGATAGCTGACGAATTGTTCGCATTGCCCCGGGCAATGTCCTGCAAAGGCTGCCGCAAAACCTTACTTGGGTGGCCAGGGCTAAAACGGGGGCTGCGTTTTTTTCTGATGGAGCTCAAAAGGAAACTCACAACACTAAAAGGCAAAAGCAGCACACGTACCATAATAACAACAACAATAACCATAATTTGTAATATATATATATATATATAAAAACACACAAAGCTAGAGAGAGAAGACCCGGAGTCCACTGGCTGCAGCTGGGCAACTGATCTGCGGCAGTCGGGAATTCCCCTACGGGTCAGCCTAAGCACTCCAAAGCGTGCTGACAGGCGGCTGACGAAATCAATCTGATTGCCGATTTGGACATGCGCCAACAGTCGGGCCATGACACACTGCCGAAACAAACGAGCGCTAGGGCCGGTGCGGGATTTATGCAAAATCCAAGTGCACGGGGTTGATGCGAAGTCGGCCGCCTGGGAAGAAGCAGTGCAGCAGGGATCCTTACATTATACACCTGAACATTGCCTTGTAAATGATGGTTTCCCTTTATTTTGGGTGGAAAAAGCCATGTTTCGAATGGGCAAAATGTATCTCTTAAGGAGCCCTGTTGGGGAGAAAGCGCCAGGGTTGTTCCACCTTGCCAAAAGTGAGCCACGGTTTGCCATGGGGAACCTTCGCAATGCCGGGCTTTCCACTTGGTTGACGTTGGAAGGGAAGCAAACAAAAATAAATTTTAGCACTTAAGTGGTTGGATTTCAACCACTAAACCACAATAAGCAAAAATGCAAAATGTTTCCCAACAACAACCATGTCCAAGTAATTCGGTCAAAGACCTACCAGGGTTCTAAAGCCTTTGCGGAGGCGTGCAGCTCACCGCACACGAGCTTCTGTCACAACCAGCACATAAGCTCGCAAGGAGATCCATCTATCCGCTGTGACTGTGCACAAGACGCTCCCTAGGTCTTTTCAGTTTAGGAAGGAGCTTTTTCCCTAGACCAACATATGATTCATGGCAAGGATGGCTGATTTGGGTGTCTCTGAACGGCAAGCTTCCCCAAAACCGGAGGTCCAAGATCTCGCCACCCATGCTCTCAGGCGTCCGCCCGGTGCGTCGAGAAGCCTGGGCTGGGGGCGGTATGCGTGTACACATTCATGTTGATTATATACGTATATAAATATATCGAGTACACATGTACATAGAGAGAACATGTCCGCATCAACACGTATTGCTGTTACACATATATATATATATATATATATGTAGGTAGGTAGGTAGGTAGGTAGGTATGTATGTATGTATGTCTGTGTGTGTATGTATGTATGTATGTATGTATGTATGTATGTATGTATGTATGTATGTATGTATGTATGTATGTATGTATGTATGTATGTATGTATGTATGTATGTATGTATGTATGTATGTATGTATGTATGTATGTATGTATGTATGTATGTATGTATGTATGTATGTATGTATGTATGTATGTATGTATGTATGTATGTATGTATGTATGTATGTATGTATGTATGTATGTATGTATGTATGTATGTATGTATGTATGTATGTATGTATGTATGTATGTATGTATGTATGTATGTATGTAATGTAATGTAATGTAATGTAATGTAATGTAATGTAATGTAATGTAATGTAATGTAATGTATGTTATGTTATGTTATGTTATGTATGTATGTATGTAATGTATGTAATGCAATGTAATGTAATTTAATTTAATGTAATGTAATGTAATGTAATGTAATGTAATGCAACGTAATGTAATGTAATGTAATGTAATGTAATGTAATGTAATGTAATGTAATGTAATGTATGTACGTATGTATGTATGTACTTTGTCGACAGAGGGGGAGAGAGAGAGAGAGAGAGAGAGAGAGAGAGAGAGAGAGAGAGAGAGAGAGAGAGACCAAGCAGGAGAGATACGCGCGAATGAAAATATTTGCCTGTATACCTATGCGTATGTGTGTATACATATATATATATATATATATATATGTGTATGTGTGAGGGCTTCCTTTTGCATAGATCTGCTCAGTGTCGCGGTTGCTTCGTTGCCCTACCTAATTAGCTCTTCTATCTGAGGAGCAGCTGTGCTCTCGGCGTCTTCGCTCAAAACATCAAACGATTCCGCTCTCCACTTGACACCCATGCACGGGTGGTCAGCCGTTGTGCAGAAAAAGACATATCTCGTTCTATGGGGGTTGTTCAAATAAAGGTTCCCTTCGCTTCCTTTGGCCTTCCCTTCTGGGCCCTCAGTTTTCCTTTCGCCGGGCCAAATCAGTCTTGAGAAGCTCGTTTGTTTTTCGGGCAACTGGTCTCAACTTTGCTTCTTGAGAAGCAGAGCCACTTGACGATCTGCTGGAAGTGTCAATTTTGTTCTGGTCGAAGGGCCAGGCCCTCCGCTTTGGGAGCTCGTCGTTTCGCTTTCCTTTGTTCCTTGCGCGGTCCTTTCGCGGGTCTCATCGGTGAAACTCGGATTTTGTCGGCTCAACTCCACGGAAGAAACTGTTCGGCAAGAAATCAGCAACATTCAATTGTTCAATTTGGTTGTCCGCATTCGTCGCCCTTTGCAATCCCTTCGCGCCTTTTGCCGGCCGGGTAGCACTAGGACCACCTTTAGCATAACTTAGGACTTGCAATTTAAAACGGCCCCCATACATATATATATATATATACACACACATGTAGTATATGTATATTTGAAGACGTCCGGTCTTCTCCAGACGAGTTCACCTTTCCGCTGCTTAACGCATGCGCGCGGAGTTATTCCCAAGTTTCGAACATTCTTGCAAAGGATAGAAGTTTGGGCTCCTGGAAAAGAAAAGCAAAAGGTCCGAATACTGATGTCCTACTTGTGTGGTTTCCCCACGATTTTGAGGTTCGAAGCAATCCTCTTCCACAGGAGTTCCAGGCCAAGCTAGACCAAACATCATGCGGTAGCTGAGGCCACCGCTGGACCACCACGCATCCGGTGCCATCATTCTCCATCTCCACTACGCCCACCTGTGGAAGCAAGTTCCATGGCGGCTCTAGGAAATTCCACCGGAGTGCCAACAGGGTTTGGGCGAACCTGTAGAACTTCGCCCCGCTGGTTTCTATGAGCATCCTTCATTGCTGAGCCATGCCCCCCGCGCAAAGCTAACCTTTGGCAGGTGGAAGAAAGATCCTGCCTTACCAGCGGCTTGGGCCAGCGAAGGCTTCACCCGCACGCGGTCCCCGGGCCTGAGTTAGATGGGTTCCGTCAAAGCGCCTCCCATGGGTTCTTTTCCAATAAGGTGCATGGATCATGGACTCCGTTTAGAAGCCGTTGCAGGTCCCCTGCCCCAAGAGGAGGCGTGTGTAGATGGCGGTGTTGGGGCGTTTTTTCTGTACTGGAGAGCAACACGCCTGCCACAACAAACTGGCACCCACAGGAACCGGACCTACAAAGATGTCAGGGACCCGATTGGCGTAGAACCCCTTAAGGCAATCCATCCCCGACGTTTCAAATTTTAGAGCGCTGGGAGAGGAGGGAAGATGCCCCCGAGGAACCTTCATCCAGGTTGTCCACAATCGCATCCAGGGAATGAATGCTCATCACCACGAATCTCAAGCACGCAGGACATGCTTGCACTCGAGCTGTGAACATTCATGTCCACTAGAAAATGGAAGCCTAAGTCTTATTTCTAGAAATAGCTAAAAGCCGATTCCAATTTGTATTAACTTAATTAAACTTTACTTATATCTACTTAATTATAACTTTCCAACTCACAACTATTCCACGGTTCTCATAGGACCCTTTGGACTCGAGGCTCCCACGCCACCGCCAGCGGCGCCATTGGGCCGATGCCCTGAGCCATTGGGTTCGGCGGCGGCGCTCCTGTCACCGCGGCCTCGGCGCGAGGGATCGGCGGAGCCTGGAAGATCCAGCCCAAGGGAAATCCCAGCTTGGTTGACGTTGGAGCAAAAACGTTTGGTTTTTAGCAGTTCAGTGGTTGGATTTCAACCGCTAAACCACAATAAGCAAAAATGTAAAATGTGTCCCAAAAACAACCATGCAAGGAAACCACAAGGGAAACCACAAGTTGGAAACCACAAGTTGGAAACCACAAGTTGGAAACCACAAGTTGGAAACCACAAGGGAAACCACTAGAAACCCAAAA